ATTTTAAATAGATTAAAACGGGTAATATCGAAAATCTAAGCTCAGATTCGGATTTCTCGTGAAAAATTGATGAGATTTCATGTATCATATGTTAAAATAGCGTGAAGAAAAAAGGTTTAACGACGCGTATAGATTCTGTCATACTCCCCGTTTGAACTACGCCGCCGCCGCGCCGCGCCGCGCCGGTCGCCCGAGATGCAACCGAACGGGGAGGCGCCTGGCGCTAAGCATTCGGTTTCGTCCCGAGGAATTTCTCACGATAAATTCTTATTCTTCCTCCTCCGCTGACCCACTGAGCACTACCCATGTTGCCACGTTGGATTCATATGCTCGAATCAGTATGTCTACGTTACGTCTCTTTCCTTCACGCTATGCTCGGGTATGATACATGAAATTGTATCAATTTTTAACGAGAAATCCGAATCTGAACTTCGATTTTGGGTATCACGCGTTTTAAGTAAAATTTTTCAACTTCAAAAATCCGAAATGACTGAAGTGGCTTAAAATGCCATCTCGGCTCCTGTTCGATGGATTTTTCTGAAATTCGGTGTCGGGAGGTACTTTTCGACAGGAAACTCGAATATTCAGTCCATTTTTTAAAATTCTCAAATTCAAGATGGCGGACGTGGCCTAAAATGCTATGTCGGCTCCTGTTCGATGGATTTATGGCGCCCCCTTACTACATGCCTACTCTTGTATTTCTGTACAGCCGCAAATTTAGGGTAAAGGGGCGCCTGACCGTCTATGGACCAGGTGGAGTTTTTGTCCTGAAAATTTACCTTTAGACGGCAATTCTCTTTATATTTTGTCTATGGTTTTTATGCCCCCCCCCTTTCTCGCGGACTCTCTTTTCACTTTTCTTGCCTCCTTTTTCCTTCCATTTCCCCCCTTCTTCCTTGCTTTCACTGCCCAACCTTGTTTCCTTTTCCTTTTTTCCCCTTGTCCTTTCTTCCCTTTTTTTCCTTTTCCTTTCCCCCCTTTTTTTCCCTCTCTTCTTCTTTCGTGGCGCCCCCCAAAGGCTGGCGCCCGTGTGCGCCGCACGCCCTGCACACGCCCTAAGTCCGGACCTGCGTTTTTCATAGGTACTTCGAATTCCGGATTTCGCAGGCCTGTTTACACCGACCTACGTCAAGGGTAAACGAACCTCAAGATGCAAACACCTCCTTTTTTCCTCTATGCTTTGTCGGAAACTAAATCGACAAAAATGGAGGTACGTATATTTGCACTGTCACCCTTGCCATTATTCCTCTCAATTCTAATTCTAAGCTTCTCTTCGTTTAATTGTCCCATTTGATTGACTGCTCATTCGGAGCTTTATAATCGTAAACCATTTTTTTTCGAACGTTATCTTTTTCGCGCTCTTCGTTTAAATCTTCGGGTACAACTTCAATTTTCGCGCTTTTGTCCATGACGTAGTTCTTGTTTTTTTCGTCCCCTCCCCTCTGCGCATGACGTCAGTGATTAATCATTTGGAAAACATCACGACCACAAGCAGAGATTGCTACAAGTTTTACTGCGTTTGTTACTGTGAAAGGCATTTTTTAATTTATTTGGAGTTTAGTTTTAAGTTAAAAAGTTTGTTCATTTTAGTGAGCTTATACTAAGCACCATTTTCTGGTCGTCAAGTTCCTGTAGTTTTGAATCTTCGTTAGAATTATGAGTTATGGCTGATCGAGAATGGATGAGAAGTTGGAGCTCTCCAAATGGAACTCCCAGCTCTGAATACTCTAATCTAGAGTCTCGCCAAAATTCTGAACCCTCCATGTTTTCACAGAGCGGTATTCTTCCCACACATTCATCTCACAATCGTAAGTACTTCCAGGACAAAGAATCAAAGTGAGGGAGCAGGGAGGCATGTTTCCCTTGAGATGCAGTGTGTCGCACCAATCATGAACTACAGCTAGATATTCCTTCATCCTTCACGAAAGACATTTGTTGTATTGTAACTTTACAGGATAGAAGAGCTGTTTTTGGATGACTTCATTTTATTCAGAAGTAGGAATGTGATTCCTAAAGCCCTCTAATGTCACTGAGATTCCAGAGGCCAGTGAGAGGATGTATTGCATCATATGCAACTTGTCTTGCTAGCATACTAATCATGTGTTCAGAGAGATTTTAAAATACGCAGCACTGGGAAAAACTCCATGACCTCAATCAAAGTTTTTAATTCTTACTTTTAACTTAACCTATCAAGTTTTGTAAACCAAAAATTATATTAGCCTCTGAACTCAGGATGAATCTGTTTTCAGCACTACTTACCTACCAATTTGCTGTACCGAAAGCTGAGTAGACCAATATGTAAATGATGGTTAGTTTACTAGTAACTGACATTTATGTCCATAAATATACACAAAAGAATTGCTTTAGGAAAGCAGATGAAATCATTCAACATATTTTTGGATCAGTCCTTTAAGGAGTGTGCTGTGTTCGAGGTGATTCAAGGACTATCACGACTTACCTATTTACGTGACTAAAATTCAAAGCAATGTATACCTACTCACTGTTACAGGGTTTGAACGGTCTCCATCACACGGCCTTGTATCTTCCATTGGCCGAAGAACAATAGAAAGATCGCGGTCTCTGCGCAACAATTTCAACGTCATGTTTGAGGAGCTTGGACCCCTTGTAGAAAGAGTCAGAAGTGGTGAAAATGTAGATTTAGGTTCTTTATTAAGAATTCAGCAAAGATCTGATAGGCAAAATACAGAGCCATCAACTACCCATCCAGGTAAGGTTTTCAAAGTGACCATATTTCATACTTCCCCACTCGAAAGAATCAAGAGCTTGCTCATCGCATATCCTAACAAATGGACGGTGTAAGCCGGCAACCACATAATTTGGTTTGAGACGTCGCAGACTTCCTCTCATACTTAATTTTTTAAACGGAAAACTACTCAACAGCAATTCTTTAAAACTGCTGTGATTTTTCTTCTCTGTGTGAAAAAAATTCTGCAAAATTCAAGGAATGATGTCAATGTGTTCTCCTTTAAAAAAATAACCTAGAGGCGAAGATTTTCAGACACCGCGAACGAGACATGTGATTGCTGACTTACACCGTCGAAATGTCAATTTCTGTTCACTCAACAGGTTAATACTTGCAATCAGATGGCACCGTTCTTGCAAGGTGATGTACTTGACTATTGTTTCAAAATAAGATGAGCGAGCTTCACCTAGAGTGAAAAAAGTTCCTTAAGTTAATCCCTCTAAATGTAGCATTATTACTGTAGGACCATTAGCATTCGCTTCTCTTTTGCTATGAGATGTATCTACAGCAATAAATGGCTGACTTAGGTCTTAGGTGCTCTTGAAAATTCTCTTACTGTCAAAGATTAGCTATGGAAGTTCCTACTTGAACATAAGCTACTCACTGCAATCAAATGGAATGCTTCAGTTAGGTTCTTCCATTTATACTCTTTGATTTCTAATTTTATAAAATTTCGTAAAATGGCGTAGATTGAAAGCTTGATTATCTCGTATTATACCTAATTTGCAAAAGACTCATCAAGTATAGTTCATGAAAGTGATCTCTCTTTTAAAACTGTAACATGAATTGATAATTTGTCAGTTCGGCAGTATTGAATGAAAATTTCAGAGCCATTCAAGTATGTTGCCATAGGTATCTTACAATATTAGCATATTCTATTAATACTATTGTATTCACCTATTAATGGAAGTATGATTGGATTTTTAGCAGATGGAAATAGCATCATCATAGATGTTGAGGGTGGAGCACCGCCGGCTGCTTTTCCTCACAATTTCAACGCAGATGTTGAATCAGGGTTGGGACAGAATGCTGCCCCACAGTCCACTCAAATGCAACCTATGTCTCCAACCGCTAATAGTCATAGTAACAATAATAATAGTGAAAATCATAGCTCCAGTAGTCCTGAAGATAGTAAGTACAATTGTTTTTTTACAGCAGATAATGAGAACAGTTGTTAATAGCTCAGTGTTGTAGGTCTTGCCACTGTAACAGCTTTTTATAATATCCGTCATTTTCTATCAAATCAAGATAAATTGTATTAACTTTGGAAGCTGGCCTTAATTTTGAGCAAAAAAGAGATGTTTCTGATGAATGCTGACTCACAGTAAGAGAAACATTTCGCTCTTCGTTATATTATTATTTTTGGCGTGATTTTCCAGGGATAGACACTTACAGAAAAATAGAAGACATTTCTGAAGATAATTGTTGCTCTTTATATAATTTTTCCTTCTGAGCGTTCAAAATTCCAATTTAAAAGTTTCCAACGTCAAGTTTAAGGGAGAATTTATCTTTTATAGCTTGTATAAATAACTATAAAAATATGAAGACTGCCTGGCAAACTTTCTGCTCAGGGAAAAATCAAAACCAATGTAGATCAAACTCACCATCCTGAATAAGGTGGTATGTTGTGCAAGTCAGACTTAAGTTTCTCATAGTTTTCTTTCTTCTCTTCATACATAATTCATGAATTTTTTCTCGAAAGAATGTAGCACTCTAAGAAACTTTTCAATTTTGAACGATTGGGATTAACTAGAATGACTCAAGAATGTAATTTGATTCAAAGAATGTTGGTTTTTGGGCAAGGAAAATGTTCAAACTGATAGACATAATTTACACAAAATAAGTTGATTATCTCACTTTTAACTCAATTTCAAAGTAGTTCACTTTGTTCCATCTAAAATTATGCTAATGATACATGAACTAAAGTCTAAATGCTCTAACCATGGGTACTGTGTAATGATTCCTTCATCATCAAAAATTGAAACAGAAAACCTATGGATTAACTCCATTTAGGATGACATCTCATAGAGAAGAGAATTCAAACATTCAAAGTAAATATGTGTGAGTAAAATACGAAAATAAGCAAAAGAAGACAGAAAGAGAACTTGCCTTTTTTAGGAAGTCATTATTTCTGTCAATGGAACTTACTTTATTTTTTTCTCACAGGTGGTGGAGATGAATTCAGGGGGAATCCTGATGAACTTACTATACCAATCTTAAGCAGGAGACTCCCTTTTATCTGTTTGGTCTTATTCAAAGTTATTTGGGACAATCGATCCAGTAAGTACAACTTCCCTTTTTTGGGAATGGAAGAAGTCTCATTATGTACCCATACCGAAAGTTATTACCACAATCAATGTGAACCTAGCAAATATTCAGAGAAAGTAGAGAGATAAAATAGAAATCGTAATGCTGAAATTGTAAGTGTAGCTTCCATAGACCCCTTGAAGCACACTCTAAATTAAATGTATTTGTAGGCTAGTAATTGCTACTTGTGATGTTATCAATCCAAAGAACGAAGCAAATCAATGATGTCCATTTATTTGGACCGAGTTTAACAGAAAGGAACCAAGCCACATCGAGGTTGCCAAGTTTAACTGGGCAATTAAATTTTTTACGAGAGAATGGTTGTTCGGATTTCTTTGAAAACTTTAAGGAATTTGCTTTGCACCACGGAAAATTTTCACTGAAATTTACACGAAAATCCGCACAACCGTTTTCATGTACAAAATTAAATTGCCCAATTAAATTTGGCAATAGCTGATGTGGCTTGGTTCCTTTCTGTTTAACGCGGTCCATTTCAATTTAACCTTGTTACGCTCTATTAGCAAACTGCAATTTCTGTTATACACAGGCTGACCACCTGAGTAATGTTTTATAAAGGGTTCCTCATTTTACGGACTTAATTGATTTAAGCTCAGAAACTCTCATTTACTCGTTTACTCAACTTGTAAAAATGTTAACAGCCAAAATTATTTTTATCATCGTCATGTTCTTTTAAACTCTTCTTACATTATGTTTCAGCTATCTTCCTATTTTGCGGGTTCTTCTGCTTGTTTAGATTCTACAACAATTTAGTCAAAAGAGAGGTTGCCAAACAAGCACAGCGAAGCAAATTGTACCTAACCCTAGGCACGCTGCACATTTTGTTCTCACTATATGCCTTTTATTACTTTTATTATGACTTAAAGCTACATCTAAGGTAATATCTTCTTTTCATCATTTTTTCTCCTTTGTTTCTCAATCTAAAAGAAAAATCTAGGAACGACTTTCGTAGGACTTGAGAGTCCCTATCTAATCCCACAAAATAAAGTGTGAATAGTTTACTGTGCTGGTGTGCTGCCTACTCATGTCATGTAGAGTCCTTTTATCTTTAATCGCTTCAGTATTAAAATCTTTTAGATCCTATGGAAGAAAGCAGCATTGACCCCGAGCTAATACAAGGCTCTTAGTCTTTAAATTTGATCCCTGTTGATACTAAATGTATTCATATCTATCCTGTTTTGATAGAAATACGGTAAGACCTCAATTTAATGGATTCTGCTATTTATCAGATCAATCTTCCAGTCCCTGCAAGGGCTTCAAGCTAATTTGAATGAATGGATTCCGCAATTCATCAGTCCCGTGAAATGCAATAAATTGAGGTTTTACTGTACCTTAATTGCCAGTGATTCTCAACAAAAACTGGATCTTGAATGAGAATCTTTTGTAATCTCTCGAAGTTTGAAGCCTTTAAAATTAAGGTCAATATTGAGAGTCCTTACCCAGGCATTATGCATGAAGAGTAATGAAATTGGATATTGTTTGAAATCAGAACAACCCAAATGGAAAACTAAAATTTTTCAAATCTATCAGGTCATGAACTTTGAAAACTGCCTCATCAATAAGCTGTCCACTCTCCAAATGTCTCTTCAAAATTCCCCTAAGACACACTCTATAATGCATTTGAAAATTTTCCTTATTCCAAAGTATTCTTTAGAATTTATTTGATTGGTAATGAATTTCTGTCTTCTTTTTTTAATGAAAAATTATGTTTTAACGTTCGTCTTTTTTCCCCCAGCTTATTACTTATCCCTCCTCTCATTCAACCTGTCAATTTCGGGGATCTTCTTTGGTTGGTAGCAATCACAGACTTCAACTTGAAACTGATAACCATAATGATAAAAATATTTGTTATTTTGCTACCTGTTCGATTATTACCCACTTTAAAGAGGGTAAGTCCTTTTTTCTTATTTTAGCTCTAAACGTAATTGCTAAAAATCTTACAGGATTGGGTAATTTTCTATAGGTAAAAAAATAATTGTAAGGAGATTGTGCAGGATATCATGACCAAGCTATCGGTATGATATTTGCATGCGCTGAGAATGGCCGATACCAGGTTGCTGAAAAAGGTTTCAAAGTGGGTCCCGCCAGGTAGGCGTACAATGTAGAGGGCATCCATCTGAAAGATGGCGAGATGGCATTTGAAAATGATGGAGTTATGGCAACTTGAAGTATGAAAGCAGATCTCAGCCCACGCCTCTGTGGATTCGAAAACACCCTCTAAGTAGTATTCAGGAATTTATTTAAATTAAAATCAGTCCTCAAATATTGGGAATTTGAGTCTTTACAATTTTGTTCTCAATCTAACTCGGTCATAATTCCGAATTGAATGGATTGAACCATCCTAATATTAAATAAAAATTGAAGAACACCTTTTTTTATTTGCCCAATTTTCATCAAACGTATCTGTCTCTTTCTTTATCGGATATTCATGGCGCATTGTTGTCTCTTTTTTCTTTCAGGGTAAATATTATCTTCTTATTGAAGTCTCCTCCCAATTATATCGAGGCCTTGCACCAATCCAGCCTTGGCTTTACTTCCTATTAGAATCATATCAAGGTCCACAGGCAATTCTTGGAGTAGTGTTGTCCGCGTTTTACATGGTCTCTAAAGGAAGTGATCTATTGATCAGCTTGCGTGCTTGGTGGATAGCTGTGATAAAACTTCTTAGCAATGTAGTAAGTTTTATATTACTTGTATGCACTAAGTTTTTCTATTTTCTAAGCTTTTCGAGTAGTGCAGATTTTCCCCAACCATGCAATTTACCTAGTCTTGTGAATAGGGAATCTTCTTAAGAAATGGAGGAATCTTGTCAAATTCTTTTAATTTACCGTTTCTATGTCGTATTAGTGGTAAAAAAAATTCCAATTCCTTGGGGAGAAATTTTTCTTCGTTCCTTTCTTTAGTTTTAGTTTTCTAGAGGAACTGATAGTAAATGGGCCTGTTGTAAACTTTTGCTAGAACAAAAATTAGAGTTGTCTCTTTCAGTAAAGTGTCAAAAATCACCATGAGCACATTGACAAAGTTTGAAATGCACTCCTAACTTCACAACCTGTGAAGAAATTTGCGTTTTTTTGAGCTCCCTGCTTCAAAAACGATACTATGGCATAGGTGAACATTTAGTTAAAGAAGTTTTTCCATTCAATCCTTTCACAATAGCAATACTCAAGATAGCGGATGCTTCTGCGCGCAAATTAAGATAAATGAGACAAATAAAGATTTTTTTTTTTTAATATTTTCATTTCTCATCGGGTGACCCACTTTAAAAAAATATTTTCTGTTTTGTATTAAAAGAATGTACAAGAATGGATACTTTAGTAGATTCGTTACTTAATTAAGTGGTCATTCTTTAAAACTTTTATTCTTTCAATTCATGTTTTACTTAGATATCTTACTGTTATTAGCCATTGTCCTTTAAACCTCTTGCGAAAATTGAATCTGTATGATTTTATTTCAGCAATTGGGTGTTAGTCCAAGTAAGGAACAGTTAGCAGTATCCGGAGGTCAGTGCCCTATTTGCCATGATGAATTCGACAGTCCTGTGATGTTAGAGTGCAACCACGTCTTCTGTGAAGCATGTGTCGCCAAGTGGTTCGACCGAGAGCCAACGTGCCCTCTGTGTAGAGCAAAAGTAACTGGCGATCCAGCGTGGCGAGATGGATCAACAACTTACAATATCCAACTGTTCTAATTTTCTATATTTTTATATCTTGATTCATTTTTCCCCTTTTATCCCCATTAACTTAGCGATAATTTATTTTTCTATATCTCACCAAAAATTATCAATAATGAGCCTATTGGGCTAAAATGATGATTGTAAAAAGTCGACTGATTTTCTTTGCTCATAGAAACAAGACAAATGTCCATAGATGCAAAAATAAAAATGAGGTTAGCACACTTAAATGAATAACATAGCTTTGAGTGGAAACTCAATAAATTTTTGAATACTTGACGAAAAGGTGTGTTTTAAATCCTCAGCTCAGTGTTTTGGAAAGGGTATAGTTTTGCAGCCATTACAAAGAAAAAAAGTGTCGCAATCTCAACTATACCCCTGGCTGATTTTGGCGCCAGATATGAGTGAGTTGCACTAGCCATAGGTATGGTTGATTCAACCACACTTTCGGCAGCCTTAAATGTACCTCTGATCGGTGCAACTGCTTTTATATCTGGCGCCCAAATCAGCCAGCAGGCTGATTATTGTAGTTGATAGACAAAGAAGACATAGGGAGTATGGCTCGATCCTATCGGTTGAAATTGGTGGTTCCTATAGATGAAGGAAAAAAATTATGGACCAACTGTAGGGTCTCTCGTGGGTTGCTGTTAGTAAGTCTATTGCCTACTTCCAGTGTCCCTTGCAACCACCTGCTTCCACCAATAGGACCCCTCCTTATCCCTTTTGTCTTCTTTGTCAATAGCTTTATCGATCAATTTCAATCATCGGCTTGCAGGAGTATAGTTAGGGTTGTGATACTTTCTTCCCGTGTATAAACTTTAACAATGGCCAATAAGCATTTTGAATTCTATTTCTAATTCCAAAAAAATTTTTTAAAACAAAAAGTAGAGTAGAAATTCTAGTAGGGTGTAACATTTACTAAATAAATCTCTTATTTTGTCGGAGCCCAGCTATAAAATTGAAGATGATGGATACTTAATAATTATAAATTAAAATATACATCATATTGATAATGAACGACAATAAAATAGCATATTTCCATGATTAATCTAAAAGATTATGTATATTTATGCATTACATACATCCATATCCTATTTATCATACACATGTATTTATTTAATTTTGTCTTTTTATTGTCGTTAAGTATCATTATGTCGCTTCTTTTAATTTATAATTAAAGTTTATGTGACCTTCAGTTTTAGTGAGTTAAATGCTGATGATGGAGCTGGTCGCTGAAGGACCTCCAGTGTTGAGATACTATGATTTTAAAGTGGAAGATAAGGCTTAATTTAGTAGGTTTTACTTCCTTGAATCCCCAAATATACATACATATTTCTATATTATCTTGAGCTGAATAACATTGTTTCAAAGAATGAGCTTCACTATCTTCCATCAGCCATTCCCTGTCTCAAAATTGTCATTCATCACTGCACTCTTCACTCAAGATCAAGTTAGCACACATTTTAATCAATAATCAGACACTAAATTCACTTTCGTCAAACTTAACGTTCACCCCAAAGTTTTGATTTGTGGGAGAAAAGCTGTCAAGAAAAATCATCGCTGCATAAGTGCAACCATTATATTGTGAACAAATTAAACTTATATCAGTAAATTGTTGTCCCTCAGCTAAAGGTTCCCTATTAAAAGGAAGGATCCTGCACATTGCTTACAGGAATTGGTGCCCACACTGATTTCAAATTTTTTTATGGCATTGAACTCTCCCATTGATCCTGATCATAAGTGATACTTGGGCCAAGTTTCTACAATTCACCGTTTTAGCACAATTTGCGGTTAAAGTTTCGATCATTTGCACTGTAAAAGAAGCGGGTGCAGTGACTTGATTCAAAACGATCCCTCTTTCTCTCAGTGCTCAAGGAGGAGCTGGATGTCATTCGTAGAAGCACTCAGCGCAAACCAAAAAAAACAGGCTATTGCGCATTCTCACCAAATTTCACGAAAAGGTCAAAAATATGAGAATGAGAAAGAAAAATATGAGAAGAAATATGAGGAAAGCAGACAGAGTAGGGAAAAACAAATAAGAGTACAGACACACGTTGGGTTTTTCTAGCTTCTCCTACAACTTACTAGACAACTGATCAAAAGCAAAACTTAGAGTGCAATTTGTGCGAAAACCATGGTGTGTATAAACTGAGAGCAATCGAGAGTTTCAATCAAAGATGTGTTTAATGTATTAAAAAAATTAAAAATCGGTGTGCGCATCGATTCCAGTAAGCAGTACGCAGGATCCTCTGATCTTAATTTGAAAGATTGGATTAACTCTACATCCCCCCACTAATGTCTTTTTTTCTAGTCAGTCTCAATCTCTAAGTGCACTTGAATTTTCAGATGAAAAAGCTCACAGAAGTAATTGTATTACCTGAAAATCAATGTTACCTTTAAATCTACTTATCATGTTCTAAATTATTGTAAAATTTATAACTCTCAAATTGACCGAGAATCGGCTCTCCAAATCACCACACTTTATCTTCAGAACATTTAACTTTTCTTTGGGGCTTTGAAAAACTTTTGCCCGATACATTTTCTAACCCCTTTTCTAATTATACCTATTATAACTGTAGGATTTTTATTTTCTCTTTTTCTGCAAAGAATATTCTTTAGTTTTTTACTTTGATTTTCCACTAGTTGAATTGGCTACTTTCTTTATGGATACTGTCATATTTTCATTCCTCTGTTTTTTTCTTCTTTCATAATGTTGTCAAGACCTTCACAAGATTTTTGAGGCTGTGCTTAAGTTTGTATCTTTAATAAATATTAAATCCTTTGAAGTCTTGTTATAATGGTTTCTCTCTCCCTTCTAAAGACTTTTCTTTTCCGCTTGTGTCTTTAGTTTATTTTATACAAGGTGATCCAAAAGTCTCGCACTTACAACGCACTATCTCACAATCGATTACTTTTGAAAAAAATTGGATAGAGACTTTAAATTTTTTTAGTGCACCCAGATCAAAGGAAACAACTTCAAGGACTCCCAAAAAATTTGAGGAAGACCCCCGTGAAAAAGGGCAAGAACCCAAAGGTTCTTACGGGTAGAGCACTACTTTTGAATCACCTTGTATGTTCTTCCAATTTAGCCATGAATGAACAGATTGGGAGAACTATTAGATCCCTCACTTCAGACAAAATGAAAAGGAAATAGTGTAGGTATTTCCTCCAGAAAATATATTTAAAGTGCAATATCATCTCTTCTGCTGAATTCGAGGTCCTTTCAAAAGATTTGACCAGGGGTTACAGTTATTGATTAAACTTATCATATAATTTTCTGATTGAATACGTAGGTATTCGGTTTTACTAGAGTACATTTTTGTCATGTTTCCCAAGTTGGTTATCAAAGGGAAAATTAAGGGGAGGAATATAATGTGTTGGACTAAAGGTTTTTAAGTTTTTATTTCTTGGAAGTACAATTATTTTGGGATCATCAGATTACTTCGTTGAAAATTATGTGATTGAAGTTTTCAATTTACGTTGGAAGAAATCACCATCACTTGCTGTTGCTTGCTGGTTGATTCTTTTATGTTGATCATAAGAAACGATTTCTTCTAGTATTTCACCATCTCCTCTGATTAATCTGGGAAAAGAATAAATACGATTACTTTCCAGGAGTTCTGATTAACTTGCCAAAAGGACTTGCTTCCAATGCTATCAAAGAAGTGCCTAATCCTCATAATCTCAAGAACTCCTCACTTCAGGAAGACAGACTTACTGTGTGGGATGTAAGAGACTTCAGAGAAGTTGCACAACTGTCATCTTTAAAATTGCTGACCTATTGCAAGGCGGTTAAAGAATGGTGGTCACATTTCGTACCCTCTTGATGTCACACGGCATCGGGCACATCCTGAATGCATGGCAAAGCATGTACTCTCTGCGCGTCACAGCCTTTAAAATGGCGGCTCAACTCGAAATGCGACCACCTTTCATTATCCGTCTTGGACCTATTGGCAGTTGGTCCCACAAACTAACCCATTAGACACCACAGAGTTACTATTTTACTGATAAAATCACCACTCCAGAGCTAACCGCATACAATCTAGAAGATTTACCCAACATGCAATATTGGATTTTTTCTTTTTATTATGTTTGGACCAGTGCTACAAAAGAAGGATCTAGAATTCCTGCTTCCACACTCTCATAGATTTGTAAGTACCAATGTCAAATATATCATCCAATGAAGCAACAGTTTACTTCATCCATTTAACTCTTCCTTCAGATGAAAAAATATTCACAGTTCAATCTAGTTTCTACCATGTCATTCAAATTACTTTGTGTACTAGAAAGAATAATGATTGTAGAGGCAATCGCTTAGGTACCTGTTTCGACCTGTTTCTTCATCGTAGACCCTTCTAATTACACTTTGCTTTTTCTCCCATTCTTCCTTTGTCATGGGTTTCATCGCTTTGGCACGCTCTAATATCTCATCAGGAATGGGCGGACCGACTGGCTCTTGACTTTGTGATAACTGCTCTTTCTCAGGGGACTTGCGTTTTTCTAACTTCTTAGATTTTTTGCTCTTCTTCTGTTGTTTTTTCAACCTCTTCAACTTTTTCTTTAATTTTTTCTTACGTCTCAACTTCTTCCTCTTCTCCTCTTCAGAATCAGAGCTTGAAGATTCAGAACTACTGCTGCTACTGTCATTACTACTGCTGCTGCTACTACTGGAGGTCTCCTCACTGGAACTTCTGCTTTTCCTTCGCGCAGATTTTTTCCTTGATTTTTTGGTGTGTTTTGTCCTTTTATGTTTCACATGTTTTGGAGAGGATTGGTCACTAGATGAGACTGAGCTCTCAGATCGATTCCTTTTTCTTCTCTTGGGACGATCTTTCGTGATATCCTTGTCAGACCTTTTATGTTTGCTTTTGGAAGCAGACAAACCTGAGGATTTGTTCACCATTTTTGGCTAGGGCAGAACACTGACTGTATTGCCCTTTTAACTGAAAGCTTGTATCAAAGTTTAAATGATTCCATCAGTTTTCGACCACAGAAAACTTGATGCAGAGCAATTCTTCCATGAGAACTGCTATTATGCAAGAGGTCTGTATCTCAGCAGATGCATTTGGGTTTTTGGCTACCACTTTACCGCTAGTTGACTATAGAAACCTCAACGTGAGACTTTTAATTCCCCACCAACCGACTAACCACAGACAACTGACAAAGTGAAAAATTCGTTAAAAAAGCACAAAGTGATAGGTTTCAAACACTAACTTTTATCACTTCACGCGTGTGAGAAGGCTTATCAATCCTTTTTTTATCACTTGTTTACTCACCGCAAAATGTAAACAAACATTGCCATTTTTTGCATCGATGCATTTTTACTTGATGAATGGTGAAGAAGAATAAGCGTAGGTGCCAGTTTTAACAATTAATTCTCAATAGTGCTTTGATAATTTCATATATTTCGTAATAAACTTTTATATTGAAGCTTTACTCTACCTTCTGAGTTTGTTTAATGCTGAATTAATGACTCCAATTTTAAAACATAAAGATGTACCCCGTCAAAAATGGATGTAATGCTCACAGTAGCACAAACAGGCAACATTGATGAGGCCATGTCATTTTGACAGCTTCTTTCTGATAAAAACAATCCCTTATCTTGCGATCCTCCCGATTCGCAGTCCGATCATTCGTTCGCTATTTTTTTATTTTATTATGTAGTGATTAATTTCTATAGTTAAAGTTACTTTTGTCATTAACCGAGACGTAAGCATCGATCATTCCAAAATGAGCGTCGATGCTGACTCGTTCGTGAGACAGAACGTGGTTTGGTCTCAACTACCCCCAAACATTAAACAAGTAAGTTAAGGAGGATGATCGTCAGCAAATTCACTTTGAGCGTCTCATTATCCGCATGATCTTACCGTACTATTGGTCTAAAATACATTCTTCCATTTTTAGCAGACACCCACCTTTATTACATGAACAACTTTGTATGGGATGTCATGACATAACAGAGGCCACTCAATCCTTCCCGCCTACCTCTTGAAAATCTCTCTGTTAAGTTTTCTGTTCTACCCAGATCTAAAAGCTCCGATCGGCATCTCCCATTTATATATTCTGCACTGATTCAAATGCCGTCTTAATATCATTTTGCAGCTGTTTTAGCAAACAAGTTTTTTCACAGATTGACTCCTAACTGGTCACTTCACTATTAGATGCCATCCCTTCATCAGTCTTCTCTTCTCTAAGGATTTGACTGCGTAACAGTAATCTTAAAATGATGTCTTTTCCCTCAAGGTCTTCCAAGCTCAGCGTGAGGTTTAGAGTTTCAGTTGAGCAGCAGTAACTTGTAACTGTGAATGAGAACCCTACACTTTACATGGTGTTGTATCTTCTCAAGAAGTTACTATCCCCAAAGTTGTGCAGATGCTGTCTCGGGAAGAAGCAAGAAAATTATTTTGTTTTTATTGCTTTAATGATGGCCTCAGAATGCTGTCTTTGAAATCTCATTCCCCATTAACGGTCCAAAACTGTATTACTTCTTGCAAGGCTGAGGTGACCGATTTTAAGAAATACCTATTTTTGAAAGGAAAATCCCAATGGTGCCTCGGAAATTTGTAGGAAAGCCAAAACCAGAACCCCACAGGATAGAGGGCCTAAGTTCTTCAGATTATTGCAACCACCATGATTAACCATCAATTTCTCTTATTCCAGAGCTTTGGAAACTCGGAGGCAGAATATAACAAATTCATCAATAATTTTAGCATTAAGAATCAACTGAGATTCAGGGGCAACCTCAGTAAGTATCCTATTCTATTTCAAACGCGTGCCAAAATTTAAGTCGGACACATCTCAGATTTTTCATGTCACTCCACTCAAGAGATAAAACAACCATTTAACTTCAAATGAAAATTTTAATACTTCTCTGAGGTTCCATCTATAATACTTAGCAGAGGCAGTTAGATGATTTTTGCAGGTAATTGCGGTATGTTTCCCAGCTTTTATCATAACTTCATTCAGTTTACCCACGAATGCCAAACAAAGTACGTTACAGCTGCAACTTTTGGATGTGGATTTCCCTTCAGGCAAGGTAATGCAAAAACTGTGAATTTTGTGAAGGCATAAATCTAGTTCATATAATTAATAAAGATGAGAGTCATGCCTTAACTTTCAATGATTTTGTGAGAGTGAGCGAGAGGGATGCTGCCCTCTCTTTTACTACCTCTCCCACTAGGCAGTGGACCCACATTGGAAGGGGCAGAGGGATTGCTACCACAGTGAAATAATTTTTTTTGTTTCTAAGTAATTTTCTAAATTTTTTTTGTTACTCAATTTCACAGTTCGCCATGTACGCAAAGATGAGAAACAGTATTACGAAGAACTCATCAATTTCAGCAAGAAGACTTACATGCTGTATCCTTATCATTTAGCTGATAAAATTGTCAAAGGTCTCAACATCACACCTTTTCATTATTACTTCTCAATGCTAGAATTCATCATGGAAAAGGAGAAGAACTACGACCAGCTTCCCAATTTCACAGCTGTAGACTGTAAGATCTTTTCTTTGTTTTCTGTGCTTTTTAACCACTTTCATCCCTTTGTTATCCTTAGGAAATTGCTCGGGAAATCATTTCCTTTTTTTCCTTTGCAGCTCTGAAGGGTCAATGATACTTTAAAAACCTTGTAGTGTGATTCTAAGTACCTAATACCAAGTTCTAGTTTAAAAGAGGTCCTGTTTCTATGAAACCCAGAAATATATTATTAGCTTCAGGCCTGGGAGGAACAATACCATAAATTTAAAGACTGTATTCAAATTGAAAGCAGTACAAGTTAACCTATTCCCATGTATTGACGAGCATACTCATCAAGGCGCGCTGTCTCGCAGCATTGCTTAGCTATTGTTTTTGTCATTTTTGCTCCGACTTTTTGATAGAAAGCATAATTAGTACTAATCTCATTCTGGAGTATTCTGTTGCTAACCTGAATGAATCTTAGTAATTTTGTTGTTCATATGAAGCTATGAAGTATTTAAAATATATAGTTGTATATGCATTTATAATGACATACAAATGGGTTAATGGGAGATGATTAGATACAGCAATATTGTCAAAGAAGTCTTCATTTGTTCAATTTTTGAATTAGGTTGATATCTGTGTCCTGTGCTTGTTCTCTTTAACATCTCTTATTCCTCACAGGTTTGAGACTCCTAGGTGTTGGGAGAAACGAATACATAGAATTGATGAACCAGTACCGTTCCGGTAAAAAGTTATTCCGAAAGAAAAGTCCAGCAAGAGTTTTGTTGCCTTTGAAGCCTAACACTATCAAAATTGAACCATGGTGGTATATTGATGTTGGCTTTATATCAGAAGATGATGCCAAGGTAATTTCAATATTTCTTGCCTTTCTTTGTCTTTAGATGAACAAGAAAAAACACTGGAACAACAAAGCAGATCAGTGGCTCCCACAATCTTCGATAAAATTGTAGTACCTAGATTAATATGTAGTTCATTCTGAGGCGAAAGCCAAAAGTTAAAGGAGTCATATGGAAATATCCACACTCGAACATGCACTACTTTCTGATGGGTTACTGCTTTGCACGAGAATTAAAAGTTCTCCCTCCAAACTGTTTGATATGTGCAAGTATCTCTATCAGGTGGGTATAGACTATCTCGGGAAACATATTGCACCCCTCCCTTTTCCACATTGATAGATTCTGCTTTGGCAGCTACATACAATTTTAGATTCAGACTGTCAATTTGCAACCATCTTTCTGTCCATGTGATTATTGAAGATTCATTTAGGTTTATTTCTATTAGTTTAGTTTGAAACTCATTGGCATTTATTGATTTTTGTTTTAAACATACATCAAAATGGTGTAAAAGATGCAATGTAAAGAATGCAGAATGACAATGGAAAATAAATAAATAACTTTTTTTTTTGTTTTAAAAGTAAATCACTGAGATTTGTCTAGATAACTCTGCACTCTTCTTTTCATTACAGGTTATTCCTGAAGAAGAAAGGAGGATCATCGATAAAATAATTGATAATGGTCATCAAAAGGCTGGTGAATTAGACCTTCCATCAATTCTCAATTTGTACAAGTAAGTCAACTATCCTCTCTGACATCATATGCGCTGCAAACATTTTTTAAAACTGAGGATTGTGAGAATTTTGCATTTTAATGAGTTTCCCTGTTAAGAAAGTATACCACTCAAAAGATTTAATGTGATGCAGAGGGGTTATCCTGGTTTGACGACCACGCAAGAAACTTAACATGGCCTTTTTCATTAATGCAGCTCCTTCAATAAAAAAAAAAAATATAAATAAAAAAAAAGAAACATCCGATTAAACACAACTTGGAGAGCAGAAAAGCGAAACTGTTAGATAAGTGTCATAGTTTGTGTTGTTTGTTTTTAATTGGAGACTATGTCATGTGATGGCTTCCATTTTGAGTTTTATCTGGAGTTGTGAGACTGAGGTGTTGTTGTTGTTAGGTATATATTCTTTGAAGCAAGGAGCTTAAAAAATGCGCTAATTTCTCCATCAGATCATAAAAGAAGGAGTGAATCTCAGACTTTGACAATGTCTCCTCTTTATTTTTGAGTAATTTTTTACGAGGGGCAACTGTAATTTTCATTCCAGCTAAAAATTGCAACAGGCTCACTGTCAAGTTAATTAATGAACAATTCATTAAGGAGCAAGGAAATTTTTGGTTTTACAAATTGACGGTTCATTTATTATTGGTGTACTTTGGCTGAATCACAGTCACTTAAAACCTCCATGTCTTCTAACTTAAATTGATGCAGTCTTTTATTTTTGAAAATTTTAATCTTTGTAAGTTTAATTCCACATTATTTACTTGCCTTTCATTTTTAAGTCATGGACTGAATCTGAGTCATCACTGAAATCTTCATGACACTGTAGCCTCCAAAGGCAAAAGGAAAAAACTATTAAACATGAAATAAATAAAAAAAATCTTTAATCAAGAAGGAGGGATAGGAAAAAATCAACCAACCTTGTGGACTCCATGACGTTATTCTGTCATGTTTGCAGCTTATCATAATTAACAACACCAATGTAACATTTCCAACGACTAATGCTGCCGTACAAATTAAATTCATTGGCACTCATGAGAGATAATTTATTTTTCAGGAAACATTTCATTTACCTTGAAGTACCGATTCAAGATGATGATTATGTGACTGTCCCACCTTTAGAGGGCTTTGTAATGAACCGAGTCACCGGAGATTACTTTGAGACCCTTTTGTACAAAATATTTGTATCTATTGATGAGAACACATCTGTCAGTGAGGTAAGTCCTTTTTCAACACTGGGAATGAATGCCACAGTTATGAAATAATACCAAAATAGGTCATAGGTAATGATGGAAGAAATTAGTTTTAATTGCTACCACTTAATCCAACTTAAGCGTTGGAGCATAATGTAATAGGCATATTTTTAAGTTTTGATATAAAAATTATCATACCAGTCTGATGCCAACGGTTACATCAGGCTGTTTCCTTATAGCTCAGGTTAAAAACGAAAACAACCCATTTTACAAATTGCAGCCTCTGAGTGCGACTGCTAGACACTCATTTGTGATCAAGTTTTTTCGTAATTATTATCTCTTTTTGCATTTATGTCCATACAGCTGGCTTCAATATTAGAAGTGGACCTACAGTCAGTCAAAGAAGCCGTTTCTCTGTACTGCAGACTAGGATTTGCCAAAAAGAAATCCAAAGACATGGAGCTTATAAGTTTACATCCTTCCTGGCAGAGTTTAGAGTCTGACAGGTAAGTGGATATTCTTGTCTTTGTCGTCATTTCTATACTTACTCGAACATTAAGTCTGTAATTACGTGTTTTAATCACTTTCGTATTGCACCCGTATACTTGTTTGTTTTACTGTGTATTATATTATGTTTCATCTATCATGATTATCCCTTCACCCTGAAATTTCAAGCCCCTAAGGAACGTGGTATCGAAGTCCTGGCATAACCTTCAGAAAAACACTTGAGAAAAATTTTGTACCCGTTTGACAAAAATGTATGGATTTTTCTTCAAAAATTCCTCACTACAGAGTAGCTGAAAAATCGTCACTTCGTAGCATCATTTCATTTGAGTCTTAGGAGGCTTACATTGCTTATCAGTGATTTTTTTGTTCCTTTGTCTCTAAGACTTAAACATGTTTTTTAGCGCATTATCCATAGTATTTTAGCTTATTTATCATTCGTCAAGCCTTTCGATTTTTTTCTCTCAATGGATACTTCAGACCTAGTTTTATTTTCACAGAAAATGCCACTTAGTATGAAAGTTTATCATCAACAATATCTGATTAATTTTTTCCAGTTTGAAGTAGTACAATTTTGGACTATTCAAAGAATTTACAATTAATTACTGTCAGCTCCATTAATTTCATCTGATTTTTTTCAGGATCAGTCCATCATCAAATGATGAACCAATCCTGTTTGAGCTGAATGCTGCGCTAGCAGAAGCCAGTCTCTTAGGTGATGAGGTGCTAACTCCAAGTGAAGAAACAGAGCCAACTCTCAGGAGCAAGAGAATTGGATTTATTTTTGATTCCACACTAACTGCATTCTTGATGATGGGAAATTTATCGCCGGTAGGAACTCATGTCTTACTCACATTTTTCTTCGGGTTTTATTTCGAGCTCTTTTTAAGTCTAGTCCCTCTAAAAATATTTTTCCAAAAAGCGAATATTTTGAAAAATTATGGTTCAGTCCTCATAGATCTAACTGGGCACTTAATTGTTCCTTTTTGACCAATCTGATATTTACCATGGAAGGTATCATATGTTTCACTCATATTATGGAGGTTTCAGCCGTTTTGCTTGTTTGTCAATCAAGACAAAAAATCCTCCATTTTTAATAAGTGCTATGAAATAGTCTGTCAAAAAACTTAATTGTGCCAATCTGTTCAGCATTTCTATTCTTCAATCAGGAACTATCAATGGTCCGACTCCTTGGACATCCTCTTTTATTTCTTTAGTTGCGAAACCATCCTCTAGAGTTTTTAGTGTGTAGTATTTTGATCTTTCAGTGGGTTGTATTTTAATTTTGTAGGACAGCTGATGAAAATTGAATCAATAATACTTTATAATGCTTTAAATGCGTGCCATTTATGGAATCCAAAAGTCGCCCTTATGAAATTCCCTCTCGCACAAATCAGTCATCGTCATTTGATTCTTTTTCTTTTCCAGGGCTTGAAAAGTCATGCTGTCACAATGTTTGAAGTGGGCAAGCTGACTGATGAAAGCTTAGACAGTTTTCTAACAGAATTAGAAAAAGTTAGCACCTCTCGAGATGACAGTGAAGGAGAGGCAAAAAGATACTTTGATCATGCCCTAGTCCTTCGATCAACAATAATGTCTTTGCGAAATCAACCGGACTTCTTCAACTGTGGCATTGATTTAATCCGATGCGAACGTCTCCAGTCCCTAGAAAAAAGCACTTGTGATCGTTTACTGAAGAAGAATTATTCGTAAGTTGAATCATTTTTTACCATTGTAATTTTCACGATTGCCTTTGATTGTAAAACAAGGACAGTTAATCAGGTTTATTTTGCGCCGAACTTTGTGTTCAGTGTTACTAGCACTTAAAGTAGGGTTGCAGTAGTTTTGAATATTAAAGTAAGTTATTTTTGCATTAAATTGCTGAGTCAAAGAAGAATGTGGGCATATCAAAATAGTGCCCAATTCAAAATGCAAGTATGTAAAATTTAGACATTTTGGCATGTCCTAGTTTATTCTTTCTTCATTAAAATATCATAACTTTTAAAACAATTTTAAACCTTTGAAAACAAATTTTTTTTTCGGTATTTTCACTGTTGCTATTGTCAATTACTTTGACACACCTTAGACATACATAAAGGGGCCGTCCCTGAATTACGTAACATTCTAAGGGGGAGAGGGGGGGAGGAGAGCGTTTTGCCATTTTGTTTTTATGTGTTAAAGGATAGGGATCTGCGTCTTAAAACCGTTACAAGGGGAGGAGGGGTCAAAAATACCTAAAAAGTGCCTAATACCTAAAATGTCATTCTGAGACGACCCCGAAGATGCTTTTTGCTCAAATAATGGTACATTTTTTATGGTAAATGTGTTCTGTCAAGCAAGGCATCTGCTGCGTTTAATTTATGTTATTGTTCTTGTTTGAACTGGAGTCAGGAATCATGTGACTGCTTGAGCAGGGGCCAGAAAAGAAATTTTGCAACATTTTGTGGAGTTATGAAACCACAAGTTTTAAAATAGCATATTCATAATCGGGAGGTTTGATATTTTCTTGCCGGTCACAGAGAACTGACGCTGTTCCAAAATTAAGAACTCTGTCAGTCATTGGCACCTGACACAATTTTCAATAAGTTAATGTCTCTGATTGTTTTTCTCTTTTTTGGATTTACAGAATACTCTTATCAATGGCACCCTTGAGTAAAGAAATTACCCCAATTGTTAGCATTGAACCTCCTCATCTAGGCCCTGCTGGAGCAGAAGTTAATTCGTTCTGGTTCAAGTTGTTTTTGTATAGAGAAGCAAATTGTGGTCCCACATCACTGTTGCTCCCAAGAGGTAAGTTCATCATTAAAATCTTAACCTGTGAGGTAAAATAGGCGACCCTGTCTGTCTTATTAGATTCATTTTAAATGGTGTGAAACACAACAGAATAATATTTTCCAAAATCCAAAAGTCCAAAAACTCATGAGTTCTAGCATCCTGCGTGATCAACGGAAGCCAGGGCTCATAAGTTTTTGGACTTACACCCGTCTAACAGGAACTGATTTAATTATCGATACTTGAAAGAAAATACACTTAAAGCTTACTCAATCTTAAACTGTCCATTCCGAAATAAAGGATCAAGCTTCAGTAGTTGGTAGATTAGGTTTGAGGCCTTATCAAAGTGCATTGCTCTTCAATTGTACACCGGATCAGTATTATGTGTCAGTGTTAATTGTAAAGGCTGAATTGCATTAATAAGCAAAAATGGCAAAATCCATCAAAATGTAGAGTTTCCTCATTTAATATCAATGAATATATTGCCCTTTGAAATGATGGTGTATGATGTAATACACTTCATCATTATCTATCACGGTTCCTTCCTTTCCACTGTGCGTTCTTCCTCACCAGCCGTTTAAAGTAATGTTTGTACTGGATGCTTTGACTAGAAAGACCAGGGTGACAGAAACCTTTTAGCGCATTGGCTCATGCATTGGATTGTTTCATCTGGATTTATTTATTTATTTATTCATTTTTTCAGGCACAAGGCTAAGAAGAATTCCATCTGTTTTCAAAACTTGTGATAAAATTCTGGTGTCCTCCTGGGGTCATGAACCCGGTCTTCTTCCTGTTAATAACATTTTATTCACTGTCAATGATGCTTTAACATACTCTCCAGTTTTAATTCAGGTAAGCAGTCCCAGTGTCTCTTCAGTATCAAAAAGCGTGTGAGGATTTAATGTTTTCCTGGAAGGTTACCTACATACATACTCACATACAACAAAAGTGAATGAGTTAGATACCAAACTGCATTTTTGACATCCATACATGATAATTAGGAGCCAAATTGATCCATAGTGTCCATTGAAATTATGAAAAACAGAAAATTTGGATTGATTCCTTTTTACTAATTAAGCAACTGTTGTGTAGTCACTGAGATTACAATTATTATTGACAGTTACACAAAACTTTTCCCTAGCTAACACAGGAGCTGAATTTTTGAGGGTATGATAAGCTTAAAATTAAGGGGCTTGGAGGACAAGGTGCGTAAGTGCAGTTTTCAAAAAAATTTGAGATTTTAGTGATCTCAAATAAAACTAGGTTTGGAATAAATTCTGTGAAAAATTTACTGGTAAAATCCAAGTTTTAAGAATCGAAATGTGAGTTTGAACTTTCTTTCCGCCGTAAGGCTTCATATAGTTTAGAAATTTATAAACGTTTATATCAAAATAGTATAGCGAAAATTGCACTTAAGTGTCTTGTCCTCCAAGCCCCTCAATTGTACCATCTGTGCCGTATTTCTTTAAAAAATTCATGTTTATTGAATGCGAATATGTATTGGTCGGTTTTACAGCGCACTAGGGCGCTAAACAACACATAACCACCTTTGGAAGCAGAGATTCTCCGGATTTATTAAGTTTAATTGTAAAATAATCATTCTCTTTAGGACATCAGGACGTATTGTATGCAAGAAATGTATTTTGAAAAATCGATGGTTTTGATTATTTTTCAGGCTTTCGGCGCACCCAAGGACGTTGAAACTCGTTGCATACCCTTTCCAAGTAAAAATAAGTCTGAGAAATGTGAGTGTTTTCTAAAATTGTGTTTTCCTGTAGAATTTTGTTTTTTAGTTTTTCTCTGACAAATTAAATTTTTCTTTTTTTGTTCATCAGTTGATTAAGTAATATATTTATGAGAATTGAGTGCTGCCAGCAGATATTTCTGTAGCTTGTCTCTTCTCATGTTTCTTACTTTTTTCGCATGAAATATTGACAATCGTCCCATTAATATCAAAAACTGTTTCCGCTCTTGCTGATGCCATGAGCATCAGTTTCCTTGATTTTAGCCTTCCCTTTATTGTCATCTTGTCACCGTGCTGCTTAATAAAGAGCTGATTTGACCTGGTAAAGCTTCAGGCAAACTACGGAAAAGCTATGATTTGGGTTTTTTTTTAATTTTTTGGAGGTCCCTCATCTATATTCTTGCCAGTATAAATTACGGCTAATCTATGGGGGCAGCAAGTTCAACGAGTTAAGAACAAAAAGGCTTGCTTGAATGTGAGTGCCTTAGAAAAGAACTTTTCCAAGAATAAAGACATTGGAACAGGCTCTCAAAAGTTAAAATGAGATGATGAATGAAATTCTTGTCGAAGTTTAGGTAAAAGTCAGGGTTAAACTTCCTCATAAAGCAACTGATTGGAATGGTGAATAGTTCTCATGGTCTATCCTTATATGAAGTATACATTTTTGGAGATCTCCTCACACTTCACATCACTTCCCGAAGTTTTACGCTCCTTTTTAGGTTCGACCCTTTTTGTGACTGTATTGCTGTACAATTTGGTTTTTCCCTCTGCCACTGCTAATTGATTAAAATTGGCTTTTGCTTCTTTTTTCAGATGGAAACGAGTTTGATAGTTTTTGGAGCACTAATTCTTATCTAACCAATCTTAACAGTAAACTTGGCTTATCACGCACATGCGGCTATGTAGAAATATTTAGGTTTAAGACAAAACAGCCCAGTATAAAAAGGAATATCCTGAAAGAGGAGCTTCCATTTTCTGTGCAATATCCTTTGCGATATGAAAAGAAGGGTCTCAGCAACAACTCTGAGAATGGTAATGAACAATTTCATCAAAATTTCACATTAGCGCAGAAAGTGGATCTGGCCTTATGCAATACTTTAGCTTCTAATTGTGGCCTACAACAGACAGGAACTAAAAAAGTATCCGGGAATATTGGCTTATCAGTGCTTGAATTGCGCATTTTAGTTGTCTTTTTGCCATTTGAAATGGATGGACCAGTCCAAAATTACTCTATATATGGACCACCCCTCCAGGATTTTTCCTGGTGTTCCTGCCTACCTGTTCGCCCCTGCTTACAAATGGAAGCAGTACATTTCTCTTTAGTTGATCAACCATACAGGTTCCTGTTGCTGTCAAAAAACCTACATAAGCTTTCAATATCTAGTCATTTGTTGCCTCTGAAACTGTAAATAAATATTTCAAGGCAAAGAAAACTACTGCTGAAATCAACCCTCTCCCCAAGCTCCTCGACTGTCTGTACACGACTTATTTTTTCCACAAACAACTCAAATTTATGTATTGAAAATCGAAAAAAGTAAATGTGACTTATTTTACAGTAATACCTGGAATCAGTTGAAAAGTTACAATCTCTTATTCAAAATCCTGAGAGATACGCATTTGTAAGTACCAGAGTTTTTACTTTTTCTCCTCTTTTTCAGGTGATGGATATTTGCTGGCACCAAAGGTAGACACTCAATCCAACTCAGAACCGATAGATACTCCTAAAACGGAGTCATTGCCAGAAAAAGGTACTCCAGTGAATGGCATCACCAGTCAAAAAAGTGCCACCATCCTAGCTGAAGAGCTAGATAAAATGTGTGATAACTTCTCCGTGCCAACCGATACCTGTTACCTGAGCAAATCCAATGACTCCAGTGTGAATTTCAACTCTGATAACTCTAGCGAATTTGAAAGTCTAGAGATGTCAGGGCTCAAAGATTCGCCGCAATCAACAAAAAATATTCCTGTTGCCTGTGACAAAAATGTGGATCTCTTTGCAAGACATCCAACTCCAAATGTAGGCTCCTCAGAGAAAGAATTGTCCAATAGAAGGTTCTTGAGGAGTTTGCTCCAAAAACCGCTGAGACCGGATGATTTTGCGATCGAGTCTCAATCACAGAGCAATGAGAGAGATGATTGGTATCTGCTAGATTGTTGCTTTGGAATCCCATTGTTTGATGCTGCGATCAACTCTCCAATGTGTGAAAATCTTCTGAAGAGCAAGTTTTGGGAGAAAGACAAGTAAGTTATCTCATACCCATGGCACAGACTCAGTTTTAACATAATTGATGCAACTTTGGTCAAACTGTTATGCATGCAGTAATGTAGAAGTATTCTCTCTCATGCTAAGTTCTGGATTTTATGGTGGCAACATACCTCTCTGTTACTCACCTTGCAGTTTAGGCCAAGTTGCTAAAAGTCGAGACTTTGACCCCAGGGCTCGCTTTCATTTGAAATGTTTTTCATTTATTTATTTGATCTGACCAAGAACTTGGTTGAATTTTAATTTTTATTTTTTAAAAGAAAAAGAAGAAGAAAAAAAAAAACATGGACCATTGACTAATTTAGCTATTCTAGGTTAGGTAGAGATTCACCCTTATCAAAAACGTCATATTTTTCACAAAGCATATGAAAATACATATCAAATTTTCAGCCAATGTTAAACTGAATTTGATTAGTTTAGTAAAGAAAGAGGGGTGTCGGAAGCCTTCCGTAATCATAGTTTATCAACTGTATCTGTTGCAGCTACTTTGTCTGGTTCCTTTTAAAGCCTGTGAGCTGGAAAAAAAATCAGTTAACAGTATTTTTTGAAGAGAAGTCTGCTGGTTAAATAAATCATACCTACCCTTTATCGTTAGCACAGGTTTTTTTTTCTTTCGCAAGTATCTCTCATTTAATTACTTTTCCATTTGTTTGCAGGTTACAGCAATTAGCAGACTTCAACACTGAATTGAATACAAAATTGAACTCGTTCATCGAAGAATTCAAGGTGAGAATTTTTCCAATACTCATTTTCAAAAGAATTAGGATGGGGATGAATTCTTTAGGACCCTGCAAGAGCCAATGTAAAAACCTTTGAGCAGTTATGACCTTTGCGAGCGCACAACGTACATCCTCGAAAAAACCCCATTGAAATTTGTAAGGCCACAGCGGCGGTTGCAGAGATTGCCCCTCAGAAAGGAGTAGGAAGTACTACTTTATTTAATATAGGACGTACTTCACAACTTCCGAGTAGGTTATGCTTTAAAAATTGAGCTTTCTGTGTGCCAATTTTAGAAAAAGCGGGACTGAAAGTGTTTTACCAGCATTTTACGACGGTGTTTATTACAATCATATTCAACTGCCAATGTGACAGATATTGAGTAATGCGCTGCATATTGGGATCATCCAGGGGAATTTTGGTTCTTTTTGATCAAGAATCCATCTACGTATTTTCCTTGGCTGGCAAAGAAAGAAGAGCTCTTCCAGATCACCTGTAAGGGGTTGTAAGATTTTCTCTAGAAAATGTGTGTATCGCTGTAGAAATCCATCTCTCAACCCTATTCTCCTTATGTTGGCACACTAAAAGCTCAATTTATAAAGCTTAGTGTACTTAGGAGGTTATGGAAAACAGGAGTTGTGCCAACTGTAATCGGCCCAAATCTACTCTTTAAAACAGGAAGTTCAAGGCAGTGCATTTTTATTCAAATTGTGAATAAGATGCACACTTAAATCTTTGCCATTGCGCTGAATGTGATCTTTACGCCATTTTTATGAATAATGTTATTATTCTCTCATCACGATTTCAAGTTTGCAAGCACTTAATGAGGTCGTTTGGATATGAAGTGGCCAAGAAATGGGCAATGATGGCAGGCGGTAGTCACCGTTACATACTTCAGTTGAGTTCTAATTAGGAGTAAGAGCATAGTTTCTTTTTTGAACTGTTGAATAACTTGCGTTTTATCTCATTACTTTTTTTCTCTCCTCTTCTAGGGACAAAATTTCAAATGCTCCAACGGGTTTTCCAAGTTGGATTGCATTAGACTTCCTGTTCAACCTGTGATGTATGAATGTGATAAAGGCGTTTCCTTTTGGAATCTGGACTTCGACAGCTGAGAGTCCCTGTCTGTTTGTTTGAAACAGACATCATCTTTTCTCAAGAAAAAAAAGACACACAAACCATAATTTTTGTACTTCTCATCATTCCTGCCTTCTAGTCAATCCTTTGTGAGGTTGCAACCTCAAATTATCCGTACGTAAAAATTCGAAATTTGTATAACAAATATTGTTGAAATAAAGTTAGTTTTAGAAGTTTCTTATTTTGAATGATTCTTTGCCACAAGATTTTGCCAAGTTTATTGGCTGCCAAATATGATGTATAATGGGCACATCAACATTACAGCATTGAAAAAGTTTTTTGAACGTTTGATCTTCTCAACAAAGTATTATTACACCCCATGTTTCGAAAACTTTGAAGGATTTTCTTGTGGAGTTATAAGGAATCACATACATTCCAGTAAAATTTAATCGGTGATTTACCTTTTTTTTTTTGTTTTGGGTGTGTCTAACCCCCACGAGTGGCGGTGATTTATTTATGATTAAATAAAATGGTTACATACGTCCCGAAGCAGATACAGTCATAAGCTAAGCAGCCCACGTACAATTGTCTTCTTATTCATATTGTTATCTCAACTTCTGTAAACACTTTTCAGTTCATGTTAAATAAAGGACCCCGCACACTCATTATGGGGATGTGTGCCAAGATCGATTTTTAATTTTCTAATTACTTTGAATTCGTCCATGAATGCTGACCAAAAGTCATCATTGCGCCAACTTTCTTTAAGTCACCATTTTGGCACAATATGCAATGGGAAGTTTCGATAATTTCCAGGACAGGCCGGCCAAAACCAAAACGCAGGCACATGCCTGTCTGGTAAGGACAATAGAGTAGGAGAGAGAGAGAAACTGATATGGACGGTGAAGAGAAAAGGCATGTGGAATCTGAGATTGGACTGTCGTTTGGTTGCAGTTCCGTTTTCCTGTTTACCTGATTAACACACACCTGACCAACCCAAACCATCCTCGAGTTCTGTACTACCTTTAATTTATGCAAGGAATCACCAAGATTTTTTTTTGAAGATCGTGCAATAACGGATGACTTTGGATCGGCAGCCATAGACGAGTTTAATGCAATAAAAAAATTAAAAATCGATCATGGTGCACATTCCCATAGGGAGTCTGCAGCAGCCCGATTGTTGACAAATGTCAACAATCGGGCTGCTGCACTGCTGTCGTGCTGACATTATGTCAGCACGACAAGAATCGAAAATCGATATATTACACGGCGCAGATAGGGCTGTGTCTTGTCTTATCGTGCCGACATAGCCAGTTAAAGTTTCAACAATCCGGCTGCAGGGTCCTTTAACGCTAAATGTCCAATTAGAAAAAATCTTGACTTGGATTTTTATCTAACTAATCTCCTTAGAGGCTGGTAAATAACTTTCTATTGACTCTCTGGAACTGAATTTCAAACAAAGAATGAACACTGATATGGATACATTTCAAAAATGCAATTCAATGTATTTTGATACTAAAAATATTTACATTTTAGACAGACAATACTGTTTTACTATATTAACTCTTATGATAAACAATGTACAGCTTAGACATATTAAGAGCTGACGCCGAGAAAAATAGAGTTAAAATTAAACAGCAACATAGAAAATAAACTTGTGTGCACAAGTTGAACTGATGTCACGATTCCAGGAGAAATAAGCAAGAAATAAAGAAATTTATTTAAATCAAACAACGATCATTCGAAGTTATGTACAGCGTCATTAGTAAAAACAAAAAAGTTTAAGAATTCATGCGTTTAATTTATGTCTGAGAATTCCTACTTCATGAGCCTGTTGCAAACCTTCGCTAGAGCAAAAAGAAGAGTTAAGTCTTATAAAAACTGACTCAAAAATCACAATGAGTGTATCGGGAAAGTCTGAAATGCACTTTTCACATTGCAATCTGCGTAAGAAGTAAGCGTTTTTTTAGGCTTTCCGCTTCAAAAACAATACTGTAACACAGGTGAATATTTCGTAAGAGGAGTCTGCCCATCCAATCTTTTTGCACTAGGATGCTAAACGATATTCAACATAGCTGACGCTTCCCAACGCAAATCATGAGAAAGCATCATAGTCTATATCTTTGAGAAGGAAATGTAAATATAAACACGCTGATTGATAAAATTCTGTCTTGCTACATGTGTTTCTGTGGGTTGGTGTCAGTCATGTTGAATATTGTGTAGTATTTTAGTGGGCAAAGGTTAGAGGAAAGACTCCTCTTAAGAAATGTTCACCTGTGCCATAGCTTTTCTGAAGCAAAGAACTCAAAAAAATTTAATATTTTTTACGCAGATTTTGAAGTTAGGAGTGACTTTCAGACTTCCCCGATGCATTTATTATGATTTTTGAGCCATTTTCTATAGAAAACAATACTTCTTTTTACTCTAGCAGAAGTTATCAACAGGCCCTGTCTCAAGCGCTGAGAATAGATTAAACTGCCAGGTTGGAAGGTAACAAACGTTATTGAAGGGAAAAACACCATTTGAGTACTTCCTAAGGTCAGGACTTCAACTTTAGAAAATACCATTATAATTTGCAGACATTGGAATTACATATTCATGAAAGTTAAGTAAGTAATCAAAACCGACACGAATCATCAACAAATTTTTTTTTATATTTAATGAAATTTCTGAGAAACATTTATTTATGTGTCGAGTACGGAAGAGGAATTCATCGTCTATCATTCAGTGGCGTGGCGTGAATTGCGATGTATCGATTGTTATGCCATTTAATCCTATGGTAAAGAATCGATTCTTAAGATGTTCGCTATGAACACCCTGTTCATCGATCCTTTTCCATAGGTTTAAATGACTGATCAATTGATACGTCGCAAAGCACGCCACGCCACTGCTATCATTGATAACCTAAAGCTTTAATTATTATCCTCCCCTCTCTTTTTGTGACAGTGCGTATCATCAGCATCTGATAATGAGGCGTATTCTTATTGTATTGTTAGAATTTAAACAAGAGTTATAGCCTGTGTCACACTATCAAAATACTCCTTCAAATGTCAAGGTCAAGGCTTAATTATTGGTGCCTATCTGATTTTTAGAAGAGAGCGCAGGCTTTTTCGACTTAACTGGTATATATTTTTCACTTAGAAGATTCAGGGTGGGTGAAATTTGAATAAGTTAACATAGTACCTAATTGAGAATCAAAAGTCTGATTTTCGGTGGAGCCATTACACGAGTATTGCACGGTATCAACTATGGGAAATTCGAAAATGCGTTAAATAAAAAATAAAGAAAAATATTCACAACAATAGAATGTTGCTACATATGCTACAATAGAGTACAAATGTTGATCCATGTCAAAGATTGAGATGGAACCAGGATTGAAGTGGAACCTTTCCAGGAAAACTTTGATAGGCAAATCACTCACTCTCACATATTCAGTGCATACATAATTACAAACAATGATCACTGATGCCTTGAAGAACCATTGAGAACATTCCTAAAAATTCCTCTTTCTGGCATTCCACTTCCCCAAAAAGAAATTGATCTGGCCAGATACAGTTTTCTGTAAAAAATCCACTTATAAATACTGCACTGATAGTCATTTTGATACTCATACAAGTGATTTCTTTTTTAGTTATTTCTTCTTCTATACTGTTGCTTTAATCTCTAGGGCTGATCTTCAAGGTGTTCTTTTACCAATTTTTTTTACTTATTTAGGACTATTGTAAGTTGGGATTTCATAAATTAATAATAGCAGATGGAGGAATGTTTGAACCCTAGTATTTTCTGCAAGTGTTTTCCGATCATAAAATTATCAAAATATTGATAAGCTGACTAAATGATGAGGACAGTCTGAGCATTAAACTTAGCAGATGGACTAACTTATTTACGTTTTAAAGAAAATTTCATTTCTTAATTGTTCAAAATTACTCCGGTAACAGGTTGGAGCACATCCATCTAAAATTGGAAATTCTGATTAGGAGTAATTTTCTTAAGAACCTTCATACCTGTATGAAAGAGGTCCAAGATTTATTGAGCAATGCTATCTGTCTACGAAAGGGGAGATGCTACATGGTACCAAAAATCTAAAAAAATTCCTTCCAAGATTACAGTCTATCTACAGCTTCATGCACAAGACTTTGGATACATTAAAAGGAACAAAACTTAGCGTACAAAACTCAAAAGTAAATGGTCAAGAAAGTAATGAGTCAATGATGAAGAAATAAATTAAGACTGTGCCTACATCGATTGCCAAGTTCTCTGATGAACATTGACCCCAATCTATGTCAGTCATTGAAACTCATGAAAATTGCGGCAAATATTTGAATAATTTCAAAATGGGTAATTAAAGTTGAATACTTGGATAAAAAAAAAAATTTAAAAAAGGAGAGAAAATAACAACTAATTAATTTGCAACTAGAGGAGGTAGACAAAAATATGAGCAGTAATGGAGCTTAAGTTGAAACTGAGCAAAATAAACATCTCAATTCTGAATAGAAACACTTTAAAAATCTCTGCCACTTTTGATTCTGCTGAGGGCAAATCCCTCCTATGAAAGCTATTGATATACTTGTCATAGAGTAAAATCTGTACATTAGTATTCATTAACACTAACAAATATTCGAGAGATTAGATATCATTAATGTACGTTGGACAAAGAAGTAGATAAAGACGAATCATTCAAAATATATGAAGCTGAGAAACATTACTGCATCAAAGCATTTGACACGGTTCATGAAGAAGTCTATATTCTTATAACATTAAAATCAGTTCTGACACGATTAATAAACCGCCCGGAATAGTCTATTTTATAATTCTTTTATGACTTAGGTTCGATTTTGTGGTGAAATTCTTTGTTTCATCACAATGATAGAGTAGAATTATTGAGGTTACAAAATAAAATAAATCACAGAGATAATTTACAATCTAAACAAAAAATGCAAGAGGTTCGAAAAACAAAAAAATCACGGTCGAATACAAAAGATACCTTGAATTTTCAACAGAGAACTAGTTTGCTTTATCGAGAGGAACTTTAGTAAATAATTCTTTTTTTATTCCTTTTCTAGGCATGAGAATTTCTGGTGCAAAAACTAGATCTCTAAGGGATCCAAAAGCCTCCTGTCAAAAAGAGAACTCATCGACAAAATTGTACAGTTCAAAAAATCTTTAACTACAGATCTCCTAAAAGCTCACTTGAAGATAGAGAAAAAAAAGAGAAAACTGTCGCAATAAATAAACTTTAAGAGAAACTAACTTCTTCCAACAGAGATCACATTAGTAGCTTCATGTCAAGTACAAGTTTCAAACGTTACACCTTCACGATTGAACAGAAGGTAAGCGAAACTCTCTTCTAATATAAAACAATATGTAGGGCTTGCACTTTTCAACCGCTTTCATTGTTGAAATTCGGACTGAACTATCATCAAAGTGAAACCACTGTCCTTCGTTCACTGCGAAAGCTGTGTAATGGCCTGAACCAGCCCCTGACCCGTGATGAACTATCACAGCTGCTAGATCGTATAAATTAGTACCTGTCCCAGAGAGGCGTGTGTCTCGCAGATCGCTCAGAACGAATTGAGACATATCTAAAGCTGTCACCGGAAAGGCGATTGATGTGTCGATTTTGGTGCGAAAGAAGTTGTTCCACCGAAATCTTTTCAAATGTAAACACAAAACCTGTAGGAGAAACAAATCAGACATGGGATTAATAAATTACAACTGAACACGACAAGAAATTTGCAGCCAAATCATTGCGAAAATGAAAACAACTCGATAAGTGGAGCTGATAGTAGTGGCTCCTATCCGAAAAATATTATGGTAATTTTCCTATTTCTCTGACCTAGCTTAAACAAAGTTAGCTTCGGTCTACCTTTCAAAATTATGAGGGTTGACTCGGTGGTACCTCTAAAGAACACACCCTGAAAGTTAAATCAATTTTCTGCTTATCACAAAACTTAGTGAGTTATGATGGAAGAAGCGTAAAGCAGCCTGAGGGACCACCTTCCCAATAAAATATTTTAAAATGGAAAATTTGATCTTGAAGAGAAATTACAATTTTCCGGAAAAACACAGATTTTGAGACCTTCCGAGGCAATGAAGTTTTACTGTACCTGCAACCTTGTCTTCAGCATAAAGGATTCCATATTGAACCCAAAATACTGTTTATGTCTTGCTTTGTACTTTGTACAATCATGTCAAAATCACTTACAATAGCAACTTTAGCACATTACAACCGCATCAAGCATAAGCTCTGGTTCTGAAGAAAATGTTTAGTACTTATTGGATCCAAGTCAACTTTCCGGNGGGTGAACTCTCCGTATAGATTGCCACAAACAAGTTGCGGGCGGGTACATTTCACCTAGTGAAGGCTCAATAATTTCTTCAGTCTACAAGGGATTCACTTCGATGTAAGCGGGTCAATTCGTTAACTGCTGGAGTCAATACAGATAAATAAGCTATTGCCGTAGCAATTAACGAGTAGATAATAATTTATATTAATGCTTGGTATCACACCACTATTTTTCTAGAGCCATGAAATTAAAAGTTATTGACTCAATAATTCATTAGTAAAATAAAAAGCAAATCTGAATTTTTCAACCTGTTTACTCTTCCTCATATAAATGTTTTCAAAACTGGCATAACTTACATTCGGTAATCTTCTGATCCAGAAGCGTTTAGTTGATCTCTGCTTGCTTTTACAGTTGTTACAGTAGTAAAGTTCTGTCTCTGCTAGTTCTTCCACTTGGATGAAACTAGTTAAACAATCTAAAGAGGGAAGAAAAAGAGAGGACAAAATAAAATTTAATTGTAAATAGAGGTAATCATTCAAAAGGTACCAAATTGGTTTAAAATACTGGGAGCTTTCTATGGGAAATATTCAGCCAAGAGTGGTTTTTAAACCAAAATATTGATGTATTGGTTTGAATTTGACAAAACCAGGCACTATCAAAGACTTTCATTTACATGGACTTCTTGTTCATAAAGATCCTAGACCTTTTACTGGGAACTTAACATGATTTTAGAAACTGTAGAATACAATAAAAAACAATTAAACAAGTTAATCAAACTTTTATTGTTATGCAATTGCTCAGCTTTCAAGGAGCATTAGACAGCAAAAAAAAAAAAAAATAGAGACAGTTCATAAAATATTACTTGCATATTTTTTAATGAATCATTTTTAAATTGGCGTAGATGTGCAACAAAAGTAATCTGATACCCTTCAGGATTTTTTTTTTCAGCCAATCAGACACCCAACGACCACTTTTGAAAAGCAAGTGCGGGAAGCTCAGGCCAGTAGCAGGCAACCACGCTTTCTTCCTATTCAATGTGGGCTCTTATTTTCTCTTTGAGGCAATCCAATAGGAGTCGGATAGATTCAGTCCGGTGTTTGTTTGTTCACTTCTAGGGCTACCACGTGTGGCAGAGGTACCTCCCCAGCACGCGAGGTCAAAAGTGTGGCCATTGCCGGACAGATAGAATGGATGCCATCTTGAATAACCCGAGCGACGCACGTTTAAATGGGAGCTCAAAATATGGAACTTTGAACTCGTATTTTGTGGGTTAGTATTGCTCAAAAAAATCGGGGAAAATTCCTGTGAACTATGTGCACTCTCTAGTTTTCAAAAATATAAGAATTACGAATTACTGAACAAGCTTATTCAGAGCTAAGTCCACCGACATTCTGAGGATGAAATAACAGACTTACCTAAAATTGTAAACAAAGGCGTTGATTCTACTTTCGATTTCTTATTGTTAGTTTGTTGACACTTAACATCAGGAATATCTAAAGAAAGATCCAGAAAAGGGTCATGCTTTTTTGACTCTACACTACAGTTCAAACAGCGGACCTGAAACATGCACAAGTAAAAAACTTGATTTAAGAATACGACACAGGATCAACTAATTGCACTGGGAAATCACACCAATGATAATTGCCATGTGCAAGTATCTCTCCATGATGAGAGAATATAGATGCCCGGTAGTTATATTGATGTTGTCAATGTTAAAGAGACCATTAAAAAATTAAAACATTTTCACATGAAGCATACTTTACTTCAAGTGCAGAAAAATTTGCTGAGAATGTCTTATGCTTGCATCATTATTTGCGTGCGATTCCCTTTTTTTTCCTTGAGAAAAATGTAAACCATTACAGCATAAATCAGGGCTACCTGCACCAGAACTCTTTGACATCTTGACAAATTATCGGTCTCTAATACCTCCCCCAGTGCAGCGTCTGGTCCACCCAGTTACTTGGTTAATAAATAAATTCAATTTTTTTTTATACTTCAGTCTGCATCATCTACCTCTGTGATTCATTTTAAAATAAATGTAGTACTTTCCTAGGATAGGCTGATTTTTCAAGGTCCTAATGCTGAAAAAAATAGGGCTGAAGCGGTAAATAGAATGAAATCTTACCTCACTTTGAAGCATGCCTCCGAAAACAGTCGTGACTATGGATGAGCGACTCTTCTGACCAAGAGAGAAATAAGAACTGTCTTTAAAAGTTGAGTTCGGCAGAAGATGTAATAACTCCGTATGTAATCTATCTAACATATAGCGTAGAAACTCATGTGCATCTTGCTGTTGATAGCCCCTGATTGGTCAAAAAGATATTTTATAATTAGGTTTGATGTTGACAAAAGACAGTTAAAATGAAATAATTTTTGGTACTTATTGATGTGATTATTGTAATATGACTGTCAGGCCCCTGCTTTCCACCATTTTGCGCGAGCCAAAAGAGTGCTTCCACAAAAAAAGAAGACCATTCAACCGAGGTCAGGTTTTTAAAAATTTTAAAATGGTAGTAAGAAGGACTTCATCAACGCTCATTTTACCATTTTGATGCCAGACATTGTCCACACCTCCCCCTCAAGGAGCTTCCCACAATTTTCGCGCAAGCTTGGCTCGCGTAATAGGGAATATTGTTGACCCCTGATAACAGTTGGAATCTAAAGCTTCGGCTTGAAATCCCAAAAAAGCTGTTATTAAACTATCGGCACTTTCAACTTGTATTTTCTAGATGGGTTAACTGGTGCTTCACATGAAAATTGCCCAAGTTTTTCAAGATGACTGTGAATCACTTTGAAGTCAATGCTGGGGGGAAAATATTTTCTTTTACGTTCTTACTAAACTTTCAATTGTATCCTCCTTTTGTCAAAATGAACAAACCAAAAGTACAATTATAATTAGACAATACGATACTACACACTAACTACAAGTTTGAGGTGATTTTATGGTAATACTAAGAAAAAAGAAATAAAAACGCTTTACCTGAAACGCGGGACAACTTTCCAGATGACAAGGAACAATGATTCTGGAGAGATGGCACCCTTAGTGCCATGGTCAGTTAGATTGATTAGGACTTTCCGAAGTTCCTCTGCCATGACTGCATCACTAAGCTCCTTGATAGACCTCGACTGATACAGTCGATTACGTCCCGTGGGTGATGGAGAATTTAATTTACTTGTGTCTAAAGAAGGCAGTCTTTTGAAGTACAGGGTAAACTGAGAGATATTACTGAAACAGAACACATGTAGCTAGTTTAATATTTCGATGCTTCAAAATAATTGACTATGCTGAAAGGTCTTTTGACATGGAATCAATGCAAATTTACGATTGCAAAATGTAGAAATCTTAGAAATAAATAGAAATTGTGCTGAAAAATTCCTTCTTAATGCTCTCAATAAAGTGGGATTGCATACGGAAACCAAAGTGTAACAATTACAGCAGTTTTCCTTGAGAAAGCAAATCTGGTCTTAAAAAATAAAAAATGATTGGTTGCGGTTACATCAATAACTCATCTTCTCTCATGACTCCATGACTAAATTAAACTTCTAGACCAAACTTTCAAGCCTATTTGACACCTTCTTCTGACCATCTGACAAGAACCTTTCTTCTTTTTTTAGTTTAGCAAGCTTCTAAGGTTGATTATCTGGTCAAAATGTGTCGCCCTAAACAAAATCAGTGACTATTTGAGGTTCCTGTTTATTTACGGTACTCCACTAAGATTTTTCCTTTTATTTTGGTTTTTTAGGATCATCCAAAAGATTTTGCTCCAAACATTTTTACTGAAAACAATTAATACCTACTTAAGTTAATGAAACATTGGTGATTGAACACCTTTCGAAAATTTTGAAAACTCACTTAAAGCTTCTGACAATAGGAGGCTGAAGAAACATGCTCATTGCTGTTAGTAAATTTTCTTTTTCGACACTTTACGTTTGAAGATGCTCAGTATGACTAATTAATAGTACAGGCTGTTGTTTCGAGCTACTACTTCGACAAAAATAACTTGAGTTTTTGTTATTTTGTACCTTAATGATTGAAGTACTGCATTCATAAAACATGTGTTGCCTAAATTTCTTAGGCCGACAACTTTTTTTGCTATCTTCGCTTTTGATGGTGTGTCTTCACTGGAGATACTCGTACGTTTGAGCCGCTTTTCATCACCATTCCTTGATCTAGTACTTTTGCATTCTCCATTTTCTGTGAGGCTGGAGCTGCTTTCAAAGGAGCTGGACCTGAAGCAATGAAGTACAGAGAAATAAGTATGCGTTGGAGGGGGAAAAAATAAAAAAAATTCGTAACTTCTAATTGAGAATTTTTACAATGGACCGTTAGGAATCTTCAAGGATCAGAATTCAAGTATTGCGGTACATATTTTCTCATCAAAATTACTAATAAAACTGGGGATGTATTAAAAAATTCTATATGTATATCCTGAAAGAAACTAGCGTTATCCATACAGTGCTAGAATCAAACTTCCCACACACCACTGAATCTAAAATCTATGGGAATCAAAATTGACACTCACCTCATTTCAGTAAGGCTTACAATGAGATAATTTTTCCTTTTTGCTGAATCTTTTTTGAAAATTTTGTAACTATGATGTATTGAGGTAAATAAAACAAGTTGGAAAGACAAAGGTCTACATAGTTTTTTACTGAATGATACGTTAATTTTCAATTGACAATTTGACTTGACCTACTCTGAACGGAAACTTTGTTTCTTGAAACTCTGATATGGATGATAAAAGCTAATCTCTCTCTGTGTGTTGATTTTGGTAACTTTTAGTATGTTAAAAGTGTTCTGCGTAAAATTTTGATGAGAAAATTTGTTCTATGAGTCATGTGATTCTTAAATTCTTACAGTGTCATAATTCTGACTATTTGTGGTTCTAATAGTCATAAACTGAGAGATTCTCTCAGAATGAATAAAAAATAGATGTAAAAATAACACATAACAGAAGGCAGAGGGGAAATAAAATTCTTTGCTTGTTTCAACTTGGTTGAATCATCTTAGCTACTTTCAGTCAATCAAAATAACAGAAAATACGAAATTTTGCGCCAAAAGAGAACTAAAGGCAAAAAAGAAGATAAAATGCATTGGCAAAATTTAGCTTTGGGAAGAAAAACCTTGATACCTCTTGGATACGCATATGCAACTTTTAAACAGCTAAAGCCTATTCTGCAATTTGGCAGATTATCACCTGGGGAGGGGCATACAATCTTTTGAGGAACACCTACCTAACATCCGCCAACAGTAGAGATACCATAACTAATGCAAATGAAAGAAAACATTTCGAGTTATGTTTCTCACCTTTTCCTGGATCGAGGTCGCAATCTCCGACCACTCTGTTCGCTATTAGAGGAAGAGCTACTCCAGTTTTGCGCCGAATCACTGCCTTCTTGATCTGTGTTTTCGCTTGGTGTTTTCGATCTTTTTCCATTGTAGTGAAATTCAGCTCTTAAACGAGATATATGACTATTGTTTGTATCGTTTTCCACAAATTCGTCACAAGAATAACTACAAGAAAATGACAGAAAAAACTTTAAAATTAAGAAATTTGACTAAATAATTATGCGCAAATAGCTATATGGAAAGTAAATTGTCGCAAAAATGTATCAGTTGATAACGGCAAAAACACGCAAATCAACTAAAAATAGGTCGCCGGAACGAGGAAGCAAAGCCCTCGCGAGAATCTACCTTCAATTCCATTTGAGAAAACATAAAAATGTTACACTCTTTGTCATCCAGAAACAAATTTAAGTTGACTTCGAGATTCCATGTGCCATTTTAGATATACTTGCTTATGGAAATAATTAAGTGTCATAAACCCCATTGCCTAACGCTGTTTAAAAAGGCAACTCGTTAAGACTTCATACTTCGCCATTATTTGCACTCTTTCATTAAACACCTCATATATTTTGTGCAATGAACATATCTTTAAGGAAACAGGTTTTGAGGGCTTGTTTTAAACAAACTTGCCTCTTCTTCACTCTTCTACTATCATTTCCAGATGAGTTGATACTGTTTCATATGTTTATGAAAATTCAACAATTGAAGCGGTCGCAGCAATAATAGCATATGCATGTATATGTCGTTTCTGCCCCCCCCCCCCACAACGAATTTAAATGATGCACTCAAGAGGTATCACCCCTGTAAATATTATGATCATACGATGATTCTACGGCAATTTGTGATTGTTGGGTGGGATAACAGCACATACGCGAACCACACACATACCCAAGCCTGAATGTAAGGATATTTGAACTTCGGCGCTAAAATAGCAGGTCATGATTGAGTTTCATCACAACTAAGTAATGACAAGGAAGCAGTTTCTAAAAGTCTCCGCTCAGTTTTTAATAAGCCAACAGGACTTGTTTTGCTTGTTAAGTTTGTTCATTTTCAGAGATTGGTTTTCTATAATTTACTTTAGCATTCGATATAATCATGTTAAAGATTCATCATTCTTTCATTTTACCCTTAAATTCCTTCAAATTTCCACAAGTTCAATTGTAGGATGCAATAACAGTACATAACTTACTGTTTTTAAAAAATCCACAGAAGACCCAAAATTTAATTTTTTGATAAAGTATGCGTGGCTGCTCTTTAGGCTGGGGTTCAAACCTTGAACTAGTAAAAAAACCAGCTGTGTTTCTTACAAACACAAGTTATTCACAAGGTAAAACTTCAAACACATTTTTCTAAGAACAGGGTTTTCCTGTATGTGCTGTTATTGCAGCCACTGCCTTAATTACTTAAATTCTCACTTTTAAAGTGAATTATCCCTTAGAACTTCTTCCTAATTAGGTATACTAATTGTTTCTCTTCAAATTACACAAGTGGGTATTCCATCTACACAGTAAAATTTGGAGAGTTATTTTGGCTGGCTGTAACCAAGTTTAACATGTAATAAAAATTAGCAGAGTTAAAGAGCTTGAACTAATCATGAAAGAAATATTAAAATGCTGTTATTAAATACATGCTTTCAGAGTTTCATTATCCATGTAAGTGGGCACTAATCTCCGCCAATTGATGCTCCTTCAAGTTTACCGAGATTCCAATTTTTCATGGGAATGGCCAAAATCTTCAGTCTCAAGATATTCATATTCAATGGGGGTGACTAGGAAATAATGAGGATTGACATGAAGGCAAAAGAGGTTCTTACCAAAATACAGATAAATTTTCACAATCCATGCAAACAACATGATTCACTTGTGATTCTGAGTGACGCTTAGCATGGCCATTTACGTATCGACCACACAGGACTACACCACAGTACAAACAAATCCATGGACTTACAGTTGAAAGACATTCTACAAGAATAAAACACAGATGACAATTAGCTGACGAAAGGAAGAGATAGGAGGAGTGATAAAATTGCAATTGTAATGAGCAGTTGTAAATTGTCCTTCTTCCTCCGTTCAAAGAGAACTGAAGACAAGGTCAGCAGGTAAAAAGTATTCCCTGAGATGATCTCAGCCTTTAGAGGGAATCATATAATGTAGGGGTAATCATTTCACTGCAGGCATTTTCAACTGATCATGGATTTGGTTTCAATCAAACTAAAAAGTCCCTCTATCAATGCTTGTTCTAAAAGCAAGCTTACTAATCATTTTACCGAAGGCATTTCCAACTGATCATGGATTTGGTTTCCAAATCAAGCTAAAAAGTTCCTCTATTAGTGCTTGTTCTAAAAGCGAGCTTTCTTTCCCTTATTAAAGTTCTGTAAAAATCACAGCAGCAACCCTACAGGAAAAGCCAACAGAACCTTCAGTTACAAAGACAGCATTGCGATCTATAGGATCTAGATGATCCGTAACACCTAAAAACGGTCAAAACATAGACCAGATAAAAACCAATAGATTCAGATTTAAAAACTGAAGGTCTTTCAATTAGCTCTCCTCTGTAAACCTATGGCTGCATCCCCCAAGAACATTTCTTGATTGGTGAACTCTTCCAAGACAATTGAATTGGAAGGAATTAAAAAAGAGGGATCTGCTGATAATGCCACAACCGAGTTTTCTCATTTACATTACACTCTACTGATAAGATCGACGCTGGCAATTCTCGTTCCTGTCACATCATCAGATGTATCAAAAGGAATGCAAACTGATGCTCTCTGTTCTACAGCTTAAAATCTAGGCGCTGGATGGTTAGTTTAGAATCAGCTGGACCTTGAGTACAAAGGTGCTATATTCAGCAAAGGCTTGTTGAAAATTTACGTTGGCACATCAAGTAAATAAAATACCATGCATTGCATGGTATAGATGGGGCTTTGTCTTTTCGTGCCAACATAGTTTCCATTATCAGCCTGCAGGTCTAGATTCTGATGGATGAGGATTACCTTTGAAACATAGCGGACAATACATTATGAAATGCATGTAAAAACGAAGAGGACAGAGTATGAAGATCCCAAATTAATAATGAAAACCTGCAATGCTGACTATGTTCCCTATACTGATGAAAATGAAGAGGAAAAAAAATTGATCATGAGCTACGCAGATAAACCTCAGGCTTTCAAACAATCTCGAGAGCAATTCTATTTCCATGTCTACTGGTAGAAATGATACACTGATCGGACAAGCCAAATGGATAGAGGATAAGCAAATTCAAAAAATTTCTGAGTATGTAAATGGGGCATTCCCAAAAATTCAGACCAACCCTGCCATTGGGACTGAGGAACTAAGTCTTCATTCATTCCTCCAGTCCTCCTCCCCATGAGACAGGAATCCCAAAATTCTAAATTAGTTGAGAAGTACAAGGAAAATAAAAGGGTTCTGAGAATCAAGAGTTAGGCACCGACGAAATACATAAATTTGTGAGGGTGCTAGGAGGCTAGGATGAAGGCTGATGGAAGACAATGGCTTGGTAAGGGGGATAGAAAAAATTGTGATGGCCTCTCAGATATCAATTGATCGCAGAAGTGACGGCTTACGGCTCTTCGACAATTGAATCAATATGGAGAAAAATTGGATGAACAAAGGCAAGAGGGACGGATGAGGAAAATTGAGGGCATCGAATTCTGACCGAAGAACAAAAAAGGTCCACGAGTGACGCATGAAAATAGGGATCATTCTTACCTGCGCATTGCCAGTCTTTGGATGAATCTTTGATCACAACTTTGGAGTCAATTTTAACATTAACAGAAATATGAGGACACTCCATTGTTAAATTACCATTCGGCATTCACACCGACAAAGAAGGAAATATACGAAAGAAAACAATAGGGATTTCGAAAATCTAGGGCCAAAAATGTGATACGTTACGTACTTCAAAACGGGCTGCAGGTCGCGAGTTGAATAAGTCAGGGGGGTGCGAGGGCGGAGAGGGCAAGGGGAGGGGAACAGAAAAGTCCACCCCTCTGCGATTTTTATGGGGATTTGTCTGCGGCTATGAACCAATCAGAGTGCTTGGTCTGACGGGATCCCAGCCCGCGGCTTTCGATTTCAAAAACCGAAAAAAAAGTAATTACTTATTATAGAATCTCATCGTTTATTTAAAAAAAAAAAAAAAAAATAGTATGCGAGTACTTGAATCAGTCATAATAACAATTTACTGTATAATTAATTATTGTCACTGTACGACAAATAATGACAAATCGTCTGACAGCTTTTTAGAGCGCGTCGCGGAAAATGTAGTTCTCGGGAAGATCATTCGCGATCGGTATTTCGCTTTCCCAAATTTTCATGACTAAAAACGGGATTTCCGGGTCGGCGGATCAGGACGGGGTCAGGGTTGCACAATCGGATTGTAAGGAAGATTGCTAATTTCCTTCAGATATTTCATGAAAATTTAGAAAGCTCTGAAAATGTGAAAAACATCGAAGGGAAATATTTTTCATTTCAGGGCCGCTGGGCCGCTGGGTGTGTAACACCCACTGTAGGACACTTGAAAGCAAAAACCATTTCCTGTCTTTCATTTTATTTTGTACCTAATCTTGAAATAGTACGGAATTTATTTTTCAGAAAAAATTGCAATCCTGGTGAGGGCGGGGGGGTCCAGCAGAAGGGTCCGGTTTGCGATGGGGTTTCCTCGGTTGCCCTGCGTGACGTCAAACCAGTCAAATCCGAACCGAAACCCCGCCCCGCGGCCTCAACCTCATTCAAAACACTGCTTTTACGTCTCACTTGGCAACGGCCGTGATAACAACAACAACAGCGACAACAAAATTAATGAAATCCTGAGTAGTGTTATCAATACTTTGTCGAGTGGAGTGACATGATAAGGGACCTAATCAATCAGTGCGAAATGAAAATGGGTTCTGTGGATCAATTTTTGTGTCATCATTTGTGCTAATTCAGGAACTTCTCACAATGGGAGCTAGTTTTTTCGGAAAGTGCCTGCCAGGCATTTTACTCTTGGTAGCTTTTCAACCTTGCCTAACCTTACATCATGATTTTCGTCTCACCAATATGGGATCGCCTTCTCCGGACAACCTTGTATACAGAGGCAAAAGAGACGCTCTTTCTGCGGTAACTAACGCTAAAAATCCAAATCCCAGCACTAGTGCCACTCCGTCCGTCTCATCTTTGATCAATGCAAGCAGCACTTCTGCTGCCACTAGCTCCAAGAATGGCACCAACACCACCTCATCAGCTAATTCTAGTTCTGCAAATGTCCTTGCAACTCCTTCGTCCACGGTGTCCGAGCCTGTTTTACCAGAGAAAGGCGCTGCTGAAGAGGAGAGAAATAGTTCCATCGCCATCTTCTTCGTACTTTGCGTCCTAGCTCTTGGAATATTGCTGATCCATCTCATGCTCCTGACACATTTCCAGTACTTGCCGGAGAGCGTTGTTGTTGTTTTCCTCGGAGCTCTAATTGGACTGATCCTTCACTTAATGTCTGATAAAAACATAGCAAATTGGCGGAAAGAAGAAGCTTTCTCACCCACGGCATTTTTTCTCATCCTCCTTCCACCGATTATTTTTGAATCTGGTTACAATTTGCATAAGGGAAATTTTTTCCAGAACATTGGATCAATTCTTGTGTTCGCAATTTTTGGAACAACGATCTCTGCACTAGTTATCGGCACTGGGGTTTACATATTGGGATTGGCAGAGGTAGCATATAGACTGAGTTTTGTTGAAAGTTTTGCTTTCGGATCCCTGATCTCTGCCGTAGATCCTGTCGCAACCGTTGCCATTTTCCATGCCCTTGATATGGATCCAGTGCTGAACATGCTTGTTTTTGGTGAAAGTATTTTAAACGATGCCATTGCCATTGTTTTAACCACATCAGTTTTGGAGTCTAATAATCCTGCCATGTCGACATCAGAAGCTGTTCTAACTGGAATTAACAGATTTTGTATGATGTTCTTTGCCTCTGCTGGAATTGGAGTCTTATTCGCGCTGATCAGCGCTTTACTACTGAAGTATGTAGATCTGCGGAAAAATCCCTCTCTTGAATTTGGAATGATGCTTGTATTTACATACGCCCCTTATGCCCTGGCGGAAGGAATTCATCTTTCAGGTAAATGTGTATTTTTTTATGTAAGTATAATTCAAAAAGGGGATTGTTGCAAAAGGATTAGGAAATCGATGGTGTAAGTCTGCAATCACATATCTCGTTTGCGGTGTCAGAAAATATCTGCCTATAAGCATGTTATTTTTTAAAGGAGAATAAATTGACATCATTTCTTGATGTTTTTGCAGAATTTTCTTTGCACAGAGAAGGAAAATCATGGCAGTTATAAAGAATTCCTGATGAGTAATTTTCCGTTTAAAAAATAAAGTATGACAGGAAGTCCGTGATGTCGACAAACTGAGTTATGTGATTGCCGACTTACTCCGTCAACATGTCATTACATGTCTCTTTGCAAGGGAATGAGACGCTCTTAAAACTTCAACATTGCAAGAAGTAAGGTCAACTAGTATAAAAAAAAAATATATTTACACTCGCTTTATGGAAGTGGTGAAGAAGAGGATTTGTTGATGTTTTTTCATGTATGTCTCTCAGGAGTGCTGAAACTTCTCACTTGCCTGCCTGGCAAGTTGCATGCAAAATTGGGGGTTTCAAAAATTAGTGCATGAATCTTAAAAATTGTGTGATCACCTTGAAGTTAAGAATACCGAATGCTTAAAAAATGTGAAAATAAATAAAAGATTAGGTTCTTCCATTCAAAAATAAAAAAATTGAAAGATTATGAACATTTCATAAGTCAATTGAAAAATGAGAGGGCCAAGAACTTTCTGCACCCCTACCTATTGTTTTTATTGGGTCATCCTGTTATCAGACTTAGTGACTTCATTGAAAAATACTTAGATACACAGTTCAAGGTCTTGATTACAATCAACCAAAACATTCATCCTCAGGCATGTCACAGAATCTAAATCAAATTTTACCCAGTTACTATTTAGTTGTCTTTTTTTTTCTAGGAATCATGGCCATATTATTCAATGGGATTGTGATGTCTCACTACACCCATTTCAACCTATCAACAGTGACGCAAATCACCATGCAACAGACAATGAGAACACTTGCCTTCATCGCAGAAACATGCGTTTTTGCATATCTTGGCTTGGCAATTTTCAGTTTCAGGCATCGTGTCGAACCAGCCCTAGTTGTGTGGAGTCTCATTCTCTGTCTCATAGGACGAGCCTGCAACATTTTTCCTCTGGCTATTCTTGTCAACAAGTTCCGAGAACATCAAATCACAAAACGAATGATGTTTATCATGTGGTTTAGTGGTAAGTCGTCATCTAAAAAACTAATCAATAAACTCTAATTACTAAAGCAAATATTTTCCTTGGATTTTCGAACAAATTTTTGATACAAGAAAAAAAAAAACCTAGCCTAGGTTTAAGAGGCATCCCTCAATTGACAAAGGTACACATATGTCACGGCCAATGTCCAGGAATGTGAAACATCCAATATCAGGTAGCCATTATGATTGTGGCCGGGAGCTTTGGCTGTTAAAGTCATTGGTCAGCGATTAGAAGAAACATTATTATAAGAATACACATTAGCAAGCCATAGACTTCCTTCGTCGGTCAATGTCCTCCATGACTGAGCAAAAATAGCACTTGAGAAAGTGGGGGTGCCGAGAGTTCTTGGTTTTAAAAATTTGAAACAAATGTCAAGAATATTCAAGAACTTTTCAAGGTGTCATAGACCTTGCAAAATTTTGGACAATGACACTAGTGAAATATCAGACCAACCAGTTTTTAGGATTGCACGAAACTGAAGGATACTTAATCCCATAAATTTATGGTGATAACTGCATAGTTGAGCAAGCTTTACTTCCAAAGCTGTGGAACCTATTATCTTTTAACAACTTTGTGCTTTGCTACAAAAACGTCTACCAATCTCGTTCACTGACCTCCTGAGTCAACCAGTCCTTCTTCAGTTACCTCTACTTTTAATATCTCTGTACAACACTAATGTAAAAATTAAATTTCTTCAGTAGTTTTTTTTTCTTGAATTGCCCCTAAATGTGGTATTTTTTCATTATGTAGGTTTACGCGGTGCCATTTCATATGCTCTGTCATTACATTTGGAATTCAGTGATGAGACAAGGCATGTCATTATCACAACCACCCTAATTATTGTCCTTGTGACGACCCTGCTATTTGGTGGATCCACAATGCCGCTGATGAAGGTATGTATGAATTCTCTGTTCAGTTCTTTTCACGGAATGGTCTCTAAAATCCATTAATCTGGTTGTGAGGTGTTTGTAAGATTTTTTCCCATGGAAAAACTGAAAATAGAAAAATAACCGATGATGTTTTGAACATAAGAAAGTTCATCAGCTGCACATAAAAAATGCATTGTCTCATTATATGTCAGTTTTCATTTTTGGGAATCGTTTAGAAAAGAATGCCACTCAGTTTGTATCCACCTCTGACGTTTCGTTTACCTGTACACCTCTCCATTTTCAGGGTAACTCCAGACTAATATATTTAACAGGGGACGAATTTTTAATGAAATATGATTGATGTATTTCAAGGAAGCTACGAAAAGGAAAGCAATGGTCGGCCATTAACGGAGATGTATCACGCTTAATCAAATGAGAAATAGAATCAATTATTATTTGCTTAAATACTTTTTTTTATATGTATATTTTTTATATGTAAGCATGAAAGAGTGTAACCCACCTGGCAACAGCCAAAAATAACATTATAAAAACATTTCGAAAACCTTACTGCAATGCTAATTTTGGCAGTTATGTTGTAACAACATTTTCGCAACCTTTTTTTTGCTGGGTAGGAAGTATTCGTTTTAGCATGTAGCGGAAGTTGCTTTTTTCATGAAGACTGGTGAAGGCATCTAAAATCCTTGGTTCCAGTTTTTCTGCTATTGAAAGAAATATCCGAAAATTTACTGTAAATAGGAAATTAAAGCCAACTGTCTTTTTTTAATGCATTAGGCTTTTTCCATTTGTCGCTAATTTCTTTTGTTCCTAACATTATCTCATCATTTTTACAAAATATCATTTTACTATTTTTCAAGATTCTTCAAACCAAAAAACCAGGAAGAAGTAGGAGAAGGAGAAAAGAGAAAGCTATCTCTCTGAGTAAAACCAAAGAATGGGTGAGTACAATTCAAAAAGTATTCCGTGTTCTTCAATTACTTCAAATCCAATTTTCAATCCTGCTCAAACAAACATCTGCGAGTTCTTCTACTTGCTTCAGCATAATGCGGATTTAGCAAGAGACAAATATAAGGCAGGCATAAATTACAAATCAATTCTACGGTGTAGATGGACTAGAATCTCATTTATTAATTTATTTAAAATTATTTATACAAAATTCCATGAAAGCTCTTATAATTTAGGAACAATGGTGCTAGTCAGGGGAAGAGTCATTCTAGTCAGAAAAAGAATCAGCTCATTTTCAAATTATCTATGTGAATCTACGTTACCAAGAAGGAAAATTTGACAGCAGATCAACTAATTTTAATGCTTTGATTTTGAGAAATCCTTCCAAAATTTCTTGAAAATGAGACCGTTATACTGCCCCAATTATCAGTACACAAACTTCAATGGGGTATCAGTTTGCAAAAAAAACTGTATAAGTACAACCTAACCAAGTATCCTAAATAGTCCTGTTTTTCGATTTGTCTCTTTCATTTAGCACTTAATTTCAGAGTCATTTCTAACTACATGATTACATGATCATATTTTGCATTAGTGAGTACATACTACTAACAAAAATATACATAATGTGCCAATTAAAAACACCATTCCAACGCTCGTATGGTCATGCGTGGTTTTACGGCATCATCAACACAAGGATCCTTACAATGAATTAAAATGGACATTTTTACAAGGGCCTCAGCAAGATATCAGCGTAAGCAGGAAAGGATGGGGGGGGGGGTTCTGAATAACTAACATCTTTTTAAAGACGATGGATCCCACATAGCTTTATTTGGACCACATTTTGCAATAAGGAACCACTATTTCTGGCTTTTTTCAGGAACAACATATGTTTCATTGGTTTCCCTGTGCAGAAAGGTGCTTTTATGGAGGAGCCAGAAATAGTGGTCCCTAACTGCAAAATGTAATCCATTTGGTCCATGTTAATACTGGAAGTATTACGAGTGTTCTGACCCTCGCAGGTTTTTTCAACCTTATTAAAATCGAGAAACTTTCAATTTATTGAAGTGGTTGCCAAATCAGAAGGAAGGCTCTGAGCATTTTTTAAGATAAGGCACCCCTAGTTGCTGTTTTTAATGACACAATCATTAATTTATGCAAAACAATTCTTTCTGAAATTTTGATTTAGCACCTCACCTGATAACTTTTTTTATAAAATGTATCTAGTTAGTCCCAAATCATGATTGTTCCTTTTTACACACACATCTCCTGGATTGGACTAACGAACCTGTTTATTTTCAGGGGCAAGCTATTGATTCAGAGCATCTGTCAGAAATGACCGAAGAAGAGCTGGAAGTTAATTTCATCCAATCCTCAAGAATCAGGGGTTTCGCAAGATGGGATATTAAGTATTTCATACCGTTCTTCACTCGAAGATTCACGCAAGAGGTATTTCTTCACTTAAAAAATCATAGAATAAAATTAGAAATTTAACAAGGGGAACTTACGGACCTGCCGCCTCCGATTGGGCTGAATTTTTTTTTACAGACTCTATGGACCAATTCTAGAGGTCGATTTGAGCCGTTTTCCCGAATGCGCAATAGGAAGGGCATAAAAAATTCCCAAAAGTTGCGTTATCGGCGTGTGATTTGGTCGTGTGGCGCGAGCAAAACTGAAGCAGCCTCTTGGACCGCTTTATCGGCTTTCAGCGGAGACCGGAGCCCTACTGCACAGATGCTGGTTTCATGATAGTGATGTCCCGGGTTCGATCCCCGAGTGATTTGTCTACTTTTTATTTCCCGCATGATCACGTAACATTTTATTTTTAATTCTTCATCCGCATTTATAAATCAATCAAGCAGTTTCGATCTTTACCCCCCCCCCTTTATTGACTCACATTGACCGCCAATAACCGTATGAAACTTCATTGACATAAATTAATGAATTGAGAAGCAAAAGAAAACCTCATTTGTTACTACATTATCTCCCAATGTTTTCCTGGAAAAAAATGTAATGTGTAAATAAATCAAAGAGCAACCCCAAACCCATGTGCATGCAAGGACCGCCAAGAGACACATTATTTTGGCCCTTTGCTTTTTAATTCATTAATTTATGTCAATGAAGTTTCATACGGTTATTGGTGGTCAATGTGAATAAATATCGGGGGAAAATATACGTNGGGGGGGGGGGGGTGCAGTGATCGGAACTGCTTGATTTATAAATGCGGATGAAGAATTAAAAATAAAATGTTACGTGATCATGCGGAAAATAAAAAGTAGACAAATCTCTCGGGGATCGAACCCGGGACATCACTATCATGAAACCAGCATCTGTGCAGTAGGGCTCCAGTCTCCGCTGAAACCTTCAGGCCGATAAAGCGGTTCAAGAGGCTGCTTCAGTGTTGCCACGCGCCACACGACCAAATCACACGCCGATAACGCAACTTTTGGGAATTTTTTACGCCCTTCCTATTGCGCATTCGGGAAAACGGCTCAAATTGACCTCTAGAATCGGTCCATAGAGTCTGTAAAAAAAAATTCAGCCCAATCGGAGGCGGCAGGTCCGTAAGTTCCCCTTGTAAGACACACCAGAAAACTGTCTTGACTTGGACTATCCTTGAGAGTTTTTCACTTGCATCGGAATCCTTATATGTTCTTAAAGCAGTTTCAAGGAAATTTCGAGTCTAGGATGTTTCAAGGCTCATCTCAAAATTTTGTCCTAATATCGTGTAGTCTCGATATGTATCCAATTTTCCCACTGTTATGGAGGAAGCGTTACCCATTTTCCCCTTTCTTTTAACCCCCTTCCTCCTTTCTTTACTTTTCTGTAAGACGTGTGTCTTAAGACTGAGTCCATTGCATAGTCTAGAGGATAGTTTACGTCGAGTGTGATTCAAGCAACATTGCTTGCAGCTACTCAGTAGCCTATATTTTAAAAGTAGCAGCTGAATATTGGTAGGTTTAGTCTGAAAAAGCCTGTTTGCATAATGGAACAAACCTGGACTCATAAATGAAGAGGGAAAAGAAATAAAGAAAGAAGTAGCAATGATGTTCATATACTATGAACCAGTGCATCAGTAACTGTGGTCATTCACATCTCTGCAATGAAATCGCAAGTTTTATTTTAAAATAGCTAAATATTTCTTCTAATTGTCAATCCAATTGCTTGTCCAATTGCCATTTTATTATTGTTCTTGGGATGGGATTCTTTAAAATGTCTATTAGAGAGAGAAATGTGTTAAAAGTTGGCATGACCTATCTCTGTAAACTCTCAAATGTGATTATTCACTTATGTTTCAGGAGCTTAAAGATTGTAAGACTCAAATGACGGATCTAACAAACCAATGGTATCAAGCCATCCGCATTTCACCAACAGAATCAGATGATGAGCTTGGGCCAAGGATGCACAGCTGACGTTCGACAACCCCTCCAATTGTGAGGGAACTGCGCTCTTAACATTTGCCTGTGTCTTCTTCCTAGTCATGAAAGTTATCATGAAAAGTTTCCTCCTCAATGTTGAACTCAGCTTGGAATTTAGTCAAAAGCTGCTTCAAAAGTCATTTGAACCGTTCTTGACAATAGCGCTTCAAGGTGTTTCTAATCGAGTGACAAGTCAAGTTAGCCGGTACGTTAGTTTTTCTAGGTTGTGCCTACTGCTGAGATGTGATTTTGTATAGGTAGTTTTTTCGGAGTCAGTTTGGAAAATTTTTCTACTGCTTTAATCAAAATTGTTCAGTGAACTGAGCTCATACTATTTTTTTTTTTTTTTTTTTTTTTTAAAAAAAAATTATATTGCATTAAAATTTATTTGAAAAGATTAATAAAAATTGCAAGGACCAAAATGCTGTCTGAACTGAAGATCAATAGATCATACCCACTCTGTAGCAATCCTGGTGGAATTGAGGCATATGCTTGTGAGCTTCCAACAGGGAAAATATACTCAGCTCGATATTGAATGTGGACTGTGGTCACAACAAAAAAATAACAGTTCTTTGGCGGCTTAGATTGAGATAGAATGGCAGGTTGAAGGAAAGAGTGGTGTGTGAAACTTGGCCTCATTGAGGCTACTTCATTTTGACAACTTAAAACTACTACTTCTTTCGAGTTTTTTTTTTTTTTTTTTTTTTTTTTTTTTTTTTTTTTTTTTTTTTTTTTTTGCAACTTTATTAAGTATTGAAAACTTAAAATAATTTATATTTCAAAAAATTTGTAATTTTAAATGAAGGATTTCTGGTTTTGTTTCCTTCTATACTTCTATATGTATGTCATTAAAAGTCTTACAACTCTTAAAGTGTGACAAGGTCTGTAGTTTACCTTACAGACTTTTTGAAATAATTTTAATTCTTCAAATTTAGTATAAATATTCATAATTTTTTTTTTTTTTTTCCTATTGAGAATTTTTGGTGGTTTTTTTTATGACAGCAGTTAAAAGTACCTTCTGCCCTTGTCACAATAATGCTCAAAAGATTATATTTTTAATTGTAATTACGACTAGCTACAAGTTTGGAATTGATTTATTTTTTTTTGTTTTAATTTTTCTACGCTAGTAGTACGCTAGTTCTCTCAAGAAACTACCATTCTAAAATTCCTTTATAATATTGTAATGAAACCTGTGTAATCTGGTCAAGATTGTAGAAAGGAAACTGCACATAAGAAATTGCCATTCACTACTTCAATTTTGTTCATGAAGATAAGATGAATTTCAAGACTTTCTCAATATGACAAATCTCTGAATTAGAATGCTTAGGCAGTAAGCTGATCATGAGTCAGAAAGAACAGGGCTGAAAATTATATTGTTGAGCAGTCACATCTAAATTTCCTGTAAAAAAAGTATCAGCACAGCCGGATTTGGAGAAGCCTGTAAAGAAGTTGTTCTTTGAGGTCCATTTTGCAGCTCAGTTTGATTACTACAAGAGATCTCTTAAAAATGTTTTAAACCACTATTCCTAGCTCTGATTTTTAAAAAATCAAAGAAATTTCATTGGGAAGTTTTTCCCAGGTTGGAACTGCTCTAGGAAGGTTTTAAAAACAATGTATTAAAAAAAAAAAAAAACGAAATCTAAATAGGGCAGAGTTGCGAAGTGTTATATACGGTTTTCTGTATCATTTGGTCTTGTAAACAATCTAGTCATTGCTGGTAAATAATTTTGTGTCTTAGAAAAGAAACAGGCTAATGTCAGAATCCGGTACTGAATATTATTCCTCATGCCTCATGTAAAAAAGTTTCATAAGTTATTACCAATGTCAGTATTGTGCTTTCTCTGAGGAGAGACCATCAGTACACTGTAGCATTAACAGGGTTGCCATAGTCAGGGAATTCCGGGATATGTCAGAAAATTAAAAGATCGAGGGAATTCTTGAAATGTCAGGGAAAAGGGTGAAAGTGTCAGGAAAAAATTTGCTAAGTCATATTTGTTTACTTACTAGAATGGGTTTGACGTTTCGAACAGTAAATTTTGCCTAAAAATTATTTCAAATCAAGTCTTTCTAATGATCTGGCATATCTTCAATTGACGGGAATTTCGCCAAATTGTGTCAGGGAAATGTCAGAGAATTTTATTTTTTAAATTCTGTGGCAATCCTGCATTGTACTCCTATCTCGAGTCAGCATGGAGAGGCTAGCTTTATCGAAATACTTGATTTGTGGTGGATTTTTTCTGTCAATGGGCCTTGGGCCACTACAACATTTGTCTCTTAGTTTCAAGTGAGTTTTCATTCAAGCCCAGATCATTGAAATTGGAGACACCACTATCCTTTCCTTGTGTGAAGAGTTTCTGCACTGATTAGATTGACTCATTTAAATGTTTATACCTTTTTCCTTTTTTATAGCCTTTGTACATTATTTACCTTCTTTGGAAGGTAGATGATGAAGGGATAAGGTGAAATACATTGAAAAATAGTAATTAGAGTCTTTGATCATTCACAAGTTTTTTGCCTCTTACTACTTTAAGGAGGAACGAAGCAGAATTTCAGGAATAATTTTTTACGATGAAAATGTTCAGACTCGAGTGACAATGGTAACTTTTTTACTTCAAAATTGTTTTCTAAGTTACCATTTTATTTCAGTGATTAAGGCTTTACTTAATTTTTTTTTTATTCTTTACATATTTATAATTTATTGCTGTGTATGTATGTATTAGTCTTATTGCCTCAGTGTTAAGTTACCTCTTTGAAAGTTTATAAAACTGTGATGTCATTCCAATTCTTGGAATTGGAAGTTATTTAATTATTATATTTAATATATTATATTTATAGGAAAATTTTGCGCAGTTTTATGAGGGGACATGTGATCAGTACAATATTCCTAACTTAACGATTAGATTTTAAGTTTCAACTATTACTCTTCAAAAGAATCTAGCTGATAATTAATTTGTGGCAAAAAGTGTCTCATGTTGTGAGCCAACTTTTCTTTTGATAAGGGGCATAGGTATGGAAGCAAGATGATTATCAATCTAGTACCCACCAAACACTTTATGTATATTTAAGGTCCAACTAGAACAGCTTATATCGATGGCGAAAGTGTAAAACCAACTTTCTCCTTTGGGGGGTTTCAAAATTTCCGCTCCCACTTTATTTTTTCGAGGAAAAACAAGCAGACTTTATAGCTTGAAATTTATACAGAATATTCTGCTAACCAATAGAAAAAATTAAGGGAGTTTTCAAGAAATTACGTTGAGTAGTTTCCACGGAAAAAATGAAGTATGACACGAAGTTTGCAACATCGCTAACTGAGAATCATGGTTTCGCACTTCGGCCATTAATATGATGATCCTCAATTTTTAATCTGTCAAGGGATCCATTGCCAAGTGGTCAAAGCCCACGCACATTTCTAGGAAGTTTTCTTTTTAATAGTAGAAAATTTCAAGTCTATAAATAACCTATGTTCAAAGAATGTACTTTACCCTAAATGGGTTTTTTTTTCATTGTTTGTCATTTTATCCGAATGATTTTTGGATCCTTACTTTTTGGTTTGCAGAAGCGAACGAAAATTTGTTAATTGCCTCTACTGTAAGTTAACACAGGTTAATGGTAACACTTTTTAACTAACTTGAGGGTATTTTTTTGGAGCAGGTAATTATCAACTAGCTGTACGTCTGAAAACTGTTTCCTATCCCTAATTTTTGAGTACTTAGAAATAATCAAAAATGTTTTTTGGACTGTGGAACTCACTGTAGAAACCCTAACAACATTAAAACTTTTGCTTCGTTAAGTAAAGGTAGCAAGGCTTTGATGAATGACCCATGAGGGTGTTCATGATTTGGAGTCCTAAAAATTCTTGATTCACAGTAGGTGTCAAGCTTTTTTTTTTTTTTATTTTTTTATTTAAGGAGTTAGATTTTTGCATTGATACTATAGGTACCAAAACTATCTGTTAAAAGGTTAAGGAATACCTACATGAAATGCTTCTGATTTTGATTCCTTATTTGTTTTAATAAAACAAACACAAGTATTAAGTTCGATTGATTTTATTCATTTAAGTTTAATTGCACTCCTCGAAAAAGAATAATATGTAGTAATGGTTTTAGAAGATGAGAATTAAGTTTTTGGGCTTATTTAAAAACAACATGGATATCTGCAATATATTTTTCAACACAAAAAATTGCTCTCATGAAAAATTCTATGCGTTTCGTTCTCGCTACCTGTCCAAATATTTAAAAGGATGAACTCTCCTCCCAAGTGCTAATCTATTGTAAAAAAGTTTGAAGTGGCTGCTCGTCAGAAGGGCCTGTTGCTTACGCCTCTATTTGATAACTGAGTGAAATTGTTGGGAATCGTTTTTCCATGACCAAAAAATGACATTAATTTACGTAGACTAAAATTCATTTTAAGGGAGAATGCAGTGGAGCAAGATAGCCAAGACGGAATGTTAAGGGTACAGGTTACAACCATCTTCAAACTGAAAAGGAAGATGTATGGCAATGACGAAGGGAACTTAGCTGTTGCCCATTCATCTGACAAACTTCTCATTAGGACAGCAGCTGTCAAGTCCATGGCTCCGTCCAGTTGCAAACGATAATGTCCCCTGACACTGCTAAAGTTCAACTCTTGGCAAAAGCTTACACTGTAGGCAAGCAGAAATTTCTGACTGTGGCCTTGGTTGGATACCTTTCTAGGACTGCAGAATGAGATACGAACCAAAACTTGCTCAGTTTAGAGTCTGTTTAACTCAGTTTCAATTAAATGCACATTTTTTAATTAGTTTGCAAAATAGGAACGTTTTCTTTTCATGTTGCCGTTTCTAAGATCTTTCCTCTGCTGCGGGCCAATCATAGAAATTTTGTGTTAGTCGGGCCAACATAGCTGACACAGGCTAAATGGCATGAAGTGGTTAGTCAGTGATGTCTTATCGCTGCTTTGTCGTGCCTATATTGAGTAGAATTGATGACAAGCTAAAGGCACCTCTTGAGTTCCCAATAGCATGCATGACGTCGATTCTACCCGACATGGGCACAACAAAGTAGGACTAAGACATAGCCGACCAATCACACTATGCTATTGGAACCTGAGTCATCTATGTCCGCCCTACAAAAACAAAATTTCAATAATCGCACTATGCGAGCAAAATTAGAGGACTTGATGGAGAGAAAACACAAGCAGATTCGATTTGGCAAAGTTCAAATTTTATTTATCAACAAACTATAGCCAACAAAAACTCTGGAACAAATAAAAATACACCTTACTCATAAATGCTTGACCTGTTTACTCCTCATTTTTAATGTGTGAGAGAATTCAGTAACATGTGGTTGAGAATTGAAATTATACAAGTTTTGCAGAGCTGCATGACCGGAAATCTAGAAAGAACAGCCTATTTTCTCTTGAGGAACTGAGATTTAACAATCATTGCTTTGTAAAGCAACATAACATGCTCCTTACTACAGGTGCGATCAGGTAAGTTGACAGTTGTTTACTTGTGATTAGTCTGAATTTTTTATCAGTGCGTTTCCTGCAAATACTGGTGTCTCTGCTACATTGGTACGAAGCAAAGAAGATGAAAAACAATTGACCTCGAAGATGACCAAGAGTTCACAACTGCAAACTTGACTGACAAAACATTTAATAGACACCTAGTAAATTGCATTTCACATTCAAAGGATCTCCGCCGAAAATCGATTGCTTTGTTCGTCAGCCTGTCTGGCTGAATTTAGGATGGACATGGGGTATTCTAGAACTTGAGGGAAAAGTTCTTTTCAGGCTGTTTCTAATTAATAATAAATGTCCTTAATCCATTGTTAGCTGCATGGTGCCAAGCAAACAACAACTCAAAAAAGAAGATGATTAAAATGTTTAAAAGCTTTTTCTCTAACCATTGCAAATGATGAATGCAAAGTGGACATAATCCCAACAGATTCTTGACATCTTGACACCTTATGTGGGATGTGCTTGTAAGAGTAATTTCTTGAGTTGTTAATGAAGTGGAACAATTAGATAATTAAATGAATCTTGATCAAGAAGTTATTGTCCAACGGTTTCATCTTCGAAAATTCTTAGATACCTTATTCAGCAATTTTACAGGCAATACAACTGATCTTGGGAGTTAATGCCTCAAATTCACTCAAGGACTTAAAACAGGTTCAACATTATTGCTTTAACAGAACAAAGAACAATTAACTAAACTTAAATGAGGTACAAGTGAAAATTTTGAATGAAATCTAAAATGTTTTGAGCCTGTCAAAAAGTTGTGATCAAGAAGATTCAAAAAAATTCGACAGGAAAAAATAAAGAAACATAAATTATGAATTAAAGATATTGTTTTAAGAACTGATGAGGAGTATTATGTGGCAAGAGACAAAAGAGAATCATATGTGAAGACTTTCCACCTTAATGATTCTTTTCTGTGAAATGCCAACCAGATAATTAACTGACCTACACAATCTAGTTACACAACAATCTGTAATAACAGAGAATGGATTCTACTTTCAGATCAAGAATCCTTGACTCAGCAATGACTTATTTAACAATTGATTTAAACCACCAAATCTTTTTTCTTTTTTCATCTTAAACAAATACTTAATTTTAAACACTTAGCGATTTCTTAAAATAGGGATACAAAAAATATTGAGAGGAAAATAAAAGATGATTTAAAATAAAAATTGACGAAGAAAATGGGAAAGCACAAGAAAAAGGTGGGGAGTTACAGAAAAAAAGAGCTCAAATACTTTCGCTTTTTTTGAAAAAAAAAAAAATGTATGGGCATCATGCACCGCCAATCATTGAATTCACTTTAAAGAACCTGGAAAAATATTCAATTTTGTTATGGAAACTGATGACATCTGTACTCTATAGATTTATACTTAAATGAAAGCGCGTACACTTCAAAAACCGAATTGAAGTTAATAATTTTTCTAGACATTTTTGGAACAAGCTTTCAGGACATTGAACGGTGAAGAGATTATATGAAGCTTATTTAACGCTCAAATGTAATTTTTCACTTTCATGGAGAAGGATTTGATATTACTGTTTATCTCACTTGTAAAAAAAAAAAAAAAAACCAACATGTACGGACACAAGTTAAAAGTATCAACTTAAAGAAAACAATAAGTGAAGTGGGAGACTTAAATGAAACGGGAATTTTGAATCGCTCTTCACATCTCTTTTTAAAATATTAGTGAGTAAATAATTCAAATCTTCAGAAAAATGAAATTTGAATAGCTACGGGAGTAGTAAGATCCTCTTTAAGTTAATCATAAAATATAAGTTACGAGTAAACATGAAGCTTTTTAGAAAAATTATTGTGGGCAACAGCAATTTTTAGTAAAAATCAAGAGGAAGAGATTATAGATTTTTCTTCCTAAAGCGATTAGGGACTAGAGCTCCTTTCTTCTGAGGGCTACTTAAAAAAGAGAGAAGGAGGAATGGCCGAAAAGTTGAAAGTCTGTAAAAATTCAAATGACATGATACATCTATTTCAGTATCAGAAATAAAACAGCAGACTAGAGACCCAAAAAGCATCTTCTCGTCAGTAAAATTGGTTCAAAGGGAATACAGGGAGGTAAAGCTCACACTGGAACAGATTCAAGAGAGAAAGGAGAAAACAATGAAACCGGTGAAAATTAAAACTTAAAGGAAAAGTGATAATGAGTACGTCAAAGTGGAAGCGTTATCTAGATCTTTTCGACTGATCTTTCTTAAAGGTATGTAGACACACAAAAGGGTAGATATACAAATTGATAGAGTGAATAGTAAATAAGTAAATGCATGAATTTCAAGGATCTGCTACACTCAATATTTTTGATTAAAATACTTCTGTGACAAAAAGAGAAAAACAAAGTACATAAAAAATACAGGGGCTTATTGGAGGCATTCAGGATAGTAGGAATTCTTTCTTCTTTAGAAAAATAATGTTTCATAGAATTTATTGCTGATACAGGACATATTAGCAATCAGTTTCAGGGCAATATCTGGATAGTTAATCAGAAGCTGTTCATTACCAACTATCCTGCTCAGATTTTGAAGCAGATTCTATAAATTTCGTTTGAGACCTGATCTCTTGGAAATATTGAGCCTCATGCTCTGCGTTATTTCAAAACATAATTAAAAGCCGAACAGAAATAAAAATAAAAATTGCTACTTTATTATCCAGGGATTTATCTTCGGAATAAGTTGACCTACACTGATGCAGGGAAGTTAAAACATAATGCTGAAATTACTATTTTCCGATCAAAAATATTGAATTTTCACTTGACAACCAACTCAATTTCATTCAATCAAAAACCTATTGATAGCTAAATTAATCCGATGAAAAGCAAAGAGCAAGGACATGTAAATAATATTTAAAACTATTTTTAAATTATTCCGAACCTTGAGAGGAGGAGAAACTACTGCTTTATTCTTTAATGGTTTATGTTCTACAGGACTTTCACATGCTTAGGCCGAGAAGCTGAGCATTTCAGCTTCGGAGAGATTTCATGATCAGCAACTGAAAAAGACTTCTTTTTTTTAATGGCAAAGAGAGAGAAATGAGATGATGTACCTACAACTTGTAAAGGATAACCTCAGTTATCTCAAGTCAAAAACCAAAATATTCCAGAAATCTATAAAGTTCATTATTTTTTCCTCCGATTTTGTACAGTTGCTGCCTTCAAATTTGTACTGTAGAATTCACGAACCCTTCATCTCCTATCAGTCATTTCAGTAAATTTTACTCTGTTGTCAAAGAACAGTTGTGTGCTTTAAATAAAAACAATGAAATATAATTGAAAGAGGAACCCCAATTCCAGGATTGTATCAGAGAGAGCTACCTTGTGGGCTTTTGAATTCCAGTTTGATTCTAAATAATCAAAGAGTGAAGGGAGATTTTTCGGCTCAAGCTAGTCAGGACCTAAACATGGAAGAGAGAGTGTAGTGAATAGACACAGGGTGTCCCAAATTTGTCAAAACTGGTGCTATGATTCATAAACCAAGAACATAACTTATTAATTTTGGTTCTATTTGAAAGAGGACGATAATTTAGACCATGATCAACTTATCTGAACATAAATTGGCTCATGGGAAGAAGTTTCTATGTGAGACATATGACAATGGCCTATCATTTTCTTTAATGATAATTTACTCTTGATGAAACGTTCTGAGGAGACTTTTTAGATGCTCTATTGCTGACAAGTACCACTTGGCAACATCTAACGTGACTTGAAATGTATGCGTAGAAATGAAGCAAAAATCTGTGGATGAGTTGATAATATGTGAATGGTTGCAAAGTTCCTACTGCGCGTGTTGTTCTGTATGCGTCCGGGTCTTTAGTAGCTTTTGGTTTATATTTAATGCTTTTTGGCATATTTTGTTTTTAAAAAATGGATGAAGACAAGAATAACTTATCTGATAAAAGAACAGAAAAGTTTAGAAAAAAAAAAATGCAAAAAAGGCATCAGCGACAATGGAAAGTTATTTATGACAAGCATAAGGAAAAAAAAAGAGGCGCAGCAGAGATGTTGATGTTTAAGATGTTTTAAGATGTTGCCCAGCAGTGTTTCTAAGCCAAAAAGCATCTAACAACTCTAATCAGCACACTTTGGTAAGAGCAGATTGTTCACACAAAAAAGTCGTAGGTGGTTGCCATACTTACTTCATTCAAGCCGCCACAACTTCGCTTAATTTTCTTTTTTCTTAAAAATAGGTTGATATTGGTCTCAATCGATTTCATTTAACATCCTCTTTCAAATGAGACCAATATTGACTTAATAGGTTACTTCAATTTTGAATTACAACCCCAATGAATCATTTGAGGGCACCCTTTGTTCTTGCTGTTGAACAACTTTAGCAAAATAGTAACAGCAAAAGTTTTTTATGATGAATTACACAAAAATGGATTCTCTTTAAAGTAAAAGGCAAAATAAAATTTAGATAACGACGACCATTTAAGATAACACAGGTGTACAAAGTTCTTGTTTTCAGACAGCAGAGAAAAAACAGAGATAATTTGGATGGAAAAAGGAGACATGTAGCATTAGCTCTATCCGACAAATGTTTAATTTCTAGAAGGGGCTAAGAATAAACTGATTCAAACAATAAATTTGGCTGATGAAACAAGATACAGATTTGATCCTCAAGTTTTCTGCAAGATCTGTAACGAAATATCTCGGTATCTAGAGGTACTTTAGACGTACAGTATCATGAAAGTGACAGTTGAAGTTCATAACTCAGGATGCTTGATCCTTGACTCAATGATTCAACGCTCATTGAGACTCATAGAATTTCATGCGCATGGTCACAGTTTGATTGCTCAGTCTCTTCATTTTAGGGTGCACACCGCACAGCCAGATGCAAGGCTCAAGCTTTGAGAGTTCTCCGCTCCAACTGCAGCATCCATGTACTGTACCTTGATGAAGTTTCCATAATGTTAGACTTTGAATCATGACCCAAGTCTTGTCAAACTTTATAACTGATTAGTTTAATTTATATTAGGAGCATTCTACATTTTTTGTTTCTCCTTTCTATCTTTCCGCAGAAAAATTTGTACTTCTTGTGTAGTTTCCAGAATGATTACTGTGTACTACTAATTTACTTTAATCTATTTGTTGATTAGAAACCGTTGCATGATTAGCTGCAGAGTGAAATAAGGTCTTTCATTACTTCAACGTTCCTTACCGAATAATGATTTTGATTTTCTTATCAGATTCAATGTAGCTGTATCACTTCAAAGACTAATTCAAAAAAAAAAAAAAAAAAAAATTCAGTTAAAGCAATAACTACTAATTCTCCTTCAGCATTTTCGAAAAAGTATAAAGCTTAAAATTTTGAAGAAACACAGTGAAGCATAAGAAATCACTGTACCTTCAGAGCTACATTCGTAGTTTGGTTAACTCAAACCTTTTTCTAGTTTATGGCACTTACACAATGCATAACTTTGTTGAGATCCAAGTACAGATTCTGAAAATTGACTTCATTTAAGTATTAAAAGTAAACAAAACCAATAATAAGTGCTACTTGGTCGATGTAGAGGAAGAAAATGGTGGGTACAAGATCGATCATTCTCAAATCAGCCATGGAAGGAAACCATTGATGAACATCAAAGAAAGGAGGAAATTGCTGGAGCTTACTAATATATTAAACCCTCTTTCACACTGTTGTTAAGAGAACCAAAAGTATTTTAGCCGTAGTGAAAGAAATATGCTAATTCCATTAGATGTACACCGACACCCACGCGGAAAAAAAAAAAATATTTCACTTCCTGCAAACCAATCAATGGTCAACTTTTACCAAAAAAAAAAAAAAATTGACAATAATATGACCCCAAGTTGAAAGATTCTCCTGTTAAGTCTAAGATTGAAAATAAGAGAACGGAGAACTCAAATTATCTCTGTTTGATTTCATAGCAATTTAAATGGAGCAAAATTTAAAGCTACTTTTATAGTCATATAACATATAAAACATAAGGAAAAAGAGAATACAATGATTAATCGTGATATGATACGGCCAAAGTTTTCACCGACACATGGACACACGCCAAATATTATGGATTTTATATTTGAGTTTCAGCAAATTTCTAATGTATAAAAAAAGGGAAATAATGAATTAAATTACAGAAAGAATTTTTCCTTAAAACTAGTAGCAATAAATATTTTAGAGATATAAATATAATTAGACATGATCTGATAAGCCATTTAAAGACTTTCTTTCATTTAAATGATTCAATCATTTTTTTTCATTTTTTATTTTAAGTTTTCAATCTCCGAAGAGATGGGTGTTCTTTTGCAGCTCATAAAGAAAATTACCGAGGCCCACAGTGATTTGAAAAATAAATTGAAGAGCAAGGGCATGCCTTGAAATTTCTTCTAAATTTTCATTAAGAAAATAATTTTCTTAACTTCGATAAAATTGGCTCAAAGCCATGGAATTCTCCAGATATTATTATCAACAATCAACAGAGGTCTTCTCTTTCAGAATAAATAATATAAACTATTTTCACCTAGTCTTTTAAAAAAATGAACCATTCTAAAATTCTTTTTGCCTTTAAACATTTAAAATAAGAGCAGAGGCTCTAAGAATTAAGACTTACTTTTGTGATGGTGGAGTATAGATCGGTCCGCTATAGGACATCTTATGCAAAGCAAAAACCATCTTTTAACTTGTAACTTGTTGATCCCTAAAATATTCAACTATTTTAGAGATGAAAAAATAACTTTTACTTAAGGCTAGGATACTTACAAACTTACTAAGACGATTAGAAAGAAGAAGCTGTTTTCTGGTTGAAATAAACATTTTCGGAGTGGTATCATTCAAAACATACTTTTTGGCTGCGCCGAATGAGAAAGACGCGACTCTCTAAATATTTAAAAGTACCTCCTCCCCTCAGTAAGAAACAAAGCTTGATGGCGAACATATTTTGAGCCTAGATTAAAGGAAGAGATTGAACATTTTCTTCTGGATTGATTCTGAAGCTGATGCAAAGCCTGAGTTTTAAGGAAACAGAGGATACTTCCAATGTAGCTGCGTTCATACCTCAGGCACAGGCATTTCTAATCAGAAACTGAGGTCAAGATTCATAATGCTTTGTTTCGGTTGAAGAAAAAGTTGAGGAGGAGGCGGGGATAAATATACAATGGTTTACTTGGCATGAATACAGATTATATTACACTCAAGGATTTGATTTAAAATATTTTACGCATTATTAAGGAGAAATGAGTTTCGGAAAATTTTATATACAGGGTAGAAGAAGATTTGCCGGCTGCACCCACGTAGGGGTTGTATTTCAAAACAACAAAGACAATTTTATTCTTCACTTGAAGTTTCCATCATTGACGGTTAACTGGGTTTTGTAGAGAAATAATCAATTGTTGAAATATTTGCAACAAATGCCTATACATGCAACAGCCGACAAAATCTTAGGCTTCAGCTCTTTAAAAAAATCATCAAGCTCTTAAAAAATTGTACACCTGACCGAGTCATATTTAGTTCCAGAACAGCATTGACATGACTTCTTGTTAAAAATCGTAAGAGAAATATTTTTTTTGACTATCAGTGGTTACACTTTATCCAAAGAGACACATTAACAGACACCACAATGATGAATAAAGATATACGAATACTACACTGAATCCTCAATTGACTCTTTTCAACAACCGATCGCACTCAAATAATACTTAGAAAATAAATTATTTCACTGAAAAATTAATTTGAGGAGAGAGGATAGTTTGTTTTGGTGATTTTATTTTGAATTAATGTATATTATTATTTATTCGTTTTTTAGAAGTATAATTAGAGTGGCTACACGATTGGGATTTTGGATGTGAATCTTTTGTTATGGCTACTATTATTAAAACAAAGTAAACCGAGAAAAGAATAATAAAATGAACGAAAGTATAACAATTTCTCTCGAGTGCCAAGGAAAAAAGAAGTCATGTATCTGAATTTTTAGGAATTAGAGGCATGAATAAAACAATTTAAGTATTTCCTTTCCTCATTATGACTAAAGATTTTTTTTCAACACTTATGAGCGAATCATGCATTCTCCTACACTTGTACAAATGATAAAATTGACTTTTAAAAGATCATCAGAATCTGAGAGTAAATCTGGGTTTCCAATCTAATGATACTTTAAAAAAAAGGAAGATCAACTACCAAAAGCTAAATTAAACAAAAACCACGATGGTTGTAAAACATTGAGTAGAGTACAATTTCAATTTGTTAATACATTTTATTTACAGTCATTTAAACATATTTAGCATAATCTTGAAAATTTATAGCATTTTAAAATTAGACTAAAGAGAATTAAAACAAGACATTGTTCTCCAGGAACAGATTAGGATGTTAAACATCTCTGCAATGAGTACATCTAAGCTTCTGACACTGAGTTTGCATTCATAGCTGCGAATATACTCAAAGCTACTTGCTTGGTCATACCGCACATTAAAGCGAGGTCAGACTTGATTTAAAATTGGTTAAGTCAGGTAGATTCACAGTGGGCCCCTCTCATTAAAAAGTGGTGATAGGTTTTTTTCTTCTTTTTTTTCTAGTTAATAATTTTCTTTTATGAGCTGCAGAAATGAACATTGAAAATATAACATAGTTCAAGCATTTTGCATTTACAACTGAAAAATTCAACACTGTTAAAATTTAGACAGAACTTGCTTCCTTAAAAAGTTCACACATAGGGTGCATTCCTTATTTTGAGACATAGAGAATATAAATGCTAGAAACATTTTTGGAATTGAAATAGGTGTGTCTTTCAAATTAATGAGGCAGAGCTAGTTTCGACGGACAAATTTTCTGTTCTTTTATCAGATTGATCAATGGTCACTAATTACCAATCACTAAATGTTCTTAACTGCTTATTCTTTCAACAGGATAAATGTGTTAAGAATGTTTTAAATAAACAATTAAAAAAAAGTATATTTATTAAGATCAAAGACACAACTACTACTACCAATTGATTTGTCTGATTAAGTAGCAAAAGAATTATTTATTTCACCCTAAAGTATGTTCTCCTTTACTCTCATACTTTTTTTAAAACAAAAGATGGCTTTTTTTAATAGGAAACATTAGCTTAGCACAGTAATGGTCTCAATTTTCAACACCGTAGACAAGGTCTGTCTCGCAGGGTTTTTGGCCCGTCTTTCAGAATGAGTCCTAGTAATTAGTGCTGGGAAAATTCATTATCAGTTCCACTGAGCATGCTGGTAGGGATTCGAAAGTATGTTAAAATTTTAACAGTGTGCAAGAATGATTCATAAAATACAGGGTCAAAAATGGGTAAGTGTTAGATAAAACAAAATTAGGATACAATATTACTGGTCACACGTTGATGATCCATGACAGGTATGTCATCCTTCTCAATTACTTTCTAAGAGAAGTTTCTCCTGACATCGGTGAGATGAATACCCGGAGCATGGTGTGCCGAAGATTCCTTGAGCATAATCTATCAGTAAATCAGGTTTCCAGGATCCCTTGAAGTATTTAGTTGAGGTCACTGGCTGATGCAGTGTAAAATATCAGCTTGTTTGCGATCACGATGAAACTTTCCACTTGCAAACAGAGGCCGAAGTAAATGAGTGATTGCCTGCTTTCTTGCAGCACGGTTTGTAATTAAAAGTTGTAGCTTGGTTGCATAATAGAATCGGAGTTGCAATTAAACCGAAGAAACACAAGCTGTAATGACACACGTGTGTCAATACCGAAAAAAAAAAAAATTACAAAAAAAAAGAGAAAAAAAATGAGAAGAAAAATAGTGGAAAAAGATTGGAAGATGAAATACCGGACACTGACTCTTTCATCAAACTGAGCATTATCACTTTGTGTCAAGATCAAACTTAACATGATATCATTGAAGTCGATCAGTTAATAACTTAGTTATTTAACGCACTAACAAGAAAAATCAAATAAATTCAATGGTTTAATTTACTCAACCGATTAATTAAATAATTTAACACTAATATCACTTTCAGCCGATGCTTAATCGGGAATTAATATAATCAGTCTTTGTATCACAACAGTCACTGAGGCTTCGTTAAACGTCCAGCGCAGAGATCGTGTCGATCAATAAGAACAAAAACAATAGAAAGAAAAAAAAAATAAATTAAAAAAAAGACAAAAATCAACAGTCCTTTCCACTTTCATAATAATACACTGTTCGACGAATATAAATAATTCTGTACAACTGTACAAATAGATAAATACACATGTGTACAAACTAGGAAACACTAATTTGCACCCGGAGAGCTGGCATTGATTCGTAAAAAAAGATATAAAAAGCGTCCTTAGGCATCTGTGATTTTAGACTTTCAGAAAATCTGTGGGAAAAAAAGACAGAATCTATTAGAATTACATATTTTATGATAGAAAAACTTTTGGAAACTGACCAAACAATGCAGTTAAATACAACTCGGAATCCTACAGTTGATAAAATATTTGAACAAATTTTAGCTCTTTTCATTAACCTTTTCGATGCTGCAGACAGAAACATGCATTCCATAGGGACTTTAACCCATTGACTGAAACCGACGGCTCCCATCCATCCGCGCTGCGCTGGGCCAGATCTGAAGAGACGGGTCAGAGCCGTCCCTCGATTGTTTGCATTATTTCAGCGATTCTCCGGTAGATTGCGTTCTCATCAATGTTTATATGAGTAGTGTGGCCACCCTATGACTTATTAGGTACGGTAATTTCTTGTTTTATTTCGGTATTTTCATATTACTGTGCATTTGCACATGAAATAACCTCAAAATTTCCTGATTTTCGCTGATTTTGCGATTTTTACGACTTGGACAGCTATAAACCACAATAAAAAAATAATTGTGTTCAAAGGTTTCACAATTTTTCTCAAACGTTGTACTGTGAATGCTTATTGTTTCAATTTTCACCCTTGAAAATAGAATTTCTGGATTATTTTGAAGTGTTCAAAGTTATACTGATTTTCGCCAAATTAAATCGTAATTCCTGGCCCGGCAGGGTCAAATTAAATCACAAGTCAATGGGTTAAATCAGGGAGGTCAGACCTACAACATATCAAAAATTCTGTCAGTCTGACTGAACCCAATTTCCCCATAGAATTCAGGATGTCACGTTGTCCTTTAGAGAAAATTGGATAAAAGATAGTAGACGAACAATGATTACCTAAAATATTTACAAGTCTTGAGCTAGGGCAGCTGCATGGGAGGGTGAAAGAACGATTTTCAACCCTTGTCCATCTCCAAAAATGTCACCTGTAAAAGAGAACAGAAATGATAAAAGAAACCCATGACGAATTTCCTTACCAAGGATTTTTATAGATTGGATATCAAAAGACATGTGGAACTGGCATGCATGTCCAAGTTTTAACGATGAATTTATTTCCACATGTGTTTTTTTTCTTTTTTAATTACTGGTTTGCTCAATTACAACATATTTCATATATCGGCTCAGAAATGAGCTGATCAAAGTTTCTGTGATAAATTAAATAATTAATTTTCAAGTATGTGAATTCTACTCTCATGGACTAGAAGCTGACAGTGATGCAGTGATGTTGCAGAATTTAAGTTGAAGTAAAAAAGAATTAAGAAGTGTTGAACACAAAATTGAGAGAAAATATCTTTCAAATTGACTGTAACCTTAAAATAATGACACTTTTGGCCTATCTACTATCGATTGTTTTGAAAAGTTTCAACTGTAACTAACGGAACAAATAGATTTGATAAAAATTTTGAATTAATTTGGTGTACTTACGTTTTAGATCCTCAAACTGGCCAATTTTAGGGTTGGAATCTCCTCCTCCATTCATCATTTCTGAAAGACTAAAATTCAATGATAAAAATTAAGTTTAGTTGGGCAGCATCACTAAAGATAAAAGTAAAGTTCGGTCAAAAGAAGAACATGCACCATGGACTGTTGGAATGGAAGAGCGATTAAAACTGCACAGTGCAGGACTGTATTCTCGACCATTGATAACACTTTTTAAAATATTGACAAATGAAGAATTCATCAAATAGATGATTTGATCTATGTATGTAAATATAGGTTTGTACTATTTGATGTAGAAGTTTCCTTCTTCATAATCTTCCGGTTTTTATCTGGCATGAACTAATGACACACAAAAATAAAATAAGATGTTCCTGCGTATTGAATAAATAAAATTAGAATTACAATAGATGGGGATTTCCACTATGTCAGGTGAAACGGCAATGTTTTGGTTCCAAGAAAAGAAGAAAAGGAAGATCCCAGAATGCCAAAAAATATACATTTTTGGAGTCTTTGTAATCTGTTTGTCCACCCATACCCTCATTGACTCCACCATGACAAATCTGCAATGCCAACAACAGCGCAGCACTGTCTTTCATGCTGCTATCGCTATGTTCAAATTCATTTTGATCTGAAGTTTAAACCTTTTAGTAATTAATCATTATTGATATATTTCACTCATTTTGCCAATTAAGGCATACGGGTAGTGGTGTTTTCCTAGCTTCCACGTATAACACTGCGCCATTGGCTAACATTGCAAAATTGATAAAAAAAAAATCCATCAGATTTGGGTTTAATGTAATTTTCCTTTAAAAAAACAAGCCACTTGTTTTACCTGACGTTCGCCTCGTCGCCCAGTACATTATGCAACCCGGAGGATTCTTTGCTGTTGTCATCATCCAGGCTCAAATTTTTTGTCTTGTTGAGGAAGTCTGATGCTAAGCAAGGGTCGCTGTAAACAGATAAATCAAAACACAAAAATTAATGCAAAGACCATTTTAGGAGCTAGCAATAAGCTATCCTCTCCAACTGCCTCTGCAGAATTTTCAGGCATAAGAGCGGCGGGAAAAATCATGAAAGAATCTTATCAGTAATTAAATATTTGAGAGCAACCACAATAAATTCTTCAAATAACGGATTTGGTTCTTATTCCTGGATAGGACTTGAAAATATATGTAAACGAAACTTCATGATTCCTCTCTAGCCTTGGACATTAGAACACACTCATTCACTCTGATGGTTTCAGTCTTAAAGTAAAGAAAAGCCTCTTTTCTACAGGGACTCTTGACTTAAATTCTTTAACTTTAAACTTAGTCCCCTTCTCCTATCTTTGCAAATATTATAATTATTACCTATTGATACAATGACAATCAGAGCTTAACCCATTGCAATGCCTTGACGTGCCTTGATGAGTCCGAATGTCAGATTAGTTTCGCATCCATCTTTTTTTGTTTCTGCAGAGAGCCAACAGATGGCAAAATGAGCATGTAGCAACCAATGCTTCTTTGACAACCAGTGCTACAGCTGGGCAAGCTGCGGGCAATGGCTGCATAAATAAGCAGGCTTGTCCCGACGTTAGATAATTAGTCGATGGAAGGGACGATTTTACCTGATTTGAATGGCATGTCAAGATAGGAAAATGGCATGGCAATGGGTTAAAAAACAAAGACACAAGAGCGTTCAATATGCTTGACAGATAAAAAAGGGAAACTGCGTTTGAAAGCCTAGAGCTGGGTTAGAGATAATCTCGGAAGTTACATCTAATGAAAAATTGATGATTTACCCGGAGTCAAGGGTGACTGTCATGCCTCGGCCTTTGGGAGACTTCTTCTCTTTTTTAACAACTACTTTCCTCTTGTTGAAATTTGCCTGTGGAAGAAGATAAAAATATCATTAGTTGCATCAATAATTAATACCAAGTTCACGGTGGCAGACTATCCAAAATGCCAAGATGCAAAAGTGGTTTATAGGAAGAGGTTTCTTAATTTCTAACTTTAAAGCTACACATAGGTTCACATTTAACATCAACCAGTTTTAGAAAAAATGGCAGCGAACCCATGACAACTCAAAACTGCAGAAAGATTGAAGATCTACAAGAACTAGGACAGATTTTTAAAAGTTGGCTGCGAGGGAACAGACTTTTTCCAAATTGGCCTGATTAAAAAGTATAAGAAAGAAAGAAAAGGATTTGGCGATAAATAGGAAAATTACTGAATAGCAACTAGTGCAGGAATGCAAGACTTACACAACAAGGAAAACAACATCATCAGTCCCACACTCATAGAGTTGACGCCGAATAAGGGCACGCACTTTTAGGCTGCAACGAAAGATCTGTCATCTTGATTCTTCTATTTACTTAACATGTTGAGGTGACGTCGGACGAACTTCTGTTGCAGTCTAACAGTGAGTAAACTTATTCAGCAAGGACTCCAGCAAAAGGCCCAGGATATAAGGCAGCGGTATCTTGAGATGATTATTTGCCAAAAATCAAGAAGCAAGAAAAAGTTCTGAGTTTTTTAGTCCATATTGTATTTGCGTTTTATGGACTATACTTTCTCTTTACTTAATTTCCAATTTTTTACCACTTTGTGACAAATACATTCTGTTACATTTTACACTTCAAACTTAGGACAGTTTCTCCTCTTGTTGCTGCCTATGTCTACTAAAGATCTACTGATGAAAAGTCACTACGCTGAGGCTATGTATTAAACGCAGCAGGTTTAAGGCAACAGTAAATTGGATGAAAAGACAAAAAAGATAGAAGCATAAAGAAAATGAACTGATTCTATTTACCTGATAGCCACGTGAGCCTCTTCCTTTTCCGATGGATTTGTTTCCTCTAATACTGTAAGAAGGTCGACCTCGCATGTAACCATTTGGTCCATAAGAAGAATTACCTCCAACAGACGACACCTAAAGGAATTATAAATAGAAATTGAAACACTCGTTATGTCTGATTCTCAGTTTTTGAATTGAAGCAGGCTGCTGGCCTCTATTGATCCTAATTGTTAGGCAGCGCTAATATTTAACAACGAGAAGTTGCAAGATGGAGCTTAATATTTACAGAGGATATTCCGGGACAGAGCCAATACTGAAGATAATCACAAAACATCTTGGCTTCTGAGTATTTGTAGTGCCATCGACTAATCTGTTTTCAATGCACAAAAGATCACAGAGATGTATGATGAGGGTAAACTGATGTTGAAAAAATATTTGTTGCCCAAGATTTCGAAAAAGAAGGCATTTAATAAAACTTCAAAATAATTCGTACCTGAGGTCGTACAACCACTCCCCGTGACATTCCATACCCGTAGTTTCCACTCCAACTGCCAACAACAACACCAGCTATTTCTAATTTAGCACCAGGGCCAGCGACAGCACGGCGACCCATTCCTCGATTGTTAAACCTTCCTCCGCCGTAGCCAGATCTGCCACCAATCGGAGGAGCAACAGGCATTCCACTAGGCATGAAGCCGGCTGGCGCTAGGAAAGCACGGGGATCTGTTCAAAATAGACATATAGAGGTTAGAGGAATTATAAAAATCGAGCCAAAGTCGACTTCTACTTCAAAAAGTGAAGAAACCTGCTAAGTGAGTAAGATAGATCTATTTTTTTCCATTTATGAAACGTTCATTCATTTTTTGGACTAAGTCATTAGACTGACAAGATTTGCTGAGCAAGTAAATTTTTCAGTCCAAATCTTCATGGACCCCAATTTCATTGTTTTTCCTTCAAAATTATTTTTATTTGATCAATTAATAATTTTAACCCTCTCTTCTCTATCTCATTGTAACTTTTCTTCATTTGGCTGCGTGACTGCAGCATAGTCATTCTAGGAAGAGCTGATTACCATCACATGCACAAGTGTGAAATGGGCAGGGCAGGGTGATACTGCGAGTAGCAATGATTCTATACTGATTGATTCCATCAAGAACAAACAGAGGGCGCTTTCCACACATTTGTAATCCTCTTTCTCTCTTTCCTATCGGTTGTGCCTATTCACGTCATTAAGATGACCGCCAAAACCAGAGGTATGGAAGTTTCCAAGCCTCCTCCCAAATTTTAGCAACTTAATTCCATTTTTAACCAAAATTTAAGATTGCTTCCCTCAAAGAGTACAAAAAGAAAGAGAGAAAAAAACCTCTTTACCCCAAAAATTTGACTTTTTTACCCTAAAAACATCTCCCTGCAGTTCCCCCGTTTTGCCCTGTTCATGAATATTTCAAATATTTCATCAATATTTAAATATTCAATTAGATAAAAAAGATATTCTATTTTTTGTATCATAGATATTTTTGGCACAAACCTGTAGGAACCATAGGCATGGGTCTTGCGAACTGAACATTCAAGCCATCCAAGATGGCATGTTTCATGCGTTCTACCAACATAAGCGTGTGTGTTTTGTGATCACAAAGTTCCAGTAAGTTCTTGGCGACATTTGCTCTGGCTAACTGATACTGGAATAGTTTTCCGTCGAAATAGAGCCATGGGCAGCTCATCAACCATGGTACTGGCGCCCCGCAAGCATCATTCACCAATAGGGCAGTTTCAATACCTTGCATCAGGAGGGCTGCCAACTGAATTCCTCTGCTTGTTACCGGATTGATCTAAACAGAGAAAAATAAACTTGTTACGCTAGAAGAGGTGGTAATTCAAGCTCACATCACATCACAGCAGAAATCTTTAAAAAAAGTGGAAATACTAAACATATTACAGTAGCCAAATTTTGGAGCTTTCTTCATATAATATCTAAGTTAGGTGAGCAAATGTTCACAAAAACTTGTTGACAGGGTACATCTTGAATCCAGACATTTTCTTGCCGAAAAGCAAAATATTTTAATTAGTTTTTGAGAGATCAAAAAAATTTTTCCCATTGAGAGGGTAAAGTAAAAATCTCTTGTTGGGTATTAAAGAAGTTGGAGGAAAAGTTACCTGGAGATTTTGAGTGTATTCGACATTGGTCAGTTTGGGATCAATAGCGGTTACTAGGAAAGCATCCAATTCCTGTTTGCGAAGAGGATTATCTTTACTTGACACGATGTATCTATAACAACAAAAACACAAATGCATAAAAGTTCTGAGGATTTTATCCTTCTAAAATAAGCAGCAAGAAATGAGTTCGGTTTTTTTTTTCTTAAAATATTTTCAAGAGCTTGGAGCAGAGAACCTCTTAAAAGGTGATAATTCCTTAAACTAAAATAGTTAGTTCAGTAATTTAGGAATATTAAAACTAGTGATTTACCTTAGAACAGAGGAGATGATGAGCAAGTGTTGAGGAACATGATCAGGATTGAGCATTAAAGGATTGTCAGATCGCATGCACGTAAGGAAAGCTCGGAGACGCCGTCTTCTGTCATCAATTGTTGTACTAAAAAAAAGTAAGAAAATAAATTAGTCAAAGAAATGAAAAACAATCTTCTCGAAAAAGTCAACAGCATGTAAGCACAGCTGTGTTGGTGAATGAGAGGGGCTGGGCAAACATGGTTATTAGGCTTCAGATCAGATTGAATCTAATGAATGACAAATTTGAATATCAGACATCATTATATTACGGCTCTAGGCGCGCCTAAAAGTTGCCAGAATGATGAGGCTGACGAAGCGAGCCTCAAGTCACTTACCGCGGGTGATTGGGGGTTCAGGGAGCTGCCCCCTGGCTAGTAATATATTTACCTATTTTAGATCCGAGCCTTAAATTAAAAGTTTTTCATGTTCTTTTACTTAAGATCTCGTGAATAAAATTATTTAACTGCCCCTGCTACCTACAAATCTGCATGCGTTTCTATCAAATATCTTGTATAATATTTCAAATCATCCACAAATATTCAAATTTACAATCTGATAATAGAATAAATTCGAAAATCTAAGGTATTAAGCTGTTCAAGTTCGGATAAAAAATCAGGAAAAAACATTTGAGCTCGAATGTTCGAGATTTCTTAATTTCGGCCTAGCCTTTGTGATAAAATTATCCAAGTTGAATGACAGTTCAAACAGAGCAAAAAATTAACTTTTTTAAGTTTTAAACGGTACAAAACAAATTTTTGGTGGCTTTCCGAACGGTGTAAGAAGATGTACAGAAAATCTAACAGTTCAAAAAAACATACATACCCAAACCACAATCTTTTAACTGTCGGAACGCCCCAGCCGACTCTGACAGCTTTCACAATTTCTGGTTCTTTTAGGGGATTCTTCACAGACCAAATCCATTCCTTGATTCTGACATCAGGCCTGGTTCCTAAAATATTAATAATAGTCCAGATCAAGTAAGAGGTTTCGTTTTTAGAAGTTACAAACTAAATAATTACTGCAAGATTTCAATGGAAAAAATTGATAAATGACACTTCCAATGGTTTCCAAATGGTTCTATTCCCATTATATATGTTTTATGAGAGCTGGACGGACAGTAATGGAAAAAGTCCAAGAAAGCATGATCACGGCTGTATGGACGATGTCATAATACCTCCAACTTCAGTTTCATAAAAGACTTTTTTCGGTTGCTTGGCAAATATTTAGTATTACATTGTTGAACTGCAGCAAAATACTAGCAGTTCATCCACAAACAAGACAGACAATATCTTTAAAGTATTGTCTGAGTTTCAAGATGATGCTGAGAATTTAATATGAGTGGAACTGGGCACAGTTCAAACCATTGGATCCATGGTGTCTGTGCTCTTGAAATTTGCCGTTTACACAACTATAAAGAGTGCCAATAAAAGAGTTAAGAAGAGAGAAGGAAAAAGAATACTGATAAAACCAAAACATACCAGTTTTGTACTTGGCAACCATGAATGAGTGATGGTGCAGATTGAAGAGGATAGCATAAACCATCTGACGGCAGGGTCTGTAGAAATGGTGGATTGTCAATGGACTGTTCATGAACAGCTCATGACTGTACTCATCCTCCATCACAGCAGGCAATTTCAATTCACCCTACACAATGGAAATATACAAATTAATGAAAGTAGGAACAATAGGGATACACAAAATATTGATTGAGCCCCGCACACCTGCAGGTTGATTAAATCCAAGTTTAAAGCGGCATGAGACATCAGAATAAGATATATTGAACGGTTAAAATAGGATTATGTCTAGTCTCGTCGTGCTGATATGATTTCAATAACCGGGCGGTTGAGCCTCTTCAATAAAAGAAACCCCTGAAGAAATCGTGAAAAAGTACGTTCAGTCAATTCCTCAGGTTTAATTTTTCTGGGACGTTTTAGAGCACTTAACTGCACAAAAGAATCTTGAGGAAAAAAATAAAACAAGAGAGCTAGATAAGGGAGATGAAATCAACCGGTGAGTTATTACCAGATCCTTTGGCAGCAGCAATTAATATAAATGTAGAATTCATGCAGATATGTTTGCACAACTCTTGAAAATTACACATCTGTAGAAAACATGTTCTGCAAAAAGGAGTTCCAAAATTTTTTTCCAGTGCGAGCAACGTCGACAAGAGAAAATAAAATATTTTCAAATAACTTTGTGGACTATGAACTCACAAAATTAAGAATCTGATAGAGGGCAGGTGACATTAGGCCTTTGCTGTGCCGTTCAATGACAGTTCGCATGACTTCTGCAGAGGCTGCTGGCAGTTGAGGTGGTTGTTTCTTGCTTGACTTGCTTTCGGGTTCAGACTTGACATTTTCGACAGCTGAGGTTGGAGCACCAGAGGAACTGGAACTACTAGATCCTACACCAACGGTGCCATTTTGACCGTTTACTGCAACAACAGAAACCATCCATTTGATCACACTCAAAGTAAATTTACATCACACTGAAAACTTATCAAAATGATTCATTGGTTGCGCTTTCAATGGAGTCCTGGTAAAACTTTCATGGTGCAAGGTAAGCAAATAACTCATAATCTGTCGAAGTACACAGTCTCTACACTTAAAATGTACATAAATTAAAATTGATTGCTCAGGTACTCTCGACTTGCTGTAAAAATGACCATGAATAACTTAACAAATGGAAAGCAATTATGAATCATGTTTGAAAAATTTCAAGCAAATTTTCAACATTTATCTGAGAAAATTGTCTTTCATTTTGTATAAGGACCACTGATTGGGGGGGGGGGGTGTCTTTATCCGACTATGCTTGACAAAGAGAACTTCATGTTTCGCGAGCAAAGATGAGGACAACATCTTCCAAGGCATAGATCCTGATTTACTTGTATTTCTGCTACCTTTTTGAACGGACTTTAATCTATTTAACAACTTTTTCTCCAATAAACCTTCGGGGCCTCAGCGCCCATGATCCTCAAGTATACAGAGCTTCCTGTCTGTAGAACTCTTGAAATTTAGCTTACAGCAAAGATTTGTCCGTAGCAATCTGCCAGCCCAGTGCATGAATCTCGAAAAATCTCTAGGGAAAACAGCGAAAAAACTTGACAAAAACTTCTTAAAAAATACGGCAACTTCAATAAAAAAGAACCCTTAAAATTATAATTCCAAAAATTTTGTGAGTTTACATGCACTGAGAGAACCCTTTAAACCCAGCACCCAACTCTTTTATTACCTTTAATCACATCCAAAAAATACATCAAAGCAGCTGCATTTCAAGCCTGGTTTTTCCAGAAAATTGTCCTACTCCTCACACTAATGCCTTAAAATAATGACAAATGCCATATGACAATTTAAGCACACTTATATTGTTTCTCTACGGGTCAGGTTTAAAGTTCAGCTAAAGGCTTCAAGCCTTCTGATTTTCTGGATTTCAACTAGGTTTTTGATAGATTTTTTTCTTTAGATCTGATCTGGGCATCACATGCGGAAAGACAGAAATATGAGGATAAGCATCAACTGACTAGATAGTATAAGCTGACGGACCACATGATTGAATCTTGAATTGAAAAGTACATAATGAAGATCTTACCGATCTTTTCAGCAACATCAGCACCATTTTCATTTAAAGCCTCATCAATTACAATATCCGGATTTCCAGAGTTCAGTGTTAAATTGGCTTCATTGACAGAGAAAGTGAGAATCTAAAAAATAAAAAACCCATTGTAAAACAAAATTAACAGTGGATAATAATTTGGAAAACTGTCAGTATTTGTGGAAAGCATTCTATTTACACAGGGTTTCAATAGCAGATTTGAGGGCTGTGCAAGTAGACTGAAATCATAGGTGACCAACCCAAAATCAGATGCCAATAACCAACCTGACTGCAACCCCAATCTATAGTCCGCCCCACAAAAAGTGGTGGGTGAGGGGCGGAGCCAGTCGGCCAGTCCAGTCTATCGTTGAAAGGTTGAAGCGCAGGTATTGGCCCAGTCGTTACCCCATCTCAACTACGGGCCAATACCTGCGCTTCAACCCTTCAATTACAGACTGGACCGGCCAACTGGCTCCGCCCCTCACCCGCCACGAAAAGTGGCGCGGACTATAGTTGTATTTTCATCATACTGGTACTAATTGGCGTAAAACATCCCATTCAGATCCCTAGACACTTCTCATCTAAAAATTGGAAGCAAATTCAGTGTCACAGCGAATTTTTTCTGAATCTAGGGTAATTAGTTTCACCGTGCAAAATTTTTTTGCATCTTGAAAAAAGCAGTCAAGATTATCTTGCACAACAGTTGGGCAAAATGTTACCATCTTCTCTCTTGCCCACAACATGAAATGGGTCTAGCAGTGATTAATCGTACACAACCACACCTTAATTGAGATAGGTAGAAATTTAAGGTATGCACTTAAGGCAAGTTTTGCGCCTCATCACAGGAACAGAGAAGTTAATGAAAGTCTTACAGAAAGTTTACTTTTTCTTCATGATGAGTAAGTCAGTTTTACTGGAAATACAATTACTTGCTCCTTTTTTTCAAAATCAGTGGTTAATCTTCCATCTTAAAATATAAGTTGAATGCTGGACGAGCATTTAATGGACCTAAATTAACTAAGAAGATCAGTACTTTAAGCGGACAATTACACTCAGGATAAGAGTCGAGACTCAATCCATCCCACCCCCACAAAACTTCTTAAGTTTCTAGTCTTCCTGCTCATTTTTTTCTTTCCTGTAAATACCTCAAATCAACTTTATTGTATATTTTACTCATTAGTAAAAATGTTAAAATCCAAATGTAACTCAGAAGATCAACACAATTTCTAGAGACAATTTACTTACTTCAGTGGTGTTGCTCTCGGACGCCAATTTGGAAGTATCTAAGTCAGCGTCTTGCGTAAAATCATTTGCAGCATCCAAATTGCCTGATTTTGATTCAACATTTTTCTTGGCTTTCGAACGCCGTTTATCTGGTAGAGGAAAAACTTTCATTTTAGTTTCTAGTTCTGCAGTAAAATGATATTTCAAACAAGAAACGAAAAAAAAAAAAATAAAAGGTTGTCAAAGCTACCCGCTGCATCTACTGGTTTAGATTTGTTTAGCAGAGTTGCCACAGAATACAGAAAATGAATATCCCTGACACATTTTGACAGAATTCCCTGACAATTGAAAATATACCAAATGGTTAAGTATACATAATTTCAAATAGTTTTCAGGCAAACTTTATTGTTCCAAACGTCAAATCAAAATTAGAAAGCAAAAAATGGCGATTTGACGTTCTTTTCATGACATTTTCATCATTTTCTCTGATATTACCCGGTATTGCCCGTGGGTAATTCCTGATAGTGGCAACTCTGGTATCAGTGATAAGGATCAGATGTTATCAACGAAGACAAACCAAGCAAGGGGAAGAAATTCCGATTTTATTACTTTCCCCTTGATTTGTCTAATCTCTGGCTCTTATCTAATCAACTTCAAAAGAGTCTCCAGACAAATATTGCTTACTCACGTGTTAACTGTACATTAATTTCATTTGCTTCTTCAGTTTTTAATTTACCAAAACACAACAATAAAAAAGTTTTACACATGTGACCGTCCACAAGAAAGAGGAGCTTGGTCTTAAGGGGCAAAGTTTTCAGTAGTGGGTTTGGTAGGATTGAGTATCAAATCAGACTTGGATTTTATCAGAGGCAAGTATCCTAATGAGTTGCAAACAGTTTTCTTTATTTTGACCTTGGTAGAAGCCCTAAACAGCGATATTGAAAACTGGTAAGTGAGCACCTTAAATATGGAAGATGATCATGAGAAGGTATTGATCAAAATTACATTTTTTTGAAGAAAAATTTCCAACCAGACATTTGTAAGACATTTTGGGTGGTTATCTATTCCAAAACGTTCATAGAACACTCATCTACTTTATTACATCAATACCTCAATTTTGAGGTATGAGAACACAAGCCCTTTTTCCTGTGGACAGTCAGAAATTCTTCATGAGAGAGAAACTTATTTACCAGGTTTTAACTTCTGGAATCCTTCCTTCGTCCCATTGATATAATGCTGAATGCTAGATTTCAATTTTTCAAACCTGGCATCGGTAGCAGAGCCAAGAATTTGCTCAACGATCGAGCCAAGATTTTCTGCTGTTGCGACAGGAAAATCTTTGACATAAGCGGCGAGTTTCTTGACAAATTCGTCACCAGAGACCTACAGAAATCAAGGAATTCAAGGATAAGAAACCAGAGATTGAGAAGTCACCCCTAACTGAGTTCAAAAACAAGGAAAATTTTCCCATCGAAAAGTACAATGAAATTAGGTTACACCTCAATTTGACTTCAGTGGACTTTGGTTTTCTGTAAGCAGGAAGTGTGAATTAACAAAAAAAATGCTGTTTCCTCACTTAGGGATAGGAAGTTTTGATACAGTTATTGTATTTTACGTGAAACTTTAATAAGGACACGTATCTTTTGATGCTTCGTTCTAAATTCGGTTGATAGGTCTATTATGTTATATTTTTTGTTTAAAAAATCAACTAAAATGTCTCTTTGAAATTTTCTAGGAATATTTTTAAATGAGTGAAGAAATTTTTTTGAAAATGTCCAGAAAAATTGTTGATCAGTTTTCTTCTAAAATGATAAAACAAGACCAGCAATCTGCGATGTCACAATTAGGGATACGCAGTATTCAACTTTAGCTGTCAATATATTACAATTGAAGTCAATCTTTGACGATGAGTAGCTACGAATCTGCACCACTCAACAGGATTAAACATCGGATCAAATGGTACCATTGAAAAGAGGGACAATGACAAAAACGAAACTTAACATTTGTCTCAACATACAGAGAACAAGCTCTAGCTCCTAACAAATCTTGATTACTATATATTAAGAATGCATTATCAATATTACCTTGTCGACAGATCCTGCAATGCCTGCCTGCTTGTAAATGTCTGTGAGCTGATTACTGGCCAGAATATGGTTGCCTAGGAGAGCTGCGATGACACATAGTTTATCAGCAGTGATATTCAATTCTTTCAACAGCTCAGGAATAATGTATTCCTTTGTTTCTAAGGAACCCTGAAGCATAAAATGACAGTGAGTTATGAGAATCATATATCTGACGCAGGTTAAGTAAAAAAAATAAGCAGCTTGCCGTGAAAAACAGAGATTTTGAAAGGACTAACGAAAATTGTTATTGAATCAAAGGCCATTATAACAAGGTTATACTGCCTACTAATTGAATGTTTCAAGTCTCGAAGACATACACCAACAAAATGTGTGGACCAGTTTTGTAGGCGCACCACCTTCAATAGTCTTTTGAGATCGTATTCTCGAGAGTCAAGGATTAGCCAGCACGATAAAATCATGGGAAGAAATTCTAAATCTACCACTTCCCGAAAATCAACACTGAAAAGTGTAATTACAGATGCACCCCCCCCCCCCNCACCAAAAATTGAGCGGAAATCCAAATGATGAAATAAAACAGTAGAGAAAACTTAAATTTAATAGGATGAGATAATTAATATCAATGTTCATAATTGTAACGTTGGATTAGGAACCTCATGCTTACCTTGTAGGTTAACTTCAGTTGCTTGGCAGAGAAGTAACGATTGTAATTGAAGGCAGTATATTCACCATCATCAGCAATTAGACCTTGTACATTGTTTTCATGACAGTAGGCAATAACTTCTTGTTTATGGTCTTCCAACGTACAAATGACATTCACTTTGATTTGATGCATGACAATGATGCGAAGGGCAGACTGCAGACCAATCGGTGGCTGCCACCACACTTTGGGAGGAGGAGTTCCTTTGGATTGAACATGCTTCAGTACCTGAAATGGAATGGTAAATAATAATTCTTTGTTCTGAGAGAGTCTTGAATTACGTAGCAAAAAAATGCAGACTATTTAATTTTTAACGAATTGAGCCTAACAAGGTAGCGTCCAAAATCTAATGAAATGATATACAAGCTTACACAACCAACAGTTGGCTGGCTTCATTAGTTTTTTTATACCAAGTTGGTTGAAATCACATGATCCTTCTTGACTTTAGAGTGAAACTCTTTATCTTAAAAAACTAGAGCTCCTCATGGAATTTCACTACTGAATAGTTAACAATATCCATGGTGCAAGTCGGCAATCACATAACTCGTTTGCGGCGTCTGAAAATCTCCGCCCCCATGTTATTTTTTTAAAGGAGAACAACTTGACATCATTCCTTGAAGTTTTAGTAGAATTTTCTTGGCACAGAGAAGAAAAATCACGGCTGCTTTAAAGAATTGCCGTTGCGTAGTTTTCTGTTGGAAAAATAAGGTATGACAGGAAATCTGCGACTTCGCAAACCAAGTTATGTGATTGCCGACTTACACCATCGATATACAACTGTAACCTATGTACTTACTCTAATTACTGTGAGTTCAATATCTAAGACAAATTTTTAAGATAAGCCAGAGTTTATTCTAAAAACCTACTAGAAAAGTTTGGACTGTCTTGATAAAGTTTTTCAGAGCATGTCCATTTAAAAAATCCACCATACAAGAATAGAAGTGGGGAAGGGGGGGAGAAATTAAGTGCTGAAAATACAGCAAAGCACCAACAATCTCACATTAAAGCGCTTTCTAATTCTAAAAATAATACTTAATCATTTGCAGTCACTTGCATCAAGTTAAACATTTAATCAATGATCAATGAGTGAATGACCTGATGACACATGAAATTCCATTCTGATCAGACAGTGTTACATTGAGGTGTTGAAATTCACTTACTGAGTCAATGTTTTGCCGTGACTGGAGCTGTTGATTGACCCAGTCGCGAATGCGATGGGATTCTACGCATCCATTGAGGAAGAAAGTAAGTTCGACATCCACTTTAGCCATGTTCTCGGCCAGCTGAGTTAAGTAATTTACCATTCTGTTCCATTGACCACCACAAGCCCAATCTGGAAGGAAAAATGAAAAATAGAGACTAAATGAAATTTGGTTCTTCCTGAAATGAGTAATTTTGCTTACAAGTTTTTCAGCAAACCAAAAATAGACTAAAAATTAGAGTATATCTCTTTTGCACTGCTTGATTAATAAGTGGTTGTAGTCTTACCCGAATAAAATCCTCCATAGAGACGATCCATGCAACATTCTCCATCCACAACAAGAGTGAATTTTTGATTCTTTTTAGGTTTGGTGGTTTGAACGTGACGCCTGGCAAGCCTGACCAAATCAACAGAGACATTAGATCCCTCGACAGAGCCGCTTTCAAGAAAATGTTGCAAGTGTTTAGTGCTCATGATGACCAAATTGAATTTCACGCCAGTTTAGATGAAACTCTCCCAGAGACAAATTATTGATTTGCCGAAAATTACGAGAGCATAACACAACCTAGAAAAGAATCAAGTGAAAAACATTGTTCAGATAATAATGGTGGTAAATAAATGCAGATAATTTCACTAAAAAATATCTAGCAGACTTTTATTTCCCTTTGATCTTCTTTTCGATCATGGCTTTTTATATTCCTGTTCTGGTTGTCCTATTAGGTACCCATAGTTATCAATTTATTAATCTTGTTTCATTGTTGTGTTTATTCGAATTGAATCACAACATTTTATCATCACTTGATTCTACTTGCATTGTAACAAATTTAATTTATGACCTGTTTCAAAAAATTAGTTGCTTCTTTTGCTTAAATGTGTTCAGGTGTCATCTACCTCCTACGAGTTCTTCAAGTGACTTTTCTGCTTTGATTGAAACTAACACAGCGTTGTCAAATATGTTCTTGATATTATTATGAGTAATTATTGTTCATATATTGAATGCATGCTCCTGATTTGATTCGCAGTTGAACGAAGTAATTGCACGTAAATGCAATTGATTGAGAGATATAAGTCTACTCAACATTGATCTATAGACAGGAGAGATGCTGTCACAGAAAAAGCAGCCTCCAGCTCAGAAGTTACAATCGGGCCTACACAAGAAGACCTGCAGACATCGTAATAAGCCGTCATAATACTTAGTTACACATAAAGTTGCATAATCCAATTGACTCAGGAAATATTATCAGCTATTCTGAACGATACAAAATCCCTCTATGGAATAAAAGACTGGCTGGAATGATTGGTCTTATTCCAAATGAAAAAGGGGGGATTGTATAATTTTATAACAATTGATAATAGAATGCAAATGCCAGAGGAATGGGTATCGAGAATGTTCAAATGAATCGTTACTGATTTGCGGACAATGAAAAATTCTTCCGTAATCTGAGGCGTACATCCATTCTGCATTCATGGAACTTCTAGCCATGTCATAACTTAGGTACTAAAAAATAATTCGATGGAGGAGCCGGTTGGATGAGCCAAAGGCACTGTCTTCCTAAACAGAGTCGGTAGGATACATGAAGCGTTAGAATACAGTAGACAGCGTAGACAATCAGCCACCTTGACCTATGACAAGGACAGTATTCCTGAAGAATTGGAGAAGGAGCAGAAATCACAATCCAGGGGAGAAATATTTGCGAGAGCTTAAGAGCTCACGGGGTAAGAGACATGATGATCAGGGGAAGTCCTTCCTCCCAGACATTTCTCCATCTTCATTTAATTGCAGTTCTTAACCCCAAAATCAAGAACAGTCTACACCGAAACCAATTAAGGTTTTTAGACACTTCGTTGGCGATGACACATTGCCGATTGTTTCGGAACGAACGAATAGACGTTGCGGTAGAAATTTACTAACTTCAAAACACACAAATGAAAACCGTAAATTATTTGCAAGAAATACCGGTGAGCAGCATGGCGATGAGACGACGGCCAGATCAGCCATTTACCGCTAAAAGAAAAGTAAAGGACGACTCGAAAACTTACTTGCTCCTAGAGCGAGTCCAAAGAAAACTAAACTGATGTCGATAACGAAAACACCACAGTAGTATTAGAGACTTAATTGGCAATAAATGAAACACTTAGAACTTCACCACCATCCATGAAAATGATGTATGGAAACTGTAAAAGTTGATCCTGGTTCCTGACAGGAAATAATCGAAGCCGCTAGTTTGCTTCGCCTATTGCCTACATACCGGATGTCCGATGTGAGTAAGATAAGTCAAAAGCTGCACTCAACATTTTCTAATTTAGGAATTGAAAATTACTATTGAATATTGTCTTGATTTAAATAAAATTAGACTGTAAACAATAACTTTGAGTGTTTTTAGCTGATGGAAGCAAGTAAATTATTAAATAATGATATGTTCGTATTTAATTATTTTACATTTGGTGTCTTGAGTTACCGTGAACAGGAGTACCGTCTCTCTGTGATTAAAAACATTACTGTTCATCGATTTAATTTATCTTTTAAATTTATAATTAAAAAGAAAAAAAATCATTTAAAAATCAGCTTTATTGAAAACTTGATAAAATTTTGTAGCTACGGCTGATTTTTTGAGTTCGAATATTGTTCAATACACCTAAAATTATCAACTCTAAAATACCACGTGTAGTATCAAAGGCGTCTTATGTTACATTATTGTTAAGAAACAGATACCGCCAAATACGAAAAACCGCTAACCACACCTTCTGCCGACGCGGCGCGACGCATCGGGAACAGAAAAAAAACCTCTTTCGAAAACTGGGGGTATGCGGGTACTTCGGTATGCGAGAAGGGAACTTCTTGCCGCGTAGAAATTTTTGTGGATTTTAATACATTTTTCGAGATTTCTTTCATCCCCCCCCCCCCCCCNGATTAACTCATTAAAGTAAAAAAAAAAGTTATGCTGAGGATGGGAGGTAATCATGGACGTGGATAAACATTCGCTGCAGAAGACGTGGAGCTTCCTATTCATTTATCGAAATGGTGTCGCACAACCCCATATTTTTATAAAAAGTACGAAATTGATATTCTTGCTCCATGTTTTTGTTTGTGTGTTTATATTTCTTTTTTTTAAATGAACTTTTCAATGCATAAACTACAATTTTAAATGATATTTTCATGACGGGAAAGAGAGTGTCACTTGCGTCCATTTTGCAGTAAATGCGTCACTCATAGGTATCTCTTTTCTTTCAAAAAATGTAGGTGCCTACCTTCCCTTGACGCATTTGATATTGGGTCTCTTACGTTCTTTCAACAAAAATGAATACGCGTCGTCACCTTCCGGCCAAAGTATCACAAGAGCCATGCGAAGTTTAAACATTTCCGCCGCCATTTTATTTTACTTTTTTTTCCAGAGAAATTGTTCAACGAAACTGTCCAAAAATTTCACTGAATTTTCTTTGTGCTGCCGATAAAATTCAGTGAAATTTTCAAATAGATTCAATCAACAATTTCTCCTAAAAATAAAATAAAATGACGGTAGAAATTTTGAAACGTCGCATGGCGCTTGTGATACTTTGGCCGGCGAAGGTGACGACGTGTCATTTAAAAATAAAATAATGAATTTAATTCTGTTATTTATACTTACAAGTCCATCAATTAACGATTTTTTCAAACAAACATATTCGACATACCTACCTAAATAACGATGTAAATTCGTGACTGTCCGCTGGAAAAGGGACACATCACTCATCAAAAACTCAAAATTCTGCGATTAATTTGTGATAAAAAAGCTCTAAAATTTTAAATTTGCCAGGTTCAAGCCTGCTATTAAAAAAGCGTGCTTTCAAGGAAAATCAATTTAAAATTCTGAACTGCCGTGTCCAGGGCACGAAATCGGTGGAATATGATGCATCCTTATCCTTAATCTCTTCATCGGAAAAAAAGTGAAACCCACCTCAGTCTCCATGACAGTAAAGGGTTTTCCATCGAAATTTCAAAATCAGATTTGGCGACCCAACTCGTCAAAAATCGCCTTATTGAATACTGTTACCTCTGATTTGGGTCCTTTTTCTCATGAATGGCTACATTTTTTATCATTCAGACTTCCTGCAAACACAAACTTCCCTTGCAGGATTCACTAAATAATTGTTTTTCAGCCCCCTTCTCCTTCCCTACTCCGTCCCTCTGAAAGGCAAGGGGAGGTTGGTACCAAATCCGAACTATGATGGGACGGGATAATAATTGAAAAAAAGTGATAGAAAGAAGAGAGAGGGAAGAATTCCTGACTTTTAGACCTTCGTGCTTGTTTACCTACAAGCTCCACCGCCTCTCGCTGCTTATTACAAATTATACATATTGAGAGGCGATATTGATGCTATTCGGGTCTGGCTGGAGTTACCTACTTACATATGTGCCCATTAAGCCCACTGCGCCTTAACCGCTTCGTTGACGGTCGGTTTTCTTTTTTTTTGGGGGGGGGGGGGGGGGGGGGAGGGGGAGGCATAGAGAGAAATAGCTCGCATACTGACACAAAAGTCGTCGGTTCAATAAAATCTTACACGCGGAGCATTATAATAAAAGTGTGTTCTTCAAGCAGGACATTCGCGCTCGTCGGTAGGTGGGTTGCCTATGCGGCCAAATTGAAGGCGAAACTCAAATGGACGATACCCACCGATAGGTTATCACTTATCAACATCGTTCATCGGCATGGTGCCCTTTCCTACCCCCCACTCCCCACAAAGAAAGTTTCTGATGTTCATCGGCTCAACGACATAATGACGGTGAAACTGCAAAAATGCGTAATTCAGCTGCGGTGCGTTTCGAAATCTCTGCTACCCTTTTATTTTTTAAAAGGAGCCCTAACCAACATCGCGGCTTGAAGTTATCACAGAATATTTTTCATAAAGAGGAGAAAAACCACTGAAATTTTTGAAAAATGACGTTCAGTAGCTCAGGGCCGGATTAAGGGGGTGGCCACATGGGCCGCGGCCCATGGCGGCAAAATTAGGGGGCGGCAAATTTTGCAATTTTTTTTAAATGCAGGTACCTACAAAAAAATTGGATTCAGAAAAAAATTACAAACAAGAAAAGGTGACAAAATCTCTCATTTCCTGAGAGTTCATTAATTTCTAATTTTGTCGTATTTCGGTGATACAAAAGACTGCGCACCTTTAATTAGTTGAGTTAAAAGAGAAAAACACGTAATTTGGCCTGGAGCGGCGCGACGCAAAGAGAAATGATGACGGGGACTTGAGATAAAAAGGAGAAGCCCTCGACGCGGCGCGGCGGTCGGTATGTAACACATATTAGCGCCTACGAGACTGCATGAATACTTCACGCATTGCGTCAAACACAGTAGGTACGGTCAACAGCGGTCGGCGCGGCGAGAAACGCACAGTGCCTACAAGACTACGTGAATACTTCACGCATTGCGCCTAACACAGTGTGGTCAGCGCGGCACGGTGGCGGAAGTTAAAATTATTAAACCACATTTATGTTTGTTCTTTCTTAATTTTTTAGTTCATTTCTTACAAATGAAAAGCCTTGTCCACACAGAGATAGGTTTACGGAACTGAACTTTCGCGCTAAGTTCCGTGAACTTTTGCTAGTAGTGTTGTGAGGGTTTACGCAAAAAATGTGTCCAACACGAGTGAACGCGTCTTATGCACCCTTCTCCCTCCGGCACGTTCACTTGATGGTTTTTATTGATATTTCAAAATGAATGAGAGGAGGGCGGCAAAATACAGGCAGCCCATGGGCGGCAAGTAGGTAAATCCGGCCATGCAGTAGCTTTCCGTCTAAAAAATAAATTATGGCAAGAAATCTGTAGCGCCGCGAACCGAGATACGCATTTCTGCAGTTTTACCATTGACGGACGTGTGTTTTCCAAGTACAAAATAATTCGCGCTCCTCGTTATGCGTGTTGCCTGCACGTTGGAATTGAAGGCGAACTTCAGGTGGCTGATATCAGTCAATAGGTTTACCTACATTTAGGTACCCTCTATTGGAGCTCCTTGGTATGCTCGATGCCTATGCGACGAAATTGAAGGCGAACTTCGAATGAATGATACCTGGCACTCGCGCATCGTCTGTTGGTTCTAGCGAAGTGTCATGAGGTTTTGCGTTTGTGTCGGTTGATGGGGAGAGCAATTTTTTTTTTTTTTACTCGTCTCTCACATACTCAGGTCAACTTTTCTTACTACTTAACGTCCTTAGCTCGTCAACGACCCCAAGTAGCAGTGATCGCGATAAGTTTCAATTTGATCGGAGAATATATCGCGATTTTATCGACGTCGAGTTATTGCAATATTATCGGATTAAGAATTACGATTTCTTTGCATAAATTTTCAATAAAATTGCGACTCAATCAACGGCGATTTATTGCGATATTATCGAACAAAAAATCGAGATAAATTGAGATAAATTTTCGATTTTGTTTAACGCGATTAATAGAGATAGACTGCCACAAGATCGAGGATAATCGCCGGGATATTGATGATCCTTGCGATTTTATCGTCAAAAAATCGTGAGTTAATTTCAAAATATAGCGATTTTTCTCGAAAAAATGTTACGAAATGCTTCTTGGGGCGTGTTTCGGGGGCAACATTTCCCTTTTCCTCCTTTTAGTGTATACATTCGGTATGTTACCGCATTGGAATGACGACCAATACAGTAGCCTGATCTTTTTGATGCCAAAGCGAAATTGACTCGGTCGAAAAATTTTCAGAGAGGGGAGAAATTAAAATTCACGATAACAACCCCCTTCCCCCCTCCCGCCCATTAATACGGTAAAAAATGAACTGCGCGCGAGATTTTTTGCGGTGACGAGTGCCGCTTCAAGCGCCGGCCCCCGCCCCCTCCCCCCCTCTGTGCCTACCTGAAACGTCAAATAAAACCTCCAAGCTAGTTATTGATGATAAAGAGGCTTTCCATGACCGGAACTCTCAGGGTTGGGACAGGAATTGAGAAAAGTTCGGCTATGTATACTTTACTTTCAGGCGGTGCATGATATGCTAATTTATTGATTTAGTCATCACGAGATACACAGAAGTAAGTGAAGGTCTTGTACCACTCTCCAACAGGCACAGAGGGTATGTCAGGTTGTCAACTCGTTTCTATAATCCTCAGATTCACGAATGCATATGGTGCAGAGGGGAGTATGAAATAGTTTCCTTGAAACCTTGCAATCTTGTGCTCAGGCATTTCCTACTGAAATGCCTTCAGACCCAGTGAGCCCCTGCACTGTTTACAGTCGTGGAGATTCACTTTCACATCTGGTGTTTCAAAGAATGATCACAGGCAGGTGACTTCTTTTCATGTTTACCCTTTGCTGTGAAAAAAAGTGATAAAAATAATGAAAGGCATAGAGTAGTTGTTTTCATTTTGTGAGTGGTTGGTGGAGACTTGAAGTTGATCAGTTTTTGGGCAAGCTATGACAAACTGCCGGAAGAAGATGCCCGTTGTTCCACTTAATTTAAATAACTTTGAGTCTTCTATAATTTCTGCTGGATGCCCTTACGTTCTCACCAGCCCGCGCTCATTAAGGGCTTGTAAAAAAGCGGGAATCAAGGTAAGTGACATTGTTATTTACTTACAAGAGAATATTCCCGATCCAAAAAAAAAAAAAAACTTTTTACTTAACAGCCTTGAGGCAGAATAAAATGCAAAAAATAGTGTTCCTCTTACGACCACTTCAAATGCAACGTGGTAGCCAATTTTTATGATGTACCTACACCCATTTTTCTTAGAAATGATCTTTCAGGTGTGCATATACATTGAGGATGTAGCGTACTTCATAATTTGAAGGTCTAAGCATGGATGGATCAAGAGATAGGATTGTAATTTCGAGATTACAAATGATAAGATTAAAAATTGAATAGGCCCTGAAGACCTGAAAAAACTTTAAACTGAAACTGTGAGTCTCAGATAGTACAGTGTTGATGGTTATTTTTTTTACAAGTAATACTCAAAAAAAGCTCAACTAAAAACTAACGATTAAAATCATGTTATTATGTTCTCACAACAGACCCTTCAATGGAGAATTTTATAACTACTTTTTTGGAAGCTTTGCTTCGATTTTGGAAGTATTCTTGAAACAATTTCATGACAAAGTGCATGCTAAAAAATATAATTAAAAAATAATAGTACTTAGGTACCTATAAAAGAAAGAACTAATAAAAAAAGAAAAAAAAAAAGCATGGGTAAAGTGTAAGTACATCGATGTACGTACAACAAAATATATCTTCTGATCTCTCTCCAATGCCATTGATCTAACCATAATATAACATATGAAAATGGACAATCTTGTACATAATTTTTTTTTTTTTTTTTTTTTTTTTTTTTTTTTTTTGCGTAAGTGTTAAATCATTAACTCGATTAATTAATCAAATTCTGAAAGGTGTAAAGTAAAGCGAATATATACGTATTTATATCGTGAACTAAGGGTACAATTACCAAAATTTGGATTTTGCAATTGAAAACCAAAAGACATAAAGAAAAAAAAATGTGAGTTAAGGATGATTCTGAGCTCGTTTAGGAGTATATTTTTTCCTGTAAAAATTTTACTGTCCACGAAAAATATATAGGTAGTATATGCGCAAAAAGTGGACCCAAAGTTTGATTTTTCTACAAGCTTCATGGAGGGATAAGACTTCGAACTCACTTTCCTCCATTGCAAGTTCAGGTCACCGAGTCTCTTCCAATAGATACCACTTCAATAAGGTGCAAACTTAAATACCCAACTCAAATATTAACTTGGAGAAAATTCATCCAGAGACAGCTGCCTGATTGTCAAAATTTTGTGTGCGTCGACCGGATGAGACAAAATAAAGCAGAAATAGGGTAATGTGATTGGTCCGATTCATCAGTCGTCCTCTTTTTTGTGCCAATAAAGGGTTAATTTGACGAGAATTTATCGGCAACTTAAGAGGTGTCTTTAGCTTCTCATTGATTACACCCTTTATCAGCACGACAAAGAGGACAACTTACAAAACCGACCGATCACATAATTCCATTCTCCTAAATCTTGTCTTATAAAGTCCACAGATACAAAATTTCAACAAGATGGTTTCAACAAACTTCAACAGGTTGCAGGAAGAAAAAAGGGGCTTATCCCTTAGTTAAAAAAAAAAAAATACATTTAAATCTAAGTAATACTTTATTGGAAGACTTGGACACTTCTCCTGCAAGAGAAGACCATTGATAATTGGTGGATTGCTTTATAATGATCATATTTTCTTCCAGCCAGTTGAGCTTTTATATCAAAGCACTTCACAAATTGCGGATGATTTGGGAGTTCACCCAAAATATGTTACTGATGTATTTCTTCAAAGGGAAACAGACCGACAAAGTAAGATTTCACGGATTTCAGCTTGTTCTCTGATTTCTATTTTAATATTTTGGCAGTGACTTCATTCTTCCTTTGAAACAGTGTTGTTATAAATTTGTAACTATCAATAGCAGCAAAGATTTTTTGAAGAAAGGACACAGTGCCTACAGGGAAAGGATTTTATTTGATCAACAATTTTTCCATACATTGAAAAGTGTTAAAGAGCAGACTCCTGCATTGTAAATACATTAATGATCTAACACATACAAAAATGCATTAGGAACTTAATTTGTAAGAACAAATAGAAGAAAAAAAAATAAGAAAAGAAAAGTTTCCCTTACATAATTTGCTGTTAACGCATGAACTACCACGATCTAGTGCAGATATTAATGATAATGCCATGAAGTCACTGACCTGCATAGCAAAGAAAGGAAACATTTCCATAGATATATTCCCCACTAAGCACAGAAAATGTATTGTCTCTCTACAGAGCTCCTATGAATTCAAAATGATATTGAATCTGGTTCATTTTTTCCCTTCACTTCACAGAAAAACTAGACTTGGTTCGTAAGATACGGAATGATATCATAGCTGATGAAACTCTCATAAAAAGTTTGGATTTGGCGCACCATAAGGATAATCTAACATGTCTTTCAACTTGCTCTAGAGGTATAATATTTCCTGATAAGTCTCATCTGTTCATAAAACAACCAACTGAGACTCTTCATTAATATTTGCTGACTTTCTTCATTCAAGTTCTGATAAATTTAATTACTACGCATCATTCAAATACATTTGAATACATTTACATTTTCTACTAAGTATACATCTTCCATCACTTATTAATACAGGTAGAAAGTCAGACGACGCATTGAAAAAAAGAAAGAAAAAAAAATGATTGAAAAAATTAAAGAATATAATAGAAACTCAATTTGATTAAACAAAAACTGTAATGGAATAGGAGAAGAGTCTCTGCTTGAGAAAAAAAGAGCTTCTAAGATAAATCAATTTAATAATAAAAACGTATTAATGGATAAAATGAATACCCGTGGTTCAAATTTTACCAAAATTGATCTATTATAATGACTTACAGGAAACCGCACACCAACATCCTTAAGAAGACGACATCATTCTTCTCTCCACCATTTGAAAGGACTGTAAGTCGCTGTTTTCGTTTTTTTTCGTTTATTATAAAATATGCACCTGACCGATTACACAATATCTAACAATCTCAACTTTCGAAAAGAATACTGTGCATCAAAATATTACAAATCAATTTTTTTGACCAGGTTTTCTAATTCAGTCTTCTAGGTGACTCATACAGTCATTAAATTGAAGGCTCATACTCGAAAGAATGGGCAGCACTCTTTAATTTTAAATTTCCGTGCAGTTTCAAAAATTCTGATTTTATCCCATTTTATAAAACAGTTTTAGGGCTTCATTACAGTGACTGACAGATTTTTGTTGGCTTTGCAGCTGTTGTTGGTGTTGCTGTTGTCACTCCTGCTGTTGCTACTGCTCCTGCTACTGTTGGTGCTGTTGTTGACTTGAGCGCAACACGGTCTTCCTTCCAACAATCGTCCAATTAATATTTTCGCCTAATCATTCTACTATCATTTATATCATTCTCATCCTCGAAAAAGCGGTCAGCAGTGGCTCCAGAAGGCAGTCCAACACACCTTAGACAAACTCGATATCAGCCTTGATGATTTAATCCCTGAAAATAAATGCCTTCGCATTAAAGATATGAAATCCATTATAGCAATTTTAGCAGTACTGAGAGTTTATTTGAAATAGCTCTTACCTTCTTCACTAGGGTTGCCATGGAAGTTGGAAAATTAATTTCCCCGACACATTTTGGTTGAATTCTCTGACAATTGAGAATATGCCAGATACTTAAAAAGACATAATTTGAAATAGTTTTCAGGCAAAATTTGTTGTATGAAACGTCAAATCTATTCTAGACAGGCAAAAAAGGTCACACTTACGTCATTTTCCCTGACACTTTCAGGCTCTCCCTGACGTTTTAAAATTCCCTCACATTTCCCAGTTTTCCTGGTATTTCCTGACTGCGGCACCCCTTCTACACTTTATCACATCACTCTTAAACAATATGAGCTTCATATCCTGGAATACTTGAGGAGGGGCATCTCACAAGCATCAGTTGCTGGGTAAATCTTTCAATGCATGAGTCTCGCGCCTCATTCTTTTGCACAGACATCAACATCAAGATATGCCTATCAATATTACTGCCTAGGTTACTTAATTTCTTTGCCTTGAACCTCAATTTTTGAGATTTAAGGCATTGGGCATTCGGTCCAGCAACACTGGGTCTAGGTGCCACACCTTTAAGAGGCCTTCCTCTTTTAGGTGATAGGTATAACAATAGTAATAATAAGTAATGAAATAAATAGATTAAAAAACTTTAAATTCTTTTTTTTAAAGAAGAACTTTCAAAGTTTAGTCACTGATTCAAGTCAATTACTGCAAAACCTTATCACTGAAATCATGAACGCTCTTAAAACATGTTAAAGAAAATCCATGCGACACATGTTATAAATAAAAAATTGTGACGCCAATTGACCCATTAACTCATTAACTATTGGACAATCCCTGCTTTTTTAGCAATGTATAATAATTTTTCAACGCACATAGCATTTGAAAAAATGGCTTTAAATATAAAAGAAAGGGTTTTGGTAATGGAGAAATCCATTAGCATACATAAGACGGAGAGGCAACTATGATTCAATAGATACTGAACTTAAGATTAGAAGAATGCATAATGAAAGCACTTATGTGAAAAATAAACATTTATCAGCTTCTCAGGGTTTGCTATGGCTATTATTTGAAGGTAAAAAATAAAAAATCCTTCCAATAGGAAAGAGGATGGAGTACCTTTGCTGCAATAAAGATGTTGATACAATGCTCCAGTACATTTCTTGCAATAGAATCGAAAAAAGTACACTGGTTGTTGACAATCCACTTTTGATGTTTGACTGACTTTTAACATTTATATCTTATCAAAATCGCCCTGTAGGAAACAGAAGTAGAGCACAAAAATTAATGAAGCTGGATCAAATAACTCTGCCATTAGGAGACATTAAGACACCTGTGATGACTATGCCACAATACATATTTTCACCTAGTTAAACATTTCACGCAAACTAATTGCTTTTATTATGTTCAGACTGAAGTTACCAAAGTTGTTTCACTCAAACTCAGATAATATATTTTTGTGTAAAATTTATTTTTGTAGTTTATAGTCCTATTAAATGTTGGAAAGAAAACATGCAAACTGTGTCTTATTTGATGATCCTGTGTTGCTTGATTCTAGAAAAGCTTATCGGGCAATCAAGAGAGGACAAACAACCTGTCATTTTCTTTTTCTTTTTTTTATTATTAATGTGCGAAGATGAACATTTTACTGAAAGAAATAACATTTTATACATAATACGCACATATTCCAATGATCAAGTTTTGCTATTTTTCTTCCCTCCGACTATAATGGATGAAGCGTAAAATTATGAGAAACATTTAACTGATCATACTTTTAGCATTATAATGCACAACAGTTGTATAATTTTATTCACGAGTTGCCGAAATAATTGACTTTCTGTACCCATTTTCTCTCGCCGCAAGTCGCACTTTTCACTGCGGAAGAAAGCACGAAGAGGGTACCTGCCCACAAGGGCAAAGTGAAGGTGGTATTATCAGGTTGCAAAATTATAGAAAACATTTATCAGGTGTTATTGGTTTACTATTTACAACGTGGTAAGATCATAAACGCAATCAGGAACTAAGAGGTCCTTCAAAAGCTTAAAACTCGGGTCAAAAGTGAATGGCCTTGGTTTATGAGCTGAACAGTTGACGGCAGTTTCTTACACTGTTCAGGCTTCGAATTTCTGATTACAGTATACGGGTGGGAAATGCATGGTGCGGCAAAATTTGTATGCAGCTGATGCTGCTGCTTTGTTCCACCAAAAATGGCTCCATTGTTCAGTGAAATCCACTCACCATGTTTGTTATTGGCATAGTCCAACTCTGTAGGTTTTATTGTAGGTAAAACTCAAGTAAATGCAGCGGAGGTAAGGCTAAGACCCTTACGAATTTTAACGCAGATCATATTTACTGAGCTATTCTGAGCTATATAATGATGAACTTTCTTCAATTCGTAGTAGAAGTGCTGCATCATTTATTAGGAATTTAGGATTTTAATTTAACCATTTATAAAATCGTCAGTATCACCACTGTCAATTCTCCTGAATATGATTTTGCTCTGAAATGATGACAAAATAGCCGTACAAACAAAAAAAACTAATTACTTCCCAACACATATTTCCTGATTTCAGAGCAGAACACACAAATCATGGTTCATCTCCATCCATTTCAAGTATCCTTTCATCTCATTCGCCAGCATTTCAAGACACATCTCGCTCTTTTCACTCCCAATCTAGGCACACTTCGCCAGTACTAAGGTCAAAATCAACCGAGGCTATGTCGAGTGGTATGAGGGAAATCGACAACCACTTGCGGCTATGCTCTGAGGAGGAGTCAATCTTCAGACAGAATCAAAACTTTCCATATTCTCCTTCCGAGAATAACACACCAAGCCCACGATTTAAGCATAAAATGACACCCGACCCTGCCTGCAAATCACGAAATTCCCCCTCCACTCCTCGCTCAAAATCAGTGCCTTGTTTCCCACCGATGCCTTTGGTCTCTGTAAGTAGTACACCTGATTATTATGCACCAAATTCAACGGACACAGTGTCAACACCTCGATCCAAAATTGGAACCTGCCATCCAGTGCCATTAGATTCTCATGTGTCTCGCTGCACATCAGATCTGTCCCAATCTCCAGAGAATTATCAGGATAGAATACAGTTGGTCAGTGATTTCCTGTCTCAAGCAAAAACGAAGTAAGTAGAAAACTATGGGATGGGGCGTTGAATCCTCAAAAGTGGGTTTAAAACGAGTGTCACAAAATCAGACTGACTGAGTGTTTAATTCTACAGATGAGCCTAGAATAATACAGTTTGCCTAAATGCCAAGTTTCAAGGCCATGAAGGCACTGCCTGCTAGAAAATTCATTCAGTGACATCATCATGACCTTAATACATATGATATTCATTCTGAAATACTTCCATCAATTGGTGACGAAAAAGGTACAAAAGCTGTTACAAAAATTGGGAGATGACCTGTTTTAAGAAAATTGTTGAAGGGATTGGATTACAGTTTGTAGGAGCTTGACGCTTGTTACACTAGCTTTCAATGTAATTTGTTTAAGACCTACATAAACCTAAAATATAGTATGCAATAAGCTTTGAGGGTAATGCAAAGGACATTTTTGGCAGCTTTTAGGGAAAGATGAATGAGATATAGATCATTGATGGTTGCTTTTAAACACTATGGTCATCGAGCCTCTGGCATAAAAATTAATATTTTACTGTTTCTAAATTAAAAACTTTCTCTTTTGCGATGAAAAAAAAAGTATCATACAATGAAAAGAATTTAAAAATGGTAACACCACAGAGAAATCAAGTATATTTTAAAATGAGAGCATGTATAATTTTTATTTCTAGGTGTCTTAAAAAGAAGAAAACCAAAGGGAGTAAATGCAAGTCATTCATATCTGGAACCAAATTAAAAACCTTCGATGGGAAGGAAAGTAAGAATAAACAAGTAGCTTTTGAAGAGAATCTAAAGAAGGAAAAAAAAATAGATGCTAAAACAAGATCCAAACCAGCAGCAGGAAAAAATGCAAGACAGAAATATTATGATGAAAAGGAGAACAGTTCTCGAAGAAGGGATGGCAATGAATCGTGTTCTTCCAGAGGTAGTTCACAGAGAAATAGTGGTGGGTCAGTCAGATCAAAGAGATGCTCCCAGCAAACAGAGGTATCCAAACCAAAAAGAAAACTGAATGAACACAGGAAGAGTAAATATGGAAGATCTGAGTCGGATGAAATTCGCGAGAATGAAAAAGAAAGAAATGAAGATCAAATAAAAAACCTAACTGAGAACAAACCAAGGGGAAGCCATGAACACAGCTGCTCTGTTATGGATACTTGTGGGAAGAAGAGTAATATATTGAGAAACTCCTTTGTCAGGTATTTTATTCAAACTGCATTCAAGGTGGCTCCTTACAAAATAATAAAAGGAATTTAAAACCGAACTCGCTCTAAAGACACCTCAACATATCAGTGTAAATAGGAGGTAATTACTCCAGTGTAATTACTTAGGAGAATAGGACAAAAAAATATTGTTTTCCTGCCTTTGATGTTCAAACGGGGTTTCCTCAAATAAGTGAGCTAGGGCCATGTTTTTGTATGAAAAACATGAAAGTTCTTCTATATCTTTCCTCCCCTCTCAATCACTGCTTTTCTTAGGATTGGGAGGAGCGATTTCCCTCTTTGACCTTTCCCTGGGTCAAGTAATATCAGAGGTTGCAAGAAATTCAGTACCGGCACCTTTTAAAAGATTCATTTACAACAGAGCAATACCTGTTGTCATGATTAAAATTAATTGATTAAGGATATTAGAAAAAAGCTGGATTTCTAATCTTGTGGTAGATATGATGGAAAAGAGCTTGAATATTTGTACAAAGAAAAATCATTAACTTGCATTCCCTGAATAACTCAACACTTCATAGTTTCAACATAGAAAGACTCAATTTTAAATTTTTGTAAAACAATTATTTTAAAATAAAACTCTGTCCACAGAGAAACCGAGCAGAATAGTTTGATCTTTTAGCTGATTTCAAGACTATTGGTGCTTTTTCAGTTCTCTGAGAGCAACTCCAATGAATATTTCGAACCACGATCTGAGAATTTTGGAGTCGATGGCAATGAAGAAAGAGCAAGAGAGAGCTAACAAAGAGCTAGCTTATCAAGTGCAGCAGCGTTGGGAAGCTGATCGATTGGCAAAAGCAAAGGTAAATACACATGGGTACCCGTTGATTAAAAGTAGCCCCATCAATCAACACTTGCATTCCTTGAATGGAGTTTCTATGAGGTTGTCACATTTTTGTCACAAAACAAAGATAACAAAAAGGGCCGTTTTTGTACCCCCAATAAGGATCATTTCTGGACCCCCTCTGAAATATGGCAATTCTTCCATAGATCACAAGAAAAATCATGATTCGAGCATTATTTATGACTTTCATTATGTACTAAAAGGCCGCTTTAGCAAAGGTCTGAAGGTTTATTTTAGCCAAAATTAAGGATTTTTCATCATACTAAGACATTTTCCACACTGAGCCCACTGTTTAACTAAAACGAGCTTTGGCTATGTTACCAAGGAGGATTTATGACATTCTTTCACAGTAGTTCCATTTTAGATAGATGATAGGCTCATCGTTAAAAAATCTTGTATAAAAAATGGATTATTTAAAAACGTTTTCTTTAAAAATAATTTCAGTTTGAGAATGAACTGAAAAACAAATGGCAGAAATACATTCAGGAGAAACGACAGCTGGAACAAAATATGAACAGACTAAAAATGGAAGAGGTTAAGCTAAGTTTGCATGAATCACAAAAAATACTTGAAGAAAATTTGCGAATGCGAGATGAAAAAGTTCAGCGAAGTTTGCAAGAGATGGAGAGGAAAAGAGTAAGTACCTGCTTTAAAATCTTCCTTTTATTTCCAAACTCATCTTCCTTGCCATTAATTTTGTGTCCTTAAATGTCAAACACACAAAGAAAATCTAATTCATAATTTGGTTCGGGTGCCTTTCCAATCTGCAACAGAATAAGAATGAAAAGAAAAATTGAAACAACTAATTGTGTGGTATGCTTTGGGTTAATGTATCAACCAGATGCTCTTGTTACATGATCATAACGCTAAATATCAAGCAATAAATATTATGTCCCTGCGCAAAGTTCTTGCGTCCAATATGAAAAAAGATATCCCTAAATGAAAAAAAAATTGATTGCTCTGTGAATCTACCACATTTCTTTGAAGAAAGTCATTCACTGTGTTTTTCTCAAATATCATCCGCCTGTTCTCCTCAGAAATCATTCACAGTGTTTCTAGAGGGGAAATTTTGATAAATCAATATTAGATCTCATTCTTTTTTGCTGACCTGTTAACTGCGACCATAGTATTATAGTTCTGCACTTCTGTTGAATTATCTTAAGATATCACATAAGATGTATATTTTTGAGTCATTTTCAGTTTGACCAGAATATTTATTGTAACATAAGACCATAATTCTTCATCCCAAAAGTAAAAGACAAAGTATAAGTAAATTTCACGATTTGCTGTCAAAATAATTGTACAATTAGGTGGTCATCAACATGTAAATTCAGAGGGAAATTTCAAATGTTGAAAAGTCCATTTGAGCAAATGAATTTTGTTGAAATACAGATGCTCGAGACAATGACAAGGCATGAACAATGCGAAAACAGGAAGACCCAACTGAATGCAAATCAGCACCAGCAGAAATCTTTAGACACTTTGAAGAGGTTCCATCATATAGAGGAAATGGACAATAAATTGGAGCAGGCTGAAATAAATCGACAACAGCTTAAAGCCAACACTTACAAGGTTCGATTGGAGGCAGAGTTTCTTGCTTGTATTTTTTATGCGCAGCAAGATAGAGATAAAATTTAAAAATCTCCGATCATGTTACAGTTTTCTAAAGGAAAACTAACCAGAATGCTTCTTCGCAATTTTTTAAATCAAATTAAGTAAAGGAGGAGTTGCGTTTTGGGCCTTTTCCGGCCCCACCTGGATTTTGCTAAATGTTTCATATTTTCAAAGTACTAGTCTTAGGTAGACTCTGTGCCAAATATTAGACCGAACGGAGCCCATGCAAGGGCGCAGCAGCGCCTCAAACCCAAAATCCTGGAATCGAAAAACAATTATTTTCGTCGACTTTTTCGACTGTTATCACTCTTCCAGCACATGATTCTAATGTATTTTTTTGCGTACTTTTCGTTTCTGGCCTTTTTAAAGGCCTCCGATAAATTTTAAGGGGCCTTATGGCCCATTGTTGCCATTTTTGGCCCATTTTTAGGGGTTTTTTCCATTTAAAACATTCAAAACTCAATTTAATCCAAAAACTGTGTATATTTTTGAAAAGTACGTAAAAAAATGAATAAACAATGTTCAGTAAAATTTTTTCCTATGTTGCCAAATTTCCGAGAAAATTGGTCCCAAAGTGTCAAAAACGGCAAAAAATCGATAAATCGCCGCGTCTAAGGTTCAAGAAAGTGGAGTACATTTTTCATACTGTACCAGATAACAGCTCTTATCCATCCATACAACATACTAAAATATCATAGTTGTACCTGGATTCCCACGATGTGAAAATTGACCGAGATGTCGATTTTAGCGGCCTTTTTATACTTGAAGGCAGCTCTTTTGAATGTTCTTCGACCTTAGTCACCCTCTATGGGTGTGTACTATATGTATTTTTCTACGTACTTTTCATATCTGGCCATAAAAATGGCTTTCTGTGAATTTTAAAAGGCCTAACGGTCCATTGTTGCCAATTTTCACCAATTTTTAGGGGTTTTTTCAAGTTTACGTGTGTGAAACTTAATTTAATCTACAAACCGTGTACAATTTCGGAAAGAACGTAAAAAAATACATAGGAATGTGATTTGTACCTTTTCCCTACGTTGCCAAATTTTCGAGAAAAATCGTCCTGAAGCGTCAAAAATGCCAAAAATTGGATTAATCATCACGTCGGAGGTTCCAGGAAGTGAATTATGACATTCATGTGGATCGTGGGACACTTTCTCCACGCATTTTCTGTTCTTCGGTATATTTGGCCTGTAGCAAGCATCTTGAGAGCCAAGGATTATCTCGAGGTTACAGGAATAAAGAGGTGAACTGGAGTGAAGGATAAAATAAAAGCACCTTGAGGGCCCGTTTTGTCACGTTCATCTACGCCATTACATGTTCCTTGAGATGCATTGCAATTTTCCATTTTCGATACGTTATTTGTAGTGAAAAATAACTTGAAATTCACTTCCTTAAACCTCCGACGTGATGATTAATCCAATTTTTGGCATTTTTGACGCTTCAGGACGATTTTTCTCGAAAATTTGGCAACGTAGGGAAAAGGTACAAATCACATTCCTATGTATTTTTTTACGTTCTTTCCGAAATTGTACACGGTTTGTAGATTAAATTAAGTTTCACACACGTAAACTTGAAAAAACCCCTAAAAATTGGTGAAAATTGGCAACAATGGACCGTTAGGCCTTTTAAAATTCACAGAAAGCCATTTTTATGGCCAGATATGAAAAGTACGTAGAAAAATACATATAGTACACACCCATAGAGGGTGACTAAGGTCGAAGAACATTCAAAAGAGCTGCCTTCAAGTATAAAAAGGCCGCTAAAATCGACATCTCGGTCAATTTTCACATCGTGGGAATCCAGGTACAACTATGATATTTTAGTATGTTGTATGGATGGATAAGAGCTGTTATCTGGTACAGTATGAAAAATGTACTCCACTTTCTTGAACCTTAGACGCGGCGATTTATCGATTTTTTGCCGTTTTTGACACTTTGGGACCAATTTTCTCGGAAATTTGGCAACATAGGAAAAAATTTTACTGAACATTGTTTATTCATTTTTTTACGTACTTTTCAAAAATATACACAGTTTTTGGATTAAATTGAGTTTTGAATGTTTTAAATGGAAAAAACCCCTAAAAATGGGCCAAAAATGGCAACAATGGGCCATAAGGCCCCTTAAAATTTATCGGAGGCCTTTAAAAAGGCCAGAAACGAAAAGTACGCAAAAAAATACATTAGAATCATGTGCTGGAAGAGTGATAACAGTCGAAAAAGTCGACGAAAATAATTGTTTTTCGATTCCAGGATTTTGGGTTTGAGGCGCTGCTGCGCCCTTGCATGGGCTCCGTTCGGTCTAATATTTGGCACAGAGTCTACCTAAGACTAGTACTTTGAAAATATGAAACATTTAGCAAAATCCAGGTGGGGCCGGAAAAGGCCCAAAACGCAACTCCTCCTTTACGATAAACGTCAATGGTAACTGTTATTCAGTTTTCCTGCACAAAAACCAAAACATGAGCGGAGGCTGACAACATCGCAATATGAGAAACGCATTTGCATTTCTTGATTTTAGCTATTAATTGGTTTTTACTGAACACAAACCTTTTGGTAAATATTAATTACACTGTAAAGAATAAAAAAAATAATTCATGGTTTAATTAATCAACGAATTGATCAAAATTCATTATGATTCTTTAGTAGAAAAGAACCTGCTTTGATAAAATTCTATGAATGGTCCCTGGTTGTATTGATTTGCAAGGTGGGTGAAATTATTTAATCGTAAAATTTGGGGGGGGAGGGGGATTGATGAAAATTAGAGAGGAGGCAAGCTTTTGATGCGAAGGGAATAGGTCATCAAAGGATGTTATAAATTCATTACATAAACTATTTATGTATTTACGTTGTTTATTATTCATCTATCACAGGAGGATGTTTTTCGAAACTTGGATGTTCACAAGAACCTAAAAAAAAAGCGATAATTTGAAAATTTAAACTTGAGATTGTCCAGTAACACATGTTCAAAAATTAAAATGATGCTTGCTGTTGATGTTTGAAATTTGCAGAAGATAGTCTCAGGAAATAGACTGAAATGTTTGAAACACATGACTCGCATGGAAGAGTTGTTGACGAATGAGGCCATTACGCGAAAGCAGAAACTGGAGGAATGCCACAGGCGAGAGGAACGTGCTTGGCAAAGATACACAGACCAAGTTCACAGTAGGCTCCAACAATTGAAAATGAATAGGTAAGAAGGTTTTTTCATCCGGTTGGTGAGATAAATTGCACATTGAATCTATTGTTTTGGGAAGAATGTATGATCATTGCCCTGTTTGTAACATTTCATTTATATACCTATATCTGGCAAGAGATGGAGAGATGCCAGCTTCCAGAAGATCTCTACCATGACAGATTCCTGTGGCGGGTAGGCATTGCAGAGCGCCCTAGAGCGCCGTAGAAGCGACTTACACATAAATTTATATACCTGCCACCTCAATAATAAAGACAATACAAAATTCTGTTATATCTATGAAGAACCTGGAGAAAAATGGTAAACATTTTTAGAGATATCAGTGCTCCAGTGGATAGATAACTGAATAAAATTTTGTAAGCCGTTTAGAAATCAAACAATGCACTTACGCTCTGTTTGAAAAATTTGATATAATTCAGTCAGCATCTAAGGGATTGTTATATTGACACAGGGGACATTGTCACAAACAATTTTTTACAGAATCAATTTTTTATGACCTGATCTATTTTTTATCAATAAAAATAGTATTATGGGTCGTGCGTAGGCCTTTTAATCATATTCTAACGTTTGAGAAAAAGGACATAGTTATTAAAACACACACCCACTCACCTTCACTCTCATTAATATCCATAGGCTCGATGAATTAAATACAAATATGAGAGCTGATCATTGTGTATCTTTGCAGTGCATTACGAGAGCTGAGAAGTGAGCAAGTACGTTCTCTTGCCAGGGAGCTGGACCAGGGTTTGGAGCGATGGCAAGATCATGTGATGATACTTCAATGGCAAGCAGTTCAACGAGCTGAGGCTAGTGCAAGCATCCAACTGCAGACCAAACGGCTCAAAACAGAGTGCGAGAATAGAGAGCGACAGCTGCAACATGCCCAACGATTTAAACGGTAAGGAAGAATGTGAGATAAGATTCTAACCGGTAATCCACTTAGATCTTTTCTGAGCAATGCATCACAAGCAAACACTCTTGTTTACAAAATAGAGGACAACATGAAATTTCGTAATTCTAAAATGTTGCAGTTTACATTACTATTCAACATATTAAGAAAGAAAATTTTAATAGGGAAAGCTTTTCTCATCTACCATTTTGTGTTTAATTGCAAAAGGAAAACGTATTGGTGATCATATGCACCACCGCGCGAGTATCACAATAATTGCTTTTAACAAGAAACTTGAAATAGCTGATGAATCCATCGATTTTTAGTCAGTAATCTCAAAGAGAGGGATAGAATAGAAGATTAATTTTGAATGGTGAATGATTTTTTACAGGGTCAAAGCGTTCGAAGCAGAGAAGGAGAAAGGACTAAGAGAGCTCATAACTGCAAAAGAGAGCAGAATTAGAGCTTTGCAACTGAAAAAAGAAAGAGATATTTTAGAGTGCAAGGCAGCAGCACACTCTACAGCTGAGCTGCGGGAGCATTTGCGGTAAATAACCTTTAAGCGTTTATCTTTCGTAGGAGTTATGAATCCTCATTTAATTTAATAAATGAACTTATGTTGTAAAGTTACAATTTGATGCTTACATCTAAAACTGTAAATGCAGATGAGAAGAACATTTTGTTGATTGAGAGAATTAATATTACATGTAGAAGATAATTTTACCTTTGAATGATGTTGAACTTCTTTGGTGTTCTAGAGAGTCCTTGACTCCAGAAACATTTGATCGGAAGGTGACCAAAGTAGCAGTGGAAATGCGAGTTTGTAACCGGCCAGCAACTGCAAGTCCAACAATGATGGGCAAGTCTCATATTCGTCTGGGCTGAACAAAGAGGAATTTGCTTTTTCACCTGATTGAACCATCATTCTCCAGTTAGCTGAAGAAAAAAACTTTAAAAAATTTTAGCAATTCTTTTGAACACTGAGAGAAAAAATTATTTTGTTCACAAATAACCTTCCCAACCACAGTAAAATTCGCGATTCCTACATTTTTTCCAACCATTACAATCAAGGGAGGTATGGAAGAGTAAAAACCTGATCAAATAGAAAGACTGTCATTTTGCCAAGTTCCTAAATTGTCATAGATAATTCCCTTGTAAAGTACTGTTTTTCTTGTACTTGAATGTGATTTCTTGTGGATATTAGATATTATGAAAATTTACAACATATTGTTTCACTGATTTCAAACAGAACTTCTCAGAATTTGATGTAATTAGTTACTGATATTGTATACGGTTAACAGATAAGGAAATTCCTTTCAAAGGTCTTGAACATTCTTTCAAAAAAGTTTTTTTTTTTCTTTTCAAATTTGTTACTTCATAAGGTCATCATCATCTATGTATTGAAAATAAAAATGGACACAACAGCATCACTGAGCTAGAGTTTCTTCCTCTGACTACCAATGTTACATTTTGAAGAATCTAATATTGCAATTTCGTGTTTGAAGGACAAAAAATGCTAGTCAAAAAAAAAAATCTTGAAGCCTTACAATTGAATTATACGAATCCTTCTCTACAGTATAAAATCATGAGGGTAGCCTGTAACGCTCATCATGTCACAAACCGGTTTCTTATCCACTCCTGGCACCTGAACCGTTGTGCATGCTCGTTCTTTCATGGCTTTATCAACAGATCAATATCGGAAAAGGCCAAAGCACTTGACAAGGTTCGGCCGCATGCCAGGGATTGAAGTCCCCTGGTAATTTAAAAATACCACAATTCCTAAGTTTAGTTTTAATTTAAATTTTTGGCTAAGACAATGGGAATGATTTTTGCTGGAGCAGTATCATAGGAAATCATTGATCCTTCTTAATCAAAATAAATTTGCAAGTATTGCAACTTGTTTCAAAACACGTTATAATGCAACTGATATAATATTGAGCAGTTCCCTTGGAAACTGCCAGGATGGCAACACTTATTGAACTGGCCCTGCTGTACGACCCAAAAATTCGCGAAGTTTAGTGTAAGGTGCTCGACATCCATTTAGACCTCCGTATTAGTTTGAAATGATCTTGCCTTACAGTAAACTGCAAAGAATTACTACACCTCAACATTTGAAAATATCAACCTATCTCTGCGCACATTTTTCAGTTCTTTATGCAAGGTTTTATGTCAATTTTAGGAAGTCTTCACAAGTCCACATTTGCATCATTTAAAACTAGCAGAATCTATCAATCTCCTTATGCAGACTTGAATAAAGAGAGGTAGATTGATTAAGCGACAATCAGCAATATAATTGCAAATTTTGACAAATTTAGGATTCTCCTGCCATTAAGAGTGTATTAGACATAACAAATGATAAAATACACGGAGGTTCAAAAAAAGTACAATTATATTACTGAGCTATTAGACTTAGACTTGACTATTTTGTGTAGAAAAGAAAAATGAGTGACAAGGATGACAATAAAATATCTACTATTTGTCATTTATTTTATTATAGACCGAAATAGAAGTTAAAATGCAAAATGATGTACAGAAACTTTCACAGGCCTTCTCTGGTTAGAGCAAACATACAAATACCTTTAGGAAGATAATTCAGAATAAAAATGTTACAAAAATGTAAGAATGAATCCTGGAAAGAAAAAGGAAATGTACTTGAAGCCAATCCAACCTCCTTTATGAGAACAAGGTGGGTCCAAAAAAAAGAAAAAGAAAAGAAAACAAGACAATATTTTAGAGTTCTCCTTTCACTTCAAGAGTAGAATTTAGACAGGTTAATCCTTGCAATTTTTGACACCTTTCTTATAATAAGATTCCCTATGAGCCGATAATACTTTTTTTTAGACTCGAACTTAACTCGAAAGAAGGCTACAGTCATTTTGCACGTAACTGAAAATATCCAGTCTTCACGCAGTCAAGCAACAGAAAGAAAAAACCCTCGAAAATTTGGTCTCGGAATAAAGAAAATACAATAAAACGATTTACTAATTATAGCTCTTAATAATGACTTGAAATTTCTCTAACATCTTAAATATTTTAGAGAAAAATTGCATTATTCATTTGAGTGTTATTAGGCACTGGTTATTCTGCTGACTTACAGTCAAAAGGAATCTCTTTATGAAAATTGCACAGACCGAACTTATTTGCTTGTTTCCCTTCTTTTTATTTACACAATCGAGTTGATATTGGAACAAAAAACATCTGTACAAGATAAAATTACAAAAAATTACATTGAAAAAAGCTCTCGATTTCTCTCGGAGCTAAGTCGTCGATTCTGGCCACAAAATACAAAAATGTTCTCTCCTCTTTAAGAGAAACTGTAATAGACCAGGAAACATTTTGACTGGTCATGAAATTCAAAATGCACAAGCAATAAGAGAGAATTTTTTGCATGAGAGAAGGTATGGAGAAAAACAGAACAGGAATAATTGCAATAATAAGTGATTCATATCCAAAAAAGAGAGAGAGATAAAATAAAACAACGATAAAAAAGTACATTGAGAGAATTATAGTAACCATAAAGATAACCTTAAAGAAATAACTAACCAAAAATCATAACATCTTACAGAAAATAATACACTAATGGGTGCAAGAATGTGTATCTTTTCTGTAATGAACATAGAACTCATTATTATTAGGCACACCAAGCATTTGAAAGTTGTGAACTCGTAATTGGTTAATTTAGGTTATGTCCAACCCGCAAGAAAATCATGGGATCAAGCGAGAGTTCACAGAGAATTTTTAAAATCAAGACAAAAATAAATTTCAAGTAAACCTCTGTTAGTGGACACTTCTCTGTACTAGCTGATTTTCAGGCCCTCAAAATTTCGAGTCTTTAATTTTTTCATGGATTTTCACCTCTAAAAAGTGAGAGGTCTCTGGATCGACATGGACTGGTCAGATCTCCCTGATAGGTTTGTATAAATAGTACCTACATACCTGTCACACTAAAATAGACGTTATCTAAGGACGCATCAGTGTCCACTATCTCAGAGGTTTACCTATGATAAACAACAAATCAGCATGCAGATTAACATTTTCTTCGGACGTAGGACTTTAAAAACACAATTACAGATAGAGTAAGAGCAGGAGTCACTCCTAATGTAAGGTCAGTCCATAGAAACAGAGAAACGTAAATTAGGGAAAAAGTGTAAGCCATACACTTCAAAGTTCCTGAGCCATTGGTTGCCAAGTGAGGAAAGAAAAATAGAGGAATATTACTAGCCTCATCATAAAATATGACCCGAAAAATGAAAGAGGTAACTTCTCTGTGGATTGTTTAAAAACGTGACAAAAGAAATTGTCTTTTTCAAATAAAATTCACGGTTAGAGATGAAGCTACGGTTGCTTAGTTATGCCTTTTCCTCAAAGTGAATTTGTCAGTCACATTTATGGGTCAATTTTCTCACTTACTGGTGATGGATCAGTTTAGCCTCCATAAAAAGCTTCACTTATAAAAAGTTGTTTCCCACGTCCATAAAAAGTCAAATAAAACAATGATCTCTTTAAAATCCCTTCAGAATTAAGTTACGAGAGAGACATAGCAGTTCTTCATGATGGACAGAAAAATAAGTTTGGACTGCATGCATTTTCGCAAGACTTGTTTTTGAGAAATGACACAAACTTGTGGAAAATCCCGACACTAAAGGACCCAATAATTCTTCAGTGAAATAGCAGGTTTGAGAGAACAGCAAGCATCTTCAAAGAAATCTGAGAGAAGGCATATTCACTGTTCACAAGAGCACAGCATACAATGCATTATGAGCTAGTTTATGTAGGTGAATTGCCAAATGGAATTTTCTTCTGGGTATGCTGGGATAGACATAAATATTAAAAATAACTCCAAGATGACTGTGTTTAAGGTTTACTTGGTGCTCTCAAATGAAGGGATGAGAAAGAATTGGCTAAGCCGACTCACTCCTTGAATGTATCCAGGCTCTGTTCAAAACCAACCAATCTCACACAGCTTGTAAGGAACTATGAAAAAGATCTTATAAAAAAAATAACCGGTAAAGTTTTGACATTATTCAAATTATAATAAAGCTTGTAAAAGCAATGCGTTATGTCTTAAGTGTACGTAATTTTTGAGATCTAAAAAGCCTAAACCAAAATGCGAGCTTATCATTACACGGAAAGAAGTTAAGAAAGCAATTTTAGAGAACAAAGCTTCAAATATCACAAAATAAATTAATTAAAAAAAAAAAAAAAAAAAATCAGATTTTGGATTCTGCCGGTGCCAACAACTTCCTAGCCATTAAAACACTAGAAAACATAGAAGAAATTAAAAATCCGACATTCATAAGAGCAATTGAAGCAGTAGAAAAGTCATTTGTGGGGAATTTTTTTTCCTTGACTGCCAGAGTCAAAAAAAATATCTGAGAGAACATTTCAATTAAACAGAACCATTTAAATTTTAGTAAAAAATGCAAAACTTTCTTCTTTAAAAAAAGAAACCAAACATTAATGGGGCAGACTGCTAAGGGTAGAAAAATTGGAATTACCATTTCTTGGTTAAAGAAAATGGAACTCATGAACAACTTTGTGTGATGAACAGAGAGGAATATGCACAAGAATGGCATATTCTGTCTATGGAAAAAAGGGCCATTCTCAGTAAAAAAACAGATGTTTTTTTGTTTAAAAAGAGATGAAAAAAACTATTCACAGGAATGCAAGCACTGACTGAATCAAGGTGTTCGTTATTTTCAGAGAAAAAAGATATTGAATATCTTATTTTTTACAACTTATCAGAAATCAATTCTAAAAACAAAACAAACATTAACATTTTTCGGCTTTGACAGGTCCTGAAATGCTTTGCACTGAATTTTTTTCAAAGAAATTTCAATGCTCATTGTTTGATACATTGCAAACTTTGTTTGTTCAAAATTTCTGCAGCCTCAATGCGCTTTATGATTTCATGATAACAAAACCAAGAACAGTCTTTAAAAGAAAAACAATCTCCCCAAATATAAATGTGTATGAATAGGTAGAAAATTAAAAAAAGGGAAGGTAGGTGAAATTGAAAAAAGACAAACATAGCTTTTTTGGAAAATTAGTATGTGCAAAAATATCTGAATCTCTTCGTTCAAAAAGTATTAAGAATTAGTAAATGTTTCTTCAGCAAGAATATCATTATTTTTGCCTTGTAATGACATTATTATGTGGATTTTTAATCCTCACAGACTTCAACAGAAAGTTACGGTTGACAAATTTTTTGACGAAAAAAGTGCCACGTAAAATTCACAGATTGGTGTCTAATGATTGATTGGTGGTGTACTATGGGATCTTACGCAGGGCTGCATAATAGAATTTTCTCCCAATTCATACCAATAATGATAAAAATGTTTTAAAAAACCTAACTTGACGGTAAATTCTAATGAAAAAAATGTATCAGTTACTCTACAAACCTGCAATTTGTCTGATAGCTTATTTAACTACTGTTTTTCTGAAGTAACCAACTAATTTCTTGAGTAACCTCGGCAAAGAATCAGTCTATACCATACGGTTTTCAGCGAATACTTTCAACCGTTTCATACACTTAAAATCTAAACTTAGTTGACCTTTCAGTGAAAATGACACATGAGTTTTGTACAAATGTAAGTTGTGGAGGCGGAATGAAATAAAACTGCTTCATCAAGAAACTAGAAAGTTGAAAAAATTAGGATTTCATTTTCAAAATGAAGAAAAGAAAAAAATTATAAAAAGAAAACTTAACTAGACAGAGTGCCTCAAGACTAGCTATCTCCATGACTATGATTATTTGACTGATGGTTTTCTGTTGCTTTGTGGTTGTTGGTCGGTGAGGAAGGTACATCGTCTGATGAGTCATCGTCACTTGATCCACTCCGCAAGTCTTTCTCCATCTGGGGAAAGAAAAAAGTCAATATTGAGGTAAAGAGAAGGAAGTGACACATCAAATGGACCTCATTCAGTGGAGAGAAACCAAATCACATGAGCCATTGCCAACTTTCATTGGATGATTCATATTTTACTGGAGGACAGTAGTATACATTTTTCTGAAAATTTGAAGAGATTTCCATTGAGACATGCGGCAAATTTCCTGAAATTTTCAAAAGAATCCTTACAACTGTTCTTTTGTAAATAAAAAAGAAATTGTTTGATAAAATTTAGAAATGGCTGATGCATCATCGTTTCTTTCTACTTAACGCGGTCTAGGTGCGGTATAGAAAACATGCAATTTAAATAAATCAAATTAAGAATGCAATTAACAAATCCAATTCAAAATTTTTAAGTTTAATCACAACTGCCATATTTGACACTTGAACAGATGAGCGCTCTGATGAACTCTGAACACCTTGATATTCTGGGCAGTTTTTCTACTACAGGTGAGTAATCATTAAATAGTAGCAAAATCAGGGAAACTAAATGATTCTTGTAAAAAAAAAAAAAAAAAAACCGCCAACCAGCACAATAGCTGCTTGCTGTCGGATGTACTGTATAACAAACTGCTGCTGTCTGCACTTAATGCAAGGAAATTTAAAGGCATTTTATGTTTTTTTCTTTTTCATTTTGAGGGAATGTAAATAATTCATGCCACTTTTTTCATTATTTTTTAACTTGGTGAAGAGATCTGCTGATCTCCTTGACATCGTTTCATTACACTGCAGATTCATCCGTTATGATTTTTAAACTGAAAGACGAACTATGAAAGAGATAACTAAAAATACTTACATGCCCTGCCATGACACTGTTGTAAACAATCCTCATGATGAGATGAGTCCAGAAAATATGAAGGCCGAGCAACAGAATTAAAAATCCATTGAAAATGTAATATGCCGGAAACATTGGTGTTTGGACTATCACTGGAGCATCTATTGCAGTGCTGTTGAGGGAAGAGACAATTAGATATTAGAAACAATATTTCGAAAATGCTTCACATGAGTTCACTCTTTAGGTGATGCAGTTTAGGTAACTGACATGTGGATTGCATTTTGCAAAAAGGAACCACTAGCATTGCAATGATGCTAAGATTGTGCAACTTCATGTTTTGCAATGAAATTGCGGAAATCGTGAAAAACTATGAAATTTAGATGGTAATTTTTGTCTTAAATTTATAGTTTTTAGCGAGTAAAATAGAAACTATTAATGGATAATCGGGTTTTTCCTCCAAGACCAATGAAGTTGCACAATCTTAGCAACATTGCAATGCTAGTGGTTCCTTTTTGCAAAATGCAATCCATGTATAACAGGTACACCCAGGCTTCTCGATTACTCTATATTTAAATATCTAAAGCTATAAACTGTAAAAGTGATTTCCTTCAAACTTAGCAAGAATGAAGTTCAGAACCATCTGAGCATGACTAAAAAATCAGATTTTGAAAAAGTTGTTGCTGAAGCCTGAAAAAGAGGAAAGTCGTTTTCCCCTATACTAATGGATTGGAGATGTGAGGTTGTTAACGCGCACCGCACTGAACAGGTTGAATCGTGTTGCGGTATGTCACAGCAGCATCACCGTGTGTCTTTCCTCCATTGCGCTTGGGCTTCCCTCTGTGCGGCTCCCTCGCCAACTTTTCCATCCCTTCATTCCTTTCACACATAAAGTGTTAGCCTGCCTGCACCTAAGTATCTCCTCAAAACTGTCTTCCATTTTTATAGACCGTCTGTTAATTTTCTATCCTAATGAGCATTCACCTCCCGGATCAAATGTCTTCTTTATTTCCTCTCTTTTTTTCTTTCTCCCCTTTTACTTCATCTTTGATTTCCTTCACTTTTTTCTGATCTTTCCTTTTCCTTCTTTTTTCTCTTTACTCTCCTCATTTTCTCTTTTATTATTTTATTTTTTTTGCTTTTGGCTCGTTGAATACTTTATTTACTAACCATGTCTTTAATAGCTTAGCCGGCAAAATTTGGCATTAAAATGTATTTATGCACAAAACTGGTGGTTGAACAAATGAACAGATTGTAAAAAATTACATTTGAGTTTATCAGCCTTTCAAAGGCACATATTAATGATTCATAGTTGGGGACCAGTGGCGTGCGGTGGGTTCAGAGACAGGGCAAGCTCTAGCGTTCGCCATCCGGGGGGGGGGGGGGGTGGTGGTGGTTTAACGTAGTCTCTTTCCCTTCCCCCTCCCCCTAGCCTCCCTAGAAAATTCTTAAAATTTTACTCTATTTGCTCTACCTATTTTTCGGATGAAATCAGATGGAACGTCTTGAAAAACTGTGCTTTTATTTATTTCTCTCTTATTTATGATTTCATTCACTCAACTTGTTTCGAATGTTATTGATCATTGGAGGACGGCTCCATACTCTTTAACTCCTAATTTTGCCACTTATTTGAGGTATTATAGTCTTTATTCTACAGCATTTAGAATTTTTTGAGTTACTTAAATTTCCCCCCCCCAAAAAAAAAAAAAAAAATTCTTTCTGCCTTTAAAACAGGATTGAGAAATGTCTAATTCATCACCAATTTGATCCAAGTGAGCGAAATTTTATAGAATATAAAGGCATTTGCTCCGGAGGAGCAATTACAGCCGCGACGGAAAGAGGGAACAAGATAGCGCATCGGAGGCAGAAGCAGCGCGCTGCGGTGACGGGCCGAGAGATGGCCGAGAGAAGCGAGCTGCGATCGCGCAGCGAAGGGCTCGGACTCGGAACGTACCGCCCTACCCGCCCGCCTTGATTCCGCCGCCGAGCAGGCGCTCTCCGCTCAGCTGATCGCAAGCGATTCTCCAGCGCATGAGTTGGCCCGTGTTCAGGCCGCGCAGCGCGCTGCGCCACCTCCAGCCGCTCTGCCGCTTTCCTACTTTGGTGGCTCTATACGTATTTCTGTCTCCCTCTCTTTCTATTTTTAATGCAATTTACTTACTGAACACATTTTATAAATTATATTTGCTAAAATGTAAAACATTTAATAGGTGTAATTTTCTTCATTCTTTTGAAATCGTTGGGCAAGCAGTGCTTGCCTTGCTTATCCGGACCGCACGCCACTGTTGGGGACACCTTGTTAAACTTGCATTTTAACAGGAAAAGAAAGGGAAAAAATGAATTCAATTATAACCATACCTTTTGAGTATCCACAATGGATAAAATACGAGACGAGACAGAATCCATACGACCGTAAATACAGCAAAAATAATATCACATGTTTTCTGGTACTTAGCGTACTTCGTCATCTTGGCACCCTGAAATTAGGTAGATAATAGTGCGGCATTAGAAAACTATGTGTCTTGAAATTGCTTCCGAGTGCGATAATTAAAGAAAAATCACTATATCATCAATTTATTATTATCTTCGTTAACTTACAATAATGGAATTATCTCGATTCATTCAGTTCAGTTTTACTTATCGATTTAACGTAAATGGTTCTTTCTTCCCTTAGATGATGAGAGATTCTTCACACTGGAACATTAAAGCTTACTCATTGACGATTTAGCCTTGTTCACAGTTTATCAGTGGAAGGCACATTAAACTATCTCAATGAGAGTTTAATTTTCAAACGTTGAGCAGTGAGCTTAATTTCCCCTAAAAGTTTTGAGAGAGAACGTAAGACATGAAATTAAGTTATCTATTTACCTACAGATCACAACTTGTCTACCGGTCTACATTACTGCAAAGGGATTTTAATTGTTGTTTCAATTAGCTTACAACAACAACTCACCATATTTTACAAAGGGAGTTTTTCCATTGCAACTGAAACAAGTCACTTAGATGCAATGTGGGGGAGAGAGGGAGGAAAGTTTGCGTAAAAGGCAAATTAAAAAATTAAAAGGAGCGTTTTTTTGTTGATATCAGTAACATCAGCTACCAGCCAGCTATATTCGAGCTTTCTTCTTTGATGTACCCTCTAATTTGGAATTGCCGATGGAAAATCATTTAGGTCCCTTAATTTCATGCAATGTCTCCATGAGATTGCAAGAATTAGTACAGTACAGCAAAATCAAGTCAGAGAGAAAGATCTGAGTGATAGCTAACACTCAATAACAAAAATGGTGATAATCAATGATAAATTCGGTAAAGTACAAAATCGATTATCCATCAACAGTAGAAATAATTCGCAACACCAGTTTGATGTTGTTGATGTTGCAAACAAAATACCTATTGTTCTCCACACATTTTAAGGGCGGAAGTCGTAAAAGCAAAGATCAAAACAGAAATACAAACTGAAAAATAAGCAAGAAAAAACGAATACCTAGCTAGAGCTCCCTCACAATATATGGAGATAGAAGTTAATTTCTGAGTAGCTCTGAATCAGCACTACTCAACAGCTAAATATTTTCATTAATTCACATGGCACCATTCATGAGTGGTGAAAAAAACATAATTAACTTTCGTCTCAACAAACCATGGGTAAGCTCTAGCCCTTCTTCCTTTGCAAAGAAAGATGTTCATTACATCTTCAATAGCGTTAAATAGACGGAGAGAGTTCAAGGTATTCATCATTAGAGTATTCATTCGACAAGATATTTATTACAGCAAAAACTGGGAAGAAATTAGGGCAAAGCACATTAAGATCGACCAGCTGATTACTGATTACTACATCAAGGCTACACATATTTGAAAAAAAATGACCGACTCTGATGACCTGATGAAACTTAATCTGGATAGGAAACAGGAAGTTTGTAATAATAGAAGTATATTAGACGACCCCACAAATATTTGCAAGGAAGCAATTCAATTCAATTGGATTCAAAATGGTCCTGGAGAAAATAGTTAACTTTCCACCAAGGCAAATATCCCAATTGGATACTGATAAACCATCTTACGAGTCATAGAAATTTTTTTTAAATGCAGATAGGCCAACCAAGGACGGACAGGGTTTTAAATCCCAGCTTTGAGAGCATAATTTTCTATTTCAGTAGTTAAACAGAAGCTGTATTTAATTGAAGCATGTTTATCCTCAAATGCTTCTCAATCTTTGAGCATAGGACAAGAATTGAGAACAAATACTCAGTTGGGAGCACCTTCACTTTTTTCTGAATGGTACAAGGTCATTTTTTACCTCAATAAAGCTGAGATTTTTCCTTCTTTACCTGTTCCATAGTTGTAAAACCTTCCCATTTATTAAATAAAGAGATTTGTTATTGTTAAAAGGAATTTTCACTCTTTGACATCTGTTCATGAAAATATGAATGGTATGATAATTTATTTTGATATCAAATAACAGGGAAAAAAATTATGCGAATAAAAAGAGCTCAGGATAAAATATACAGAGTACTTGATTTTTGCACAGAAATAAGTGTCTAGTAACTATGAAAAATTGTCAACTAGGCCCAGGTATACAACAATTTATCTTATGGAAGGGATTTGGTGACTGCTAAAATAAAATATTTTTGTTAAATCTTTGTCTTTTCCCGTCAAAAATTACTGTCATTATGGAAATTCAGAGTGGGGTTTACTCTGGTCTCCAACAGCACTCTTCTTTTCTCTAATTGACTATTGACAGTTTCTTTCGTTTTTTCTTCCTCTTCTTAGATTATTCCTTCTTTAATTATTCAAGTAGCCCGGTTATTCAGCAAATTTTCAGGTGTTTTCTTCAATGTGCTGTCATTCTTCTGAACTGTAGGGTCGGAAACTTTCTGAGGTTTCCCTTAAAAATACCAATGGTATTTAGAAGGCAAATGATTTTATACCCCTTCAGAAAAGGAGATAAAATGAAATAAAAATTCTGCTTACCTCAAGGAATATATCAGCAACGTCATGCGTTGCAAGGACTAGAGAGCCTATCCTGTGGAAATTGCAAATGTATGAAAAACTGAGGAGGAATATGGTGATGACGTGATGAGCAAACATTTGATAGAAGTCTTTCCGCTTCACATCTGTGAATTGAGATATTGCCAATGACCAGTAGAATGATAATGACAGCATATAGTACCACCATATATCACCATCAACATTCTAGGAGAAAAGAAGGGGAAAACACATTAAAAGTTGATGCAGAGCTGATTCAGGTGAATTCATCATAATGATTTGGACTAGAGGCTTGGAAAAAAAATAAAAATTAATTAACAAAATTGAGCATGATTAAGTAAATAGATGGTATACAATTGGATGTTTGATGAGATCTGCTAATACATAAGAAAGTTTCAAATAATTTTGAAGAAAAAAAATTGGGATTTTAACCAACTTGTTTACAAGTTTAAATTTCATCAATGCATGCCTGCCTTTCATCAACGCCAACGCCAATATGTGAGAAACAAACTGCCTCTAAACAGACTTAATGGAGCTCTGCGTTGAATTTACTTTCTGAAAATTTAATGAACCCATTTGCAAGCTTGTTCATTGTTTTAGACATTATCTACACTGGTTTGTTTGACTTTACAGCCATTTCAAGCATATTTCAATACATTTTTGAGAATTCTGGTATTTCTAAGTATCGACACGGATTATACGAATTTATTTTGGACAAGTAAGTAGATAAAATAAAATTATGTAGAATGTTGCTATCTGTGGCAACACTAAAATAATTCAGAATAAAAAATATAAAAATCTCAATTGAAGGTTCAATAGAACTGAAAAGATATAGATGAAGAAAAAATTTCTGAGAAAATATTTGTTTTCTTATATTTTGGAACTTGGGGATAGTAATGCCCTACAGCACTCATCCCAGAAACTCAGCTGAAGCTGCGAATTTTTCCAAAATGGAGATGGTTCTCAACCTTATAGAGTTGGTTGTCATTTCAACCTTACTAAATAGGTACACTTCATTTCAACTCAAAGCGTCAAGAGTTGGCAGGTAAGGCTAAATTTCCACTCATAAAATAGGAGTACCTACCTAAAACCAGTTGATAATCTACAATCATAAAAAGATTTCTTATCTTCACTATGTGGTGAAAACTTTGCTGACAATTTAGGTATGAACAAATTTTTAAGCTGCGACTAAAAATTAGAAAAATTTTCCAGCATACAAGGGCAAAGTGTTGATACAACACTTCACAGAGCGGACTACAAAACACAGCTACATGCCTTGTCACCTTTGTTGAGGAGAAGTATTATTACTTCTAAGACACACGTTTTGAGAGCGGGTTAAATTACAATAAATTTAAGAGAAAAAAGTGTGGATACCTGATATGGGTAGTTGTACCAACAGGCATCTATGTTCCAAAACCATGGTTTGTCCCAAAGCACATACATCCCATACACAAAAGCAGAGAAATAGTAAAATCCTCGCCAGCTGGAAGAAGAAAAAACAATGAATCTAATAGAATTAATAACGAATTACCAACTAACAGAGTTGAGATGAAGTTGTCCAACAAAAATGAGAAGGGACAGGATATTCAATGGACAGGAATTTTTTTTATCAAAATTATGTTAAGAAACTTTTCCTTCTGGTGTTATTTTACAAATTTGAATTTACTTATATCAAAACTTACAATTTAAATCCTCAAGTGACTTGTGCACCAATATCATAGTCACTACTTCATAAGAGGTCATACTTTTTTCTTTTTATTTGTGAGCTTATTACATACACATGCATTCACATCTAACACAATCATTACTTGTATCAACCATATTACCTAAAAATTATTTCCTTATTTCATTAATAGTCTACCAATGATGTCACTTAATACTTATCTTTCCAATCAATTTAAATTTCTCCAATGAGAAAGCTCTACTGTAAGCTAAGTACAAAAAAAAAAGGAAGAGAGAATGAATCAAATTTAATTTGTTTGAAAAGTAAAAATCATCCGTTCGTTTATGGCAGAGGTCTATAACATCAACCTTCTCTCAAGATCTGGCATCTTAATTAGCAAACCTTAAATTTGTCTCATTTTTTACCTTCTAATTTTCAAGAGATTCCTATTAAGGCTATGATTTTGCCGCACATCCCGAGGTTTGCCTCTGGTTTGCAACAATCCACAGATCCAAAAATCCGGCTCTTTTAGCACCCTGACTTACAAGAAAAAAGGAGGAAAGCCAAAACTTACAAACACTCGCAAAATTTAACCAAAGTTGATGGTTTATGATGCGACTTGCGGAGCCTCAACCACCACTCAACCTGTCGTTCTGACCAATCGAGCTGTTTTGCCAGTCCGGTAATTTCTTTATGCTTCCACTTAGAGTTGGCAGCATATGCTTTTTCTAAGACTACATTGGAAGGTGCGTTCTTGTGCTTAGCATTCTTGATTCCTAGAGATACTCCAACAGGACTGAACCAGATTCTGTGAAAATTATAAAAAAAAACATGATTAATACCTGAACATAGTGAAATTGATTAATGCTTTGGAAAGGACACAAAGTTGCTACCAACCCCCATTCTACTACTTGTGCTAGCTGGATATTTTAGCAGTGTGTACATGGCAGACAGGCAGAGAGAATGTTCAGTTCTTTCCAATGCCAAATACACCTAAGAAATGTTGATCTGATGTACCATACTTAACTACTCAGGCAGTTAGGTATTTTGATGCATTGAACAGGCTCCATTGTGTTAAAGGTGCTTTCAAAAATATCCATCCTAGCGAACATAATTCAGTGGTTTAAAATGTGCAGGGAAGAAGGAGGACCAGATTAATGATGGATTGAGACTAACTTTGACGTGTGATCAGTACCACATCAGCATCACTTGACAAGTTAAAAAGAGTGATTCTCAGAACGAGTTTTCATAAAAGCACAATTTGGCTTTAGTCAAAATGTGGGATTCATGTACTGTAGAGATAGGCATGTAAATGTAATCTTGGGTAACCATGCGTAAATTAGTGGGCCAATACCATACTTTGATATATCCACTTCCAGAGTGCAAAAAAAAATATCTCTGCTTTCCAACTTCCTACCATACTTTCTTTACTCTTGGGGAAAGAGAGTGAACTTAATTTCTTGAAAACTTCCTTGGTTTTTTTCTAGGTAAACTACTACATTGAAATTGACTTTTATCTCTTTGGAAAAATACAATAGAGGCAGAAATTTTGAAACACTGCGATGGAGCTACATCATTTGGACCGAGTTTAACAGAAAGGAACCAAGCCACATCAGCTATTGCCAAGTTTAACTGAGCAATTTAATTTTCTACATGAAAACGGTTGTGCGGATTTTCGAGCAAATTTCAGTAAAAATTCTCCATGGTACGAAGCAAATTCCTTAAAATTTTCAAAGAAATCCGAACAAACGTTCTCTCGTAAAAAATTTAATTGCCCAATTAAACTTGGCAATAGGTGATGTGGCTTGGTTCCTTTCTGTTAAACTCGGTACATTTTGCACTTTGACTATGGATACGTTGTATCAAGAAATAACTCGTGTTTTGTACTTGTACATGTTAGAAACGTGTAGATTTTGGGTGGATTAAACCGACTAATTCCTGAAAAAAGGTTGTAATAGACTCAAAAAGTGGCAACGGCATGGTTCAAATGTAAACAAACACATAACCTTGTTTCTGATTCGCGCCCCTTGCGCCGTGGTGGTAAGATGCATCCACGTGTTTTGTGAAATCAGAATTTCTTGTGTTTAATAAATCCTTGTTTGATTTAAGATCGGTCAGTAATAAATTTTAATAAATTAACGCAGTTAGCTTATGAAGAATTGGTACATGAGGTTTTGGTTTGAACCTGGAATTAAATTTGATATCCAATAATGTTATCACTTAACCAGTCTTTTCTGATGCCCATTTGACTTCCAACTTAGGTAAATCAGTCCAAGGGCTGGATATAAGTGAGGGTAAACAAACATTATTAGCCTTTATCATTAAAACCGGGTCTACACCAAATAAGTTTGCGTGCTGTATGAGTGTGACAGATGATATGCTGCTCTCATTTTAACATTGATAGTGATAAAGGAATCAATATCACAGAGCACGTGCTTCACTTGGAGAGAGTGTAAACTTATTTTGTGTAGACTCTTAATCATTCTAGCCACTCTGGCCTCTCTCGATTGTTGGACGCTGAAGTCTCTACTGAGACCACTCATGACAAATCCTACAACCCGCCGATGTTCGTTTCAGCGATTGTTTACTGAACTCATTGGCCAGGAAAGAAATGGCTACATAAAGCCTCTATACTCCTGAACACAACTTCTAAATATTGCCTGCACAGCCTGACAGCGAACTCACAGGAGTCTGTAAACTGCGTCTGGGTGATAAGGTTATGCAATGCCCATTTTATGGTGCACCGTACAAGGAGCTGATAAAAAGAAGAGGGGTGATACCATACCTTTCGAGTATGTATCTCGTCAATAGGAATAAAAACGCCATGGGAAGAGGGTAAATTAGATGCCTGTAGTCAGCATACTGAATTTCAGGGGTGGATTTCAGATCCTCCCATGTGATGTTAGGAGGAAGCCAAATAGAGGGCTTCCAAAACTCGTGGGCCACAGCACGAAACACATCCATTATCCTACGGGAAGACGGATAACAGCGAGAAAAACTGAAAATTCACTAAACTGTCATGAAAAATAGGAAACAAACAACACTAACAAAGTAAAACTAACACGCCGAACACATTTCGTGCACCGCAAGAATTCGGGAACGAACTGATAAGTTGGGAGATCTTGTTACTGGGAGATGGAGTGGAATGAATCAGGTCTGCATTGTTATTGGTGTAGAATTTCTCGGTGGACGAATAGAAAACGGGCGACTCGGCCGACGCGTCACCTGTGTTGCCAAAGTGACTTCATTTAAAGTTTCTTCCCATATCAAAACGATACTTCTGATTTTTATGGTCAACTTGTGTAGAGTGGTCATTGTGGCGCGCGGCGCCGCGGCGCTGTAGCTGGATTCGAGGTTCAAATACACCGGATACCGGATTGGCTTTTTTACACAGAAGTGATGAAGGCAAAGAGAAGCTCCAGGCTCCACCCTTGAAATTTTTTGTATGGGATATTTCGCGCATATGCGCTCATTTTCGAACGCTCGTCCACTCGTAATTCTATTGTCCTTGATTAGTCTGGATTAGTCACGCAACGGCGCAGAATGCTCGGAATATATTGCGCCTCATTTTCTTGCCTTTCAGTGGTAGACGAAAACCACACCTTTGGCATATCATCGGAAACTCGTCCGAACATCCTCCGCCGCGCCCTAATCGCGGACTCTGCCGTGCTAAGGAAAAACGCCGTATGTGCCTTCGACGTTGCCAAATTGATTTGGATAAACCACGAATTCATGGGAATATTTGTAAACATTTCCTTTCGATTTTTCAGAGAATTTTGTTCGTAATTTGATCCGAATTGCGTAAAAATTTCAAGGAAAAAAATTGATAACTTGTCTAAAAAATAAACATTTTATCGACGGAAATTTGGCAACTCTCAAATGTTCATACGGCGTTTTTCCTCAGAATGGCAGAACTAACAAATTAAGTATAATTCGTTGTTCCCGAAAGGCGGAACGGAACTCCATTCCACGGTTAGGTATGCTAAATTGACTAAAAAAAGTCATGTGATATTTACAAAAATGTACCTGTGCAATTTTTTCCAAAATTTGTCTGATTTTTGCATAGGGTCAGAAGTAAAATTAGTGAAATTTTCAGTTAAAAGTGCCCAAGATTCTCCTGGTAAAAAAGCCATTTGCAATGGAAAATTTGGCAACATCAAAATGAAGTTACATTCTAACGTTGAGGAAACGACGAAATGAAGCGCCGCTCAGGTTTGTGTGAGGGGTTTTTAGACCTAAAGGACCCTCGATTCTGAGATAAATTTTTACCCAAGGTTTTTTTACGGCACGGACTTCTATTACAGTACATTTTTCGGCTTTAAAAAAATGGTTACTAGTTTTTTATTTTTTCATAAAAATACTGCTGTATCTTCTTGCGCAAAATTTTTAAAGCATATCGTCAACTAACGAATAAAAATGGAAAAATACACGATATGTTGAGCAAAAACAATAATTGAGGGGCTTGGAGAAAAATGCGCATTAGCGCAGTTTTTACTATTTCGAGAAATACGCATTTGAAGTTTCGAAATTAAATGGATCCTTGCCCTGGTAAAAATTGGCGATAGGAGCTGCGTTTCAAAATACCATAGGAATTCTTATAGCCGGCTAAAGAAGGCAATAGAAAATCATATAGCTGGCTGTAGAAAGCGGAGCAAATCATATAGCCGGGCTATACCTACGAAGCGGTAAAAAAGTATGCAGCCGGGCTATAGTTCCTATCGCCGGGCTTTACAGTTTATCGCCATCGGCTATAAAAGGCTATAAGAAATTGTGAAGAAATTCGTGTGCTTTGGAGATCATTAAATTATGCGATGGTTCCTATAGCCGGGCTTTACACTTTGTCGCCTGGCTGTTGCTTTTTCGCCATCGATTATAAAAGGCTATAAGAAATTGTGTAGAAATTATTGTGCTTTGTGAATCCTTAAGTTTGTACGGAACCACCATAATATTAACAAAACACACATTATATTTTCCTTTAATACATATTTTTTTTTCATCAATTAAAATGAGAATAATCCATACAGGATGTGCAAACATTTCAAAATCATGAGTTGAGAAACGCTGACTCCGCAAGATTATATTGGAGCCTAACACAGAGCGGAGCGGCATGCTGCCAGCGATAAGCGCGCACCAGCGCCTACAAACCTAACAGGGATACTTCACGCATTGCGCAATGCGTGAAGTATCCCTGTTAGGTTTGTAGGCGCTACGGCGCTTTTCGCGCTGGCTGCCCGCTCGCCGCGCCGCAGCGTGCCACGGCGCTTGAAGCAACTATTTCACACCAAAGGTATTGCATAGTATCATACGAAATTGAAGGCGCTCCAACATGTTAGGAATGGCAGGCATCCTTCAAAAGTACGGAGCTTTCCGCGTAAAATAAATCAAGATACTACGGCCCAAAAATAGAGCGGTAATCCAAAAACAGTCCTAGCATCCGTAATTAGTAACATTTAGCATACACTTTATCGCCTGGCTGTTGCTCAATCGCCATCGGCTATAAAAGGCTATAAGAAATTGTGCAGCTGCATGGCTATAGAAGCTATTGAAAATCTTACAGCCGGCTTTAGGTCTATGGTATTTTGGAACACAGCTTCTACTGCCAATTTTTACCAGGGTATGAAGGAAAAAAATTCAAACTGACTTTTTGATGCTTAAAAATTGGAATTTGGGAGCGAGTGTTTCACAGCATATTATGCATTAAAACTAGTCTTTCAATCATCAATATCTCATTGTTTTCAAAAACTGCACTTATGCGCCTTGTCCTCCAAGCCTCTTCATTGTAGTAGGCCTTCTATGGACAGTGAAATGTGACAGGAGATTTATGACGTCACAAATCGAGATACGTGGTTTGGCAATTTAACTTACACCATCAAATTGTTCTCCGTTTCCCTTAATTTTGCAGCCGATAGATGCGCAAAAGGAGAAAAGTTCATCACAGCGCCTGGATGGATACAACTATTCGTACTCCATGGATGCGCGTGTTGCCTGGAAAAAATTGAAGGCGCCTGCTTTCTCTAGCTCGTACCGAGATTCGTTCAACGATGAGCATGTTATGCTGCGTGCCGCGCTGGCAATCCATGAACACAACTATGGCGGAAATACCAAATCACGGACCTAAAATACGGTAAATTTTTTGGCTTGAAAATTTTCACTCGTTTTTCATTTTTTCATGAAAATACCGCTCTATTTTTGGGTCCAAACTGCTTAGAAAAATAGTTAGAAACGAAGAAAAACAAACGATATGTTGAGCTAAAAAGATATTTCGGCTTTTTCTGAATGGGGAAATATGTGACAGGACATTTGTAATTTCGCAAATCGAGGTACTTGGTTTGGTAATTTCACCATCACCATCGAATTTTTCTCATTTTTCCTGCAGTCGATGGATGCGCGACAGGTGGCAGAGCTCAAGTTTATCACACTGAAATGTGCGTAATGCGCAAGTGCTTAATGACCACACTGCTGTGTTAAGGTAAAACGCCGCAAGAGCCTAAAGGCGTTGCCAAATTTCCTTTGATGAAACACGAATTTCCTGGTAAACCTATGAATATTTTCCTACCAACTTTTCAGACAATTTAGTTCGCTATTTCACCGCGAACGTCCCTAAAAATTTCAAGGAAAAATATTCATATTTTTCCTAAATAATAAACGTTTTATTGAAGGAAATTTGACAGCTCTCGAATGTTCATACGGCGTTCCTCCTTTAGCACGGCAGGACAGCGGTGGCGAGAATACCAAATCACGGAGGTTACGGCGGACATTCCTCGCTTTTCCAGTCATCACTTTCCTTGTTCATGGAAAGATTTAGTCGTCGAAAATTCCTACGACATAAATGAAGATAATATTCATAGGAAGAATAGTGTTTTATTTCCGAGCTACAAATAAAAAATGAGGGAACGGAAAACAGAACAAGGCACCATACGCCAATAATTAGCGTCGACATAATATCGATGGTGAAACTACCAGACCACGCACCTCGGTTTGCGACGCGACGTTAGACTTCTTGTCATACTTTATTTTTTAAACGGAAAACTACTCAACGTCAATTCTTGAAAACTTCCGCGATTTTTCCTCTCTGCACGATAGAAACTCTGTGACAAACTTCAACTTCCTAATACAGTTGGTATATGATGCGTGGAAACTGAACTGATGAAATTCAAGCGAGTGGTTCGGGGATTCGGCTATGGCTAATTATTTCTTGTTTTTATGTCGGATGGTCATGTGACGAAAACATAAAAATTTTCCATGACATTTTTTTAATTTTTAATTTTGAAGTTGGATTACCTACCTTTTCACTTTTGGTTAGATATTGTAATTCCGGAACTATTTTCAAAGGCTGAATTGGGAAACTTTGAAAAGTTGATACGTCTCGGGAGCAATTTAAGCTGCTTTCACTGAAAAATTGGATAAAACAAAGTTTTTATCAGAGATAACAACATAGGGCCGGTTTAGCTATTTGCCGCCCATGTGCCGCCTGTATGTTGCCGCCCATGTGCCGCCTGTATGTTGCCGCCCCTTCTCATTCGTTTTAAACATCGATACAAACCATCAAGTGAACGTGCCGGAAGAGGAGGGGTGCATAAGACGCGTTTACTCGTGTTGGGCCATTTTCTGTGAAAGCCCTGTCATCACTAGCAAAATTTCACAGAACTTTGCGCGAAAATTAGGTTCCGTAAACCTATCTCTGTGTGGACGAGGCCTTTCATTTGTAAGAAAAGGACAAAAAAATTATGAAAGATAAAACATGAATGTGGTTTAATGATCTTAATTTCCGCCACCACGCCAAGCGCACTGTGTTTGGCGCAATGCGTGAAGTATCCATACAGTCTTGTAGGCGCTATGCGTTTCACGCTACGCCGCACCGACCGCTGTTGACAGCACTTTTTTGATGCAATGCTTGAAGTATTCCTGGAGTCTTGTAGGCGCTAATATGTGTTTCATGCAGACCGGCGCGCCGAGGGCTTCTCTTTTCCATCTCAAGTCCTCGTCATCATTGCTCTCTGCGCCGCGCCGCTCCAGGCCAAATTGCGTGTTTGGTTTCTCTCTCAACTAGGCTGATGAAAGGCGCTGTCTCTTATATCACCGAAAGACGAACAAATTAGAAATTACTATATTTTAACCCTCAGAAAATGAGAGATTTTTTTGCCTTTTCTCGTTTGTAATTTTTTGACATTGATTGTCGTGTAATCCATCTTTCAGCCGAATATCGTCGTTTACTTGAGCATTATTTCAACGATAAATTATTTATTTAAAAAACAACATATCAATCGATTCAAAATGTATGCAGATACAAAAGTAAGACAAGTTAGCCTCCTTCATGCGGCTATGGTAAGAGCTTTAGTGTGGGTGATCAATGACTCGAATTTGCAACGCTCCTGCAAGAAACAATCCCGAGCTATTTTATTGTAGCGGAGGTTTCACGGTCCATTTTCCAAAATTGTATTCTCGTCGTACACGTCTGATATGATCTGCCGTGCTGAGGAAAAACGCCGTATGGGCCTTCAAGCGTTGCCAAGTCTCCTCCGATAAAAAGCGATTTTACTGGAAAAATTGTGAACGAGGCCGGATTGAGGGGGTGACCACATGGGCCGCGGCCCATGGCGGCAAAATTAGGGGGCGGCAAATTTTGCAATTTTTTTAAATGCAGGTACAAAAAAAATCGGATTCAGAAAAAAATCATAAACAAGAAAAGGTGACAAAATCTCTCATTTCCTGAGAGTTCATTAATTTCTAATTTTATCGTATTTCGGTAATACAAAAGACTGCGCATCTTTAATTAGTTGAGTTGAGAGAAAAACCAAACACGTAATTTGGCCTGGCGCGGCGCGGCGCAAAGAGAAATGATGACGAGGACTTGAGATGAAAAGGAGAAGCCCTAGACGCGGCGGTCAGCATGTAACACATTTTAGCGCCTACGGCACTGCATGAATACTTCACGCATTGCGTCAAACACAGTACGGTCAACAGCGGTCGGCGCGGCGTGAAACGCACAGTGCCTGCAAGACTACATGAATACTTCACGCATTGCGCCAAACACAAAGTGGTCAGCGCAGCACGGCGGCGGAAGTTAAAATTATTAAACCACATTTATGTCTGTTCATTATTTTTTTTTAGTTCATTTCTTACAAATGAAAGGCCTTGTCCCCACAGAGATAGGTTTACGGAACTGAACTTTCGCGCAAAGTTCCGTGAACCTTTGCTAGTAGTGTTGACAGGGCTTACGCAAAAAATGTGTCCAACACGAGTGAACGCGTCTTATGCACTCTTCTTGCTCTGGCACGATCACTTGATGGTTTTTATTGATGTTTCAAAATGAATGAGAAGTGGGCGGCAAAATACAGGCGGCCCATGGGGGCAAGTAGGTAAATCCGGCCATGATTGTGAATATTATTTTCCAAAATTGTCAGACAATTTTGTACGCAATTTAATCCAAAATATCTGAAAATTTCAAGGAAAAATACGCATGAATTTTGTCAAAAATGCTTGTTTCATCAAGGGAAATTTGGCAACTCTCAAATGTTCATATGACGTTCTTCCTTAGCACGACAGTATTGTCGGGTGCGATGAATCATCTCATACGAGGACCCCTCGCTGTGGTGCACTGGGTCGCGAAGGCGGAAAAAGATGCCGGTCATCTCGTGAAACGGTTCGTCGCTCCTCTGCCGTAAGAGCGTGTCTAGATTTCCATATGAGCCCCAGAAAGCATTGATTTATACGTGAAATAGGGCTCGCGTAAAAATGCATTTACGCCCTTACGTCAGAGGGGCGACCGACGCGACGGGTTGTCTAAAAGTTGCGAAACCGTGGGAACTTACTAGTTGGCAACGTCACCGGTAACGGTAGACTCATCTTCCCCTCTTCACCCGTCCACCGCACACACCCATGATGACGACGATGCGCAGATATTGAGATTTGATTGGTCGTTGTCCAGGTGATAACCGACGCTCAGTGCTTACACTAGCGCATTTCAACTTGACGCAATGCTAAGCTAACCTCAAAATCAGAGTCTCGGCGAACTCGAATTGTGGCTAGCAGTGTTTTCTGTTTACAACACGTGTTTTTCAAGAAACTTAAAGGTATTTTTTGACAGTTAATTTTATTGATTGCGCGTCATTGCGTCATTGATTTTTTTATTTAGGTAACCAACCTGGAGCAGAGAAGAAAAGTGAAAAAGTTCGAGGCGGCGTGACTACACGTTGCCTGCATACGTCTTATACGTACGTTACTTTACATTACCCATCGTGGCTTTGCATACGCGCGATGTGCAACGATATTTGGCAAATTTAAGTTCAGTTAAGCATAGTTTTCAGAACTTAACGGTGTTGGGGGGGGGGGGGGGGGGTTGCACATTAGGTACCGTCGGACCGTCCACTCGATACAGAAGCAGATTAGAACTTTAGAAAAGAAATACCTACCGTCAGTTTCCCCAATAAGATCGCGTGTGTCATTTTTTGAGGCGAACTTGGAACCGTTTTCGCGAAAAATTTAAAACATTTGGTGGAACGAAGGCTGCAGGATGCGAGCGGTCAAAACTTTGGGAAATATCTTTTAGGCGGGAAAAATAGGACGGCC